ATAATATAATATAATATAATATAATATAATATAATATAATATAATATAATATAATATAATAATAATAATAATAATAATAATAATAATAATAATAATAATGATAATATAATCATTTTCCATTTTTTTCTTTCCCATCCAATCTTCACATTTCTGTTGTTGTACTGACTTTGTCCACAAGGAGAAAGCAGAATCCTTCTGTAGTTCTGCTTCTCCTCTTGCCTTCAAAACACAGTGCTGCATGTTTTTCTTGCAACTTCTATTTATTGAGGATTAGAAACATGAAAAATACATTTTAAAAAGCTTAGTAAAACGTGAAATGATCGAACAGACTGAATAGCGATTCATTCATATTTGTACAAAACATTGATAACGCTATGAGACGTCCAACAGGAACGTCCTCAGCAGCTGCTGACATTGGCACCATGCTAGGAGAGTTGTAAAAGCTCACTGTGAGCTTCCAGAGACCTGAGCTTTGAGAGGTTGTTATTCAACAGAAGGTGCAGCAACAACTCAGTGATCTGTGTTTGTATCTTGTATATGTGTGTGTGTATGTGTGAGTGTGTGAGTTTTAGTCAGTGCTGTGTGTGCTGTTGTCCTAGCTCTAGTGTTTAGGACGAGGACCGGGCTATCCTCTGGATATCAAAATGGGAAACCAGGGTGAAAAAAATGGATGGAAACGGGATGTGTAAATCACCGGGAAAAGGTTAGAGCCACAGTGGATGGATTAGATGGTGACAGATGTGCGATTGAATATGGGTGAAGGCCCGGTCAGGAGAGTGGCGGCAGGGAGCGGGTGCTGACCGCGCTGGACTTCCCCCTGGGCGAGGACGGCGGGGGCTGGGTGAGGTGGGGCGAGGAGGGGGAGGGGCGGAGGTGCCCGCTCTGGCAATCCCTGGAATTCCCGGGCCGCTCCTCGCCCGGAGCCCGACCGCGGGGCCTGCGCAGCTGAGGCGGGGTGGAGGGGCACCCGGGCGCGCATTTGTACTGGGAGGGAGACGGCGGGGGGGAGGGGGTGTGACAGTTAGGGGAGGAGTAGCACCTGGGGGCCGAGTGGCGGCCGGGGGACGGGTGGCGCCCGGGCGAGGAGTGTCTCCCGGACAGAGGCTCGCGGCCGTGGTGTGGGCGCCCCCTCATGTGTCGGGGGGACCGGGGGGACCGGGGGGACCGGGGGGACTTGGGGGATTTAGGCATTTTGGGGGACCGGGCTGTCTTGGGAGACTTGGACATTTTGGGAGACTTGGGAGACTTGGGCGTTTTGGGCGTTCGGGAAACAGGATGGGAAGGGGCGGAGTGGGGGGGGGGGCCCGGGCAAGGCGAGGTGGGATCTCCGTTGTTGGCAACCTTGTAGAGAAAGACATCGTACTGAAGGGGCGAGCCGGCGTCCGGGTGGAGCTTGGCCTCTTTCGGCAGAAGGACCTCCAGGCCAATAGTGACTCCATCCTGATTTGGAAAGATGGTAAGTAGAGAATGATGCAAAAAAGGTAGGAGATGGAGGTATTCACAGAGGGGAAATAACAAAAAAAAGACACAAAGACAGATGCTTATGCGGGTGAAATTTGAGACACTGGGTTCCTGGGTCCAGAGGACTGCAAACACTATTTGTAGAATCTCATCTGTTCAAACGTGGGCAAACATAGCAAAATGTTATAGTTTTCCAGCTTTTAAGTCCAATATTCACACTTATTCAGCTATCACATTAAAGAAGTTTGCTGTTTCTTTACAGCTGATAGTAAAAACATCAGGAATTCAGTGTCTCCTATCTGAGGGGAAATTGTAGGAAGGATGGCAGTGAACTGCAAAGCTCAGCATGCTTTTTTAAAAACTACAGCCTTGATTTAGCTGAAAAGGCAACACAGCTACAGCTGACCCCGTTCTCACAGCCAGTCACACAGAATGAAGACATCAGCTGAGATCAGCAAGATTTCAGAAAGAATAAAGTCTATTGACACTTTTGGTGGAAGTGAGTTTCTGAAATGCCACAGCTATTTGGGACAAAAAATATGAATTTTTTTATGGCATATAAAGCATATATTTTCTATGTCAAAATGAATTCCACTGAACTTTTTAATGTTATAGTAATTTTTTAAAAATGTGATTAGAACACTGACGATGCATCTCATTGCTGTAATCATTGCTCATTCGTGTGGCCTTCTAAACCTTCCCGAAGGAAGGTTGTTACCAATTAATAAAAGAGCAAGAAACCCAATCATTTAGAGGTGGAGTGGCTGTTGATGGCCATTCAGTGAACTGTAACCGAGGGGATTAAGGTACATTTCCAAGTGAACCAGGATGGGTTACATATGTTTTTGCATTTTGAACCAATTCGCTAACACATTCTATAGTGCTGATAATGTATTTAACAGGGATTAGAATTTAAATTAGTCTATACACCATGAGCCAAATCCATCTTTTAGGATTAAATTCAAACCCGCAGCTAGGTGTAGACCACAGACGTATGTCGATCTTATAATCTGCAAAACGAACAGTTCCCTGATCATCTATCAGCTACATTGTGTATTTTTGCTAGAAAAAACAACTATATTTTTGTTTGATTTACCTATTTGAATTAAAATATATTTTTAAATATCACGTATATGCATCTTATACTCACAACATTATTCCGAAAGGTTGTACAATCATTAGAAAAGAAAATGTCTTGTTTATGAATTAGGACTGTAATAATGAATGGTCGTGAGCATAAAATGCAAATGACACACACCAACAGTTGTGTGATAAGCAAATGCAAAGAACGAGGACCCCTTGTGTGTTATCAATGAGGACAGGCAAAGAAAAGGATATTAATCATTTCAAAGTTGACATTTATGCAGTGTTGGAAAAAATCTAATATGACACAGGCATTGGTTCAGACTCCCCCCTGAAAACCTGCATGAATGTAATAATCTGACTGAGATAATAAAGAATAAGCACGCTTATTATGTTGATGTTAAGCATGGAATGCTACTTTTCAAGCTTTTATGGTTATGGTTCCATTTGGAGCTTTCCATGGTGCTGAAACTGGGCTGTTGTGTGTTTTCTGTGGCGTAATCTGTGAGCAGCCGGCTGCCGTGGCGCGAAAAGTAGGGTCAGCCATGCATTCAGTCGTCATTAGAGTGGGGGCACTTGGGAAGTAGAGAAATTCATTATGAGCAGACATGCAGAAAAGAGAAAGCCAGAGAGAGAGAGAGAGAGAGAGTCTGCAGGGAGAGTGGAGCTCATAGCAACACACAGGGACAAGCTGGATAAAATGAAAAAGATTTATTCCAACAACTGTGAACTGTAATCCTTCATGTATACCCAAAAAAGTACAAAAGAATCTCAAGTACAATAAAGTAGAATAAAACACATTGAAAACCAAGACACAGCGTGTGTATTATATGCATATAGATTCAAATATCAACTCCAAGCAATTACTTTAACCTCAGGTAATCTAGACATATCCACTTATTAGCAATGTCAAACATGAATATTTCGCAAATACAGATTCACTTAATTTCCAAGTACTTCTTTTGCAAATATTACTTTTTTCAGACACTTTTTCGCTGATAACACCAATGCATGCGGGCAGAGGGACAGTTAGGCGGGACAGGCAGAAGCAAGGGGGGGAAGGGACGGGAGGTTCAGGGAAATTGGAAAAACAGACAATGAAGGACTTCATTGGCCAAAGACCAAGGCAGGGCATCAGTAGAGAGGGCAGTCAGTCAAAAGTTGGTCCAAGCCAGAGATGTTAGTCCAGTATTAGAGGCAGAAGGAGCAAAGAAAGGCGGCGGCGGCGCCACTAGATGGTCAGTAAGAGCATGGCAGCCTTGTAAACAACTATTGTGCTTCTCAACTTGGATCTTTAAATACGTGTTGTGCTCACTTTTAGACGTTAGATCTTACTACGCTGTCAGGGACCCGGTGTGCACTTAGCGAGGTGTAAACGATGTCAGACTAGAAGCTTTGTGTGCGCCGTAAACATTTTGGTCTGATTCTCCACCCGGACACTGAGCGCTGTGCTGACTTTTACACCAGGTTGTTCTGGAGCATGTTTACCTCGGCGCTCTCCTCCGTGTTGTTGGGGGTGTGGGCGTGGACGCCGGAGGCCGGGCGGTTGTTCTCCTGCTTGGGGGAGTGGGAGTTCAGGATGTTCATGGAGCCCTCCTCCTTGGGTTGCGGGGGCTTTGCCTGGTGGTCCTTCTGAGGCTCATCCTATGGGGAGAGATTTACTGTTCACATTTGTATAACAACTGACACACACACACAAAAAAAGATTTGCACCTAAATGAATCGGTTTGATTTTTTTTTTTTTTATCGTTGTTGCTCTGAATATGAATGCACATGCAAAAAGCCTTTTTGTAAAATGAAATGCCTTGAACCTTCCATATTACCAAACACAGAGTTTGGCAAAAGAAGTACAAATTATACAGAGGTGAGCTAAACTCATTAATCCACCCCGTTACTAAATTGTTTGGTAAAAGCTTACTGCAAACTAAGATAAAGATAGCAATGACAGAATGGAATATATTAATATAAAGCTTTTTAATGTCAGAATTTAATTTACAGAGTAATGTTTCATTCTGGGATTCTACTTGACTTAATTACATAATCATTTTTATGTACATCATTATAATCATTTCTATTCACTGTGCTGCTGCCCCTCTTCTGACTGACATATTCCGTTTTAACATATTCTGTTTAAACATGTTCTGTTTTGACATATTTTGTTCTAACATATTCTTTTTTTGACATATTCTGTTTTAACTCGTTTCGTTCGGGCTCTAATATATTTTCCTCAAATAAATAAAGAAACACAAAGGTGCGATGATACGCTGGAAGATGATAAACCCCCCCAGGAGTGGTCACTATGTGGACATGTACGCTAACATTGATCTAATAAACTAATCTTATATTTAGATTTAGGGAAAGCATACAATACCTATCACTCCAATGACATTTAAAACTCTGCACTGCAGACCCCGTTCCTGCAGGCGCTTTACGGCCTCTGGACCTGACATTTAGAGCATCCGGCAGTCCAGCAGCCACAGAAACTCATCTGTAATGGCTGCAGGGAAAGGCCAGCTCAGCTCTGAGGGGCAGAAGCTAATGTTGAAGAAAACAAGCCACAATTTGTTCGCGTCAGTTGGACCGATAATGGGTACGTATCCCGGTAATCACTCGGTATGAGCTTGTGTTTTCGCAGGGCTGTAACTATAGCGTTTGCGTCCGTGTGTCAGTTTGTAAATGTGCAAGTCGGTCATTTATTGGCGTGTCACAGACAGCTGAAGGTCATGGCCACAGCGGGCGGTAAATAGGACACAATTGATCGGTCACACTGGCTGCTGCTGGACTAGGTGAGATTTCACATGCAAAACTTTGGGCTCTGAATGTTTAAAGTGATTTTCTCTTAGGTGATCTCTCACGGCTCAAATTTTGTGTTTACTCTGGGATTGGATTTGGATTTGTTGAGCAGAGTCTCAATTAATTCTTTTTGTGCATAAGTTTAACCAAGCTTCTATAACCTTTCACAGTGTTCTGGCTTCCTAACGCGTATTATCGATAACTACAAACTGGGCCATAAATCTGCCAACAAACAGACATACAGAGAGTAATTAATGCAACCCCACTTACACACTTTACACACAGTTATAATGGATTTCATAGCAGCACAGCATGCATTTCATCTATAGAAGAGAAGTGAGTGGAGAATAAATGCACAGGGACCTAACATGGCCGTGTGTGCTGTATGAGGAGTGAGCAGAGGAACAAAATGGAGGCTCGGCTTGCCACATCGAGCTACTCAGGAAGCTGCAGAGGCACAGGTAAGAGAGGATACGAATGGGGGAGCCTGCTATTATTCACTCGGTGGTGATCACATTACTCCTGGAACAACTGGCTGTAGGAAGCCTCGCAGGAGGTGATCAATCATGTCAACCCGGAGGGCTCGGACCAGATGCAAGGAAAGAGATTGTGGAAGTGAGGTTTTGCAGCAAATTTGGCAAGTTTAAAGCAAAGCCAAGGAGAAAAAAAAGGAGGACTGCTGCAGGCAACGCGAACATCTCCACTGTGCTTACCTGGAAGTGGTTATAAGGGTTTCTGTGTTTATAATCCCAGGTATATCTCGCTGTTGATGACCTCTGAGGGATTAGTGAGTATGAAAACCATTAAGCAGTGGCATACCGTACAAACTCAGCTGTATGAATCATTTTAATGAGAGCAACTTGATGGAAACGGGGCCACTTTTGTGGAAATTTGCTCTCGGGAGCTGATTTTAACTCAGCAATTTAGCACAGACAGGAAAAAAACAGCCACACAAACATGACGACAGGACAAAAAAAACAAGACTGGTACATAAATTACATCAAAGCACTACTCTGCTGGGGGGGGGGAAGAAGTAGAAAAAAAAAGGGGGGGGGGAAAAAACAAAGGAAAAAAAAATCAACCCCAATAAGGGGGAGAGAAGCAAACATGAGGAGAGTTGGGGCATACCTGACAGATAATGTTGTCATAGTACGCCAGGTTGTGAGTATGAGCTTGGGGAGCAGGCGGAGGGGTGTCGCACAGTTTCCTTACGTTTGGCTGGGAGCCGTCGGCCGTTGTCGAAACTGAGAGGCCGTCAGTCTGGGGCTCGCCGCTCTGGGGGCGGTACTTACTGCGAGAGAGCGGAGAGGGAGATTTGTGTGCTATCAACATTTGTGTCGCCTTTTGTGTTGCCTTTTTCCCCCCATCACAGAAACAGGAAATCACAGTAAATTCACAATTACGTCAAGTTATGTCAGCCATTATTCACAGAAGTTCCCTGTTTTTTGTAGTGGACGCCAACAAAGTGTAGCTCACGGCTCCTGGTTCTGCTTTCTCTCACCCTGGCCACACACACCTGCGTTTGCGAAGGCGCCGGTTCTCGTTCTTGAGGCGGTAGAGTCTCTTGGCAAAGAAAACGACGATCATAAAGAGCAGGAGGAGCACGACAGAGGCCACGCCCACTATCACGCACAACACCTGGAACTCTGTGATGGCCCATTCGCAGCGCATGCCTTTGTTCCAGATGTAGTCCTGTACATTACACCTGTGTGTGTGTGTGTGTGAGAGAGAGAGAGAGAGAGAGAGAGAGAGAGGGATAAGAAATGTGGGCCATATAAGCCTAATTAAACTACTCATTTAATGCCTTTAGTTTACAGACATCCCTTCTCTTCACCTGTTGCCTCATTGCTAAAGTCAGGGGGTTTCGCTCCAGACTGTAAACCATTAGCACCAGCAGATTTATCAGATTTACTTCAGAGTAAAGGGTGCTGGGTTACTGGTGACACGGTGTCCTGGGGCCTGTCCAACAGAGCGGCCTAGCTTTTAATGAGATCAAAGGATCAGAGCATGTGCATGGACAGTGTTTGTGCTTTTTTTTTCCACTTCCTGTGTACTTGCACAGGAAGAAGAGTGCATTTTGTACACAGACACGTGTGTTTATGTTCATTTGTGTGTAATATAAACCAGCAGGTAGGACAATGGGAGCAACAGTTTGCTTCCGAGCTTACAGTGAAGCGGCAGGGCTGGGCAGATGGTCGCGAGGCAGGCGTGCAGTCTTGTGTATGTGTGTGTGTGCGTGTCGGTGGATCTGTGGATTACACATATGTTCCCGAGTAGTGAGTGTGTGTGCGCCTTTCGCTATCGTCAGTGCGATCTTTCCTGGCCCTATTTGTATTGTCATCCTCCTCATGCTCTGCTTTCTTTGTGTATGCGTGTATATGTGTGTGTGTGTGTGTGTGTGTGTATGTGTGTGTACTGCATGAGTTTATCAGCAGCCTACAGACACACACTGTCTGTACCCTCAAAAACGGAGCTAATCTTTTGGGGATCCTGCTGTGATCTTGACAAAACATCATGACACATTAAGCCAGCCTTCTGTCTCGGTGCATTTGTTCAGTGGGTGTTTATTTAGCTGCGGTGTCCTAAATCCTAAATCTTTTCTTTGGTGCCATTGAAAGTTGTTCCAAAAAAGATGCACTCTCATATTTAAAAGGAAAGAGGAAATGTTTTACTTGAGTTACAGACACTCCTGTTTACCTAAAAGTCAGAGCAAGCTGGTAGATCCTCAAGCGTTATAATGAAAATCTTGTTATTCTCATTTCAGTTTGCCCAAAAACAACTATTCAGTTGACCTAGAAGATATTCCAGGATGCTTCTCACCTGCAGAAGGCCCCCATTCCTGCGACGACAGTGCACACGCCTCCGTTGAAACAGAAATTGGGTTCTACGTCGCACTGGGAAACGCACACCCCGGGTCCGGACAGGACAAAGCCCAGCCTGCAGCCGTCGGCCCCCATGGCGCCGCCAACGCCCAACCCATCACTGCTATCTGGCCCTGGCACGGGAGGAGCCGGTAAAGATGAGCCTGGCCTCACGTTTTCGGGCACAGCGGGAGAACCACCGAGCAGCGGATTCTCATCCTCCATGTCAGTTGAGGGTGAGAGGGTGGCCTCCGGCTCTGGGGTGGTATCTACTGCTGAAAGGTCATCGTCAGGAGACAGGTAATCATAAAAATCAGAGAGTGTCCATGTGGTAGGGTCTCCACCTTTCTGCTTTTGGGGTTTGGGGGCTTTTTCCCAATCCAGAGCGGCCTCAGAGGGCACCACGTCCGGCGCGGGGCTGTGAAACTCCACAGTGATGACGCCGTCCGATAAGGGATTCCCAGGCTGGTCAGGCCCGGCCCCTCCGGCCGTTAGCTCCTCCATCACGGAGGGATCCTCCTCGGCGAAATCCAGGTAGTGCCGTTTGTGGTTATGGTGATGTCTGGTGGGGCTGAGGGGGAGCTTGGCGCCAATCCCCGCTCCAATCAGGTGCTCTCGCTCTGCCGAGTCGTCGCTGAGCACCATCCTGGTGTCCAAGGCCTCGTTGCTGACCGATGAGTGATTGTGGTGATGATGGTGCCGGGCTACTGAATGTTTCCCTGTCAATCAGACACGGAAAGACGGTTAAACAGACCAGTGGTTTTACATTTAACATTTATACATCTTTCACTGAGAGAATTTTCTATTTGAATCCAATTAAACGGTGCCACTGGACTTCCACTAAATCTCTATAACATAAATAAGCAGCAGACAATTGTAACACCTTCATGGTTTATTTGATTAGATACAAAAATACATAAAAAAAAATACATAGACCTATTGTTTTAAAGGATTTTATAATCCAAAGGAAGAGATGTGAACTGGCATTTACATGCGAATCTAAACAGTCGCACTCAGTGACAGATTTAAATGTGTTGTTTATGTCATCTTCCTAAAGCTAAATGAAGAAAAATAAAAATCAGTCCATTTGATAATTGCCATTCTTATTTTTGTTTTTTGAGTTTTGTTCACAGCATTCTATGGGAATGTCTTAATGATGTTCAAAGCCTTTTTAAAAGGAAATGCGTCTAGTCATATTTTGCAATCTCATGTTTATCTGAGTCATTATCTGGTGATAAAAAGGGTTCCCTTTCAAGTTGCCTCACTGTGAAAGAGCAAAGTCATTAGTGGTTGGACATATGAGACCAGGATCTGGAGACTTCAGCACGAGGTCAGAGGGTGGTAACGTAGGATTAGGCCCAGTGACTGACTGACCGATATGCTCCAGTGACTGAGACTTGGTCAGGATTAGATTAGGATTTGGAGCAATGGGTTTGCTTTGACAATCTGGAGAGAATGATCCCCACACATAATAAAAGAGCAAAGACATACAGATTTCCTATAGATAGAAGTATATATATAGTTAAACATACTGCTTGGGAAGTATGTCTTTACACAACTGTTGTACTTCTGGGGTATGATTTATTTAATCCAATCATAATTATAATGAATGGATAAAGAAAGAGCAAGTAGCTTGTTTTATATTTAGCCTGATGGATGCCTTAGCAACATGTACATGGATGTGATTCATCACCAAGCCAACACAAATGAACCAGTATTTCTTCAAAAAAGAAAGAAATACTTCATCAATTTAACCTCAGTTGACTGAATCTGTAGAGGTACATTTTCCCACTTTTTTTTCTCACGTGTCACATGACTTCTCTCTGATTGCTACCCAGAAATCACCATGTCCAATAAGATCGCTGCTGTCCGTATCTGCCACTTCATTCAGAGCTTGTACAAAAACCATATGAACGTGCCTCGACTCATGAAGACTAGTGTGGCTTCACCTAACACACACGCACACACACACATGCACACACACGGAGCACAGTTGCCATGGTGAGATGTGAAGACGTGCCATGTTGAAAGAAGGAGCGGAGTGAGGGAGCTGCAGAGGAAACAGAGAATCCAGTGTTAGGGCTCCTTGTCTCTTGTTTTCCAATCAACCCGGCCGGCCAATCAGCTCAGTAATATGCTGCACCATCTCTGGGAAAAAACCGGGGTGCGACGGGCCCCTCCTGATTCGTGAAAAGACATCCTCCGGCAGCTCAAACTGATTACGAAGGCTTTGGTTTTGCATTGGAGCTTCAATCTGCCAATTTGTTCTCTGTTAAGACTTGGATGTTGCATCCAGTGTGGAATTGGCCGTCTTCACAGCGATTACACGAACAAAAGGGAGCATGAGGAGATCACAAAGCCACAACGGTCAAATAGAATGCACCAGTCCTCTGCTGAGCTATGTGATTTGTGTCTCGGGGATGATTTGCACCTTTAACTGCCGCTCAGCTCATAACCTCCAGCCTCACACTGAGGCATGTCACCATGGTAACAAGTTTTACCTGAGGTCACTATGATTGGTTAGAGTGCAGACTGCCGGCAGCCTTACCGGCAGCACAGAGAAGAAATTATTAGAAGAACCAAGCAAACACTGTGGGACCGACACTTCTAATGTGCTGCTTCAATGATTCAACCTCTTTCATATGTAAAAAAACAAACAAAATTAAAAATCAATTTGTCATTTTGGTGCTCTTCATGTATTTCTTTGGGATTTTTCCAACTCCTTTAATGAGCCAGCCTGCGACTTCCATCTAAAATCTACGTTATATAGCGTAGATTTTACACTTTTAATCTCTAAACAGCATCCTCCTTCCCTGTGTGTATATGTTTGGGTGTGAGAGATGCTGATGATCTGATTTGCTGTGACATATTGTGAGCTTTCTAGGACCGCAGGGCAGTTGGCCCTCGCGGTGTGCAGCCTCTAGATTTTGGACGCAGACACACACACACACACACACACACACACACACACACACAAACGCTCACACGCCAGCACGCCCCAAATGATTCAATCCATTTTGTTTTACACATCCATACCACACGCTTTTCTCCCAGGTACTTCTTTGTGTTGCCAACTGACCGATCATACAGCAAAATAGACTATTTGAAAGACAAGTGGGAAGATCTAAACCTATAAAATGTCTTTTGGGTGTGGGCCAATGCTTGAAATGATGACAAAATGAGCGTATTGTGATTTAATGACAAAAAATAGACTGGAACATTTCTAATTTGGGCGCATGGGAATTGCCTGGGGTTATATGGTGACACGGCCATCTATCCATCCAATTTCTATGCCCTCATATTGCAATTCAGGGTCATGGAGTGGGTTACAGATCATCCCAGCTGTCAGTGGGAGAGAGGGGGAGTAGACCATGGGCCAGTTTCTCACATACCCATAAATGCATTAATCCAGAAAGTCAAAGAAATCATTAGAGAAAACAATAGCAACGTTGAGTTTTCTCATTCAGGGCTGAAAAGATGACATATGACAATGCTCTAAAGACTCATCTGCTTAGTTTATTGCAATTTCCACCAAACAGAACAAAGATGAGAGATGGAAAAAAGGAAAGCACGTTTAAATCTAACTCCTCCCCACGGTCCATATCAGCCCAATTACTGTAATCAACAATATGGCCATCTTCTAATTAATCCCACATCCACTGCCAAATGGTTTCGCGTGAGAGGTGACGGTGCCAGACGCGCAGGCCCGTTTGCCGGTCAATGTGCCACAGCCTTAACGCCTGGTTACGCATCGAGGCCGAGAGACGCGGGAGGGGGGTTCGGCCGCTGCGCGTGCCCGCGTGGACCCCCGCGCGACCCTCTGCGTGCACGAGCCACCCTGTTGCTGGGCAGCGGTGTAGCGCTCAGCCGAGCTTCCAACATTTCCCACTATTTCCAGGAGAGACGCGCGCGCCCGTGGAGACAGACAGTCCACACAGGGGGGTGGGGGGGGGGGGGGGGGGAGGGACCGCATTCGTGGTTGTGAATGGACCTCCCGTGGCCCGACCACCGCGCGCCTACCCTAATCCTGCCTTTGTCTGGGATTCAGTTGCGCACAGCTGAACGCTCCAAACGTGTCACCGAGCATCCATCCGCGGACCCCTGGAGACTCGTAACACCCCATCTTTAAACGAGACCTAATTCCCGTCACTTTGACTGGACATCATCTCGCTGACCCTTTGCCACAGCAGTATAGTCCACGAGCCATTAATGATCAATACCGGTGGGAGAGACAGGGCACATGAAATCATAGTAATGGAACATTATTGATTGTCTTTCAATTGTGTTGATAGGTTGCAAGTGAATTAATGAACACAGCGATTGTCACAAATAGTGGCTAAACAGTAGGAATATTCCATCAGTGACCACAAAATATAGCGCTCAGTGCACGACAAGCATCCGGAGACCCTCAAAACTGAAGAAAACCGCTATTATGATCAGACTCCACATTTCCGAGTTGCGTGTCTGAGCTGTATCTTGACATTTTTTAAGTCAAATCCATGCAGGTGTGATCTGATTCGCGCACGTGCCAAATAGCCAAACACAGTCTGTACGCACGCACGCACAGGGTGGGACGTGGGCTTACCGTGAGCAGACACGGGGGCGATTACCATGGCGATGGCCAGGAGCACCTGCCAGGTTCCCAAACGGCCGTTCCGGCGCGCCATAGCGGTGGTGGTTATTCCTTTTTTGACAGGGGGTGATGAAAAACTCTGATTCCTTCCCCTCGCGACACCGGCCAGACTGATCTACAATAATCCCCTCACAGCAATTTCAGAGCTTGTCAGTTTTCGCCATTATCCTCAACGTCGTTTACGCGTGTGGTCGATTTTAAAGGCACGGGTTCAGGTCCATTTTCCCAGGTGGCCGCCCTCCCCTCGACAACCTATTTGCGCGCGTGCCACCCGGTCGGTTCTTTGGAGACCCCTGGGGCAGTTGTAGTAGTAAGGCGCGCGACCAAACGGAGAGATCCGCAGATGAGGATTTAATGACACAGCTCTGGTCGCTGCGCGCGCCTCTGCGCCTGCACCGGCTCGTGGAGTCTTTTCCTCTGGCTACACCGGCGCAGAGCGGCACGGCGCGCGCGCGTGCACAGCACGTTTGGGTGTCAGAGTGCCAGCACACACACACACACACGCACACACACACACACACCTTGGATCCTCCACTGTGTCCAGCCCCTCAGCCCGGTGAATGTGGGATCCGCGCAATACGCCTATTTTAACGCCACGGCTCACGCGGGTGTCAGAACATCACGCGTGCCTCTTGCCGGGTGTGTTTTTATATGTCAGTAGGTTATTGGTGCACGTTGCCTTTGGCCGAGTGAGAGGTTTGCGCGTGTGCGTTTTGGATAATCCTCTTACTGCTACATTGAGATGTATTCTCCAGACAATGGCATCTGCTGCTTAGTCACTAAACACACACACACATTGTCTTTGACCAGACCAATAGTCTAGCTTTACACATGTTTTTTTCCAGTTCATCTACCAACAAAACACCCAAAAATACACACGCTGCCCTTCACCCATTGGTTTCTGTTGCCTTAAATACAGAACTGCTTCCAGAATGCATTTGTTATCACTTATATATGACACTAATCCAGTTTCTGTAGTCAGAGTCTCCATTTTTGTCACTTCCTGGGGTCAAAATGGCCTCCTGGGGACTACTGTGTTATGTAAATTACATTAAGAAAACGCCACATGCACTCTTCATAGTCACAAACTGCACTCTCCCTCAAAGCTTAATGAACCTGAGGGGAAATTCAGACAACGGCGTGCTGTGTGCAGCGTGCTGCTGCTCTCATCAGTACACAAAATGCATACAAATACGTCTGCTCACCGTCAAAGAAGAGGGAAGGGTTTTATTAGGCGGAGGCTGACGGTGGGAGTAAGGGAAGGGCTGTCACACGAGGGAAGCTGGGATGTGATTCAGAAAAATGGACGGAGACGGGTGAGCGTTGAAGTGGCAGAGCCGGAGAGTGGTGCAGATTGGGAAAGAGAAAATGTTCACTGATGTACTGCCAAACAGAGCAGAACAAAACTGCTTCCGTAGCCAACTATCTCCATGTACACACACACACACACACACACACACTCATACATCAGCGATGATAAATGTGCACCAGAAACATTATCTTTGTGTTCTGACTCTTTCTGTGGAGAAATAGTTTACCCCGGTGAATTTTGCTTTTCCTCGAGATGGACAGAGAAGACACGCTTTCTTGTGCGAGATGAACAGATGGATCTGAACAACACACCTTAGTTGGCGCCAAGCTCAGCGTGCTCGTGTGCACCTGGAGCTCGGGCCATTTTGGGTCCGCCATCCTGTTCCTGCGTGGAACAGTGAGGGATGAACAGGATGTCCAAGGACCCCACAGAGCAGACTCTGCACGCGGATGAGAATCTATCAAGATTCAATGCAAAAAAAGGTGAAGTTATGTAACCTATATTGCCATCACCGGACAGGGAAGTATGTCTAAGTAAGAAATGTCACTTATTTTTGTTGGCTGGATGGTCTGTCATATCTGGGAAGTGGATACATTAAGAGCCCCATGCCTGTATCACACTTATTTGATACAACTTTGTCTATTTTATATATATATATATATATATATATATATATATATATATATATATAAATTACTCAAATAACTATCCTGAAGTTGTTAATTTCCTTAGCACCTGTCACCTGATTTAGGGTCTCTTTGGTAGCATCTGAAGAGCCGCTAAAGCCATTCAAGAACTATAAAAACAATCGAAAGACTTCTGACATCATTTGGACAGTCAATCTCATTGCTGGCATCATGTGTTTTGTGTCAACATTTTGATTCTCTCACTAACATTGTACACAATGCAACAAGAGTAACAGAAGCGCAAACGCAAGACAAAACAGCAGTTTAGTATAAAAAAAACTTTAATGAGTCGAGTTCAGATGCCTCGACTCTTGACGTCAGAGCACAAAGAATTCACAGATAGATGAGCTGTTGAACAGAAATGCATCAGCTGTGTTTGTGAGGCTTTCAGTCCAATGCAAGACTATTGAAGAGTTACTGGCTTCAGCCTTTGAGCCTGAACGTTTCTGTGGAGCATTCCTCCTGGCAGAAAGCAGAAAGACTTTTTCTTTTTCTTTTTTTTCGTGCTTGTTTTTTTTGGGGCCTGTTCAGTTGTGGCTGGAAGATGGAGGGCCGGCCTGAGCGGGGGCTATCCCATCAGGCTGTGCAGCTGGATCTGAGACAAGACGAATAAAAGCCGGCGTCAACACGACCGCGGTCAATGGCGAAAAATGAAACCTTGGACGACAACTGTTTAAAAACACTCACACATGCCGTTGGGAGCCCCGGGGTGTCGAGGGGCCATCGTCTGGGCGTTTCCTCCGACAGGAATCATCCGGTTGGGTATGGGCTGGCCTGAAGGGAACAGGACCACAAATGTAACGTCACAGAAACTAATCTTGATCAGATATTCAATCGACAGGATGCAGTGCACAGTGAGGATACGTGGTCGATAAGTGAAGGGATTGATGGGAGTGGCTGGCGTGCTTCAGTGTGTCCAGACCTGAGTGCTGCACCGGGTAGCCCGGCTGGCCCTGCTGCTCCCTCTGCTGGCGGACTTTCAGCTCGGCCTGCTTCAGCTGCTCGCTGTGGAAAGTCTGCCTCTCGGTCAGGAGCTGCTGCCGCTGCTGCTCCAACTGGAGAACACACCCGAACGGGAGGAGAAGAGCTCTTAGTGCTGGACGCGGACCGGAGCGGCTATTCTAGCCCCCCTGGTTGATTTACTCACGGCCTCTTTCTCGCGGTCCATGATGGTCTCCAGCTCTTCGAAGTGTCTCAGTTTTATTTCCAACTTCTTCATTTGTGTCTCCACCAGCAGGGCCACCAGGGACTTGATCTTCCTCTCTTCCACCGCGGCCAAATGCTGCCAAAGAAGATGCGGGTAAAGGAAAAACAGCATGAAGAAAGATAGGAATAATAGCATTGCATGATAGCATAATAGCAATAGCATTCTACCCCTTCTATGTAAACTGAAGGTTCACTCTTAGTCTCTGTGCTCATGTCTGTTTGGTAATAAGAAGATCTGAAGCACGACAACATAAAGCTGATAACCCATTCCTGCGTCAGGTCTATTTAGAAGTAGGAAAGCCTTACCTTTGCTTTTGTCGCGGCTGAGGAAAGAGCAGCAGCTGCTGCCGTGACGACACTGCCCTCCACCAGGTCCAGCTCCATCACTCTCCCGTCATCCACTTCTCCCTCCTTCCGGCTTAGGCTCTCCTCGTCGTCTACCCTTCCTGGAGTACGGAATTCCCAGAATTAGTGCTGCGCACGCACTACCGCGCTATCAGATTTTTTAAATAAGATTTCACACACACCGTCTCCCTCCTCGGAGAGTAAATTTTCCATGTGTTCTCTTTTTACTCGATCCGCCTCCCCTTTTGAAACGTCAGGTTCCATCTTGACCCCGTCCATCCGCAAAGGGTCCTGAAACGGATTTAAATGCAGACGTAAACGAATGCTCCGGCATGGGAAAACTGCCAGCGCGTTTGTCCACTACCTGATGGGGATTGGAGTCCAGCTTTTGGGCATCCATTGGATCTTTTAGACAGAAATAAAAACAAATAAATAAAACGAGCAGCAAAAACAAGAAACATTTCAAGTGTTTTTTTTCTTTTCCTAAATTCCGTCTTGCCTGTTTTTTCGAGCTGGTTGGATGCTTCACAGGCTTTGTCCACCGACTCCTCCTGTACTTTGGAGAACTCCTCTGGAGACACAGATCAACAGTCATCACACCGTATATAGAGCACACCATCTCACAGCCACTTCTGGTTGTGGACTATATGAAAAATCCCCCCCCTATTCTCTGAGTTCTCACCTAAAGCTGCCTTAGCTGCAGCCGACGCCACGCGAGGATCCACTACAGATGCCAGGAAGGCCACAGTGCTCATAACGGGGTTCTCCGATTGGCTAAAAGGCACAGGTTGAAAGGCAAGTGGACCAAGAGAGGCAGACGAGTCCTCCAGGTAAGGGTCTTCTATTGGCAGACGAAGGAAGTGGAGGATGCATTCATCCTGCGTTCTGGAGCCCACGTGCTCCGACACTTTGTTCCAGTCGTCCCTGTAGACCTCCAAAGCCTGGGAGAGACAAAGACAGGGGAGTAAACATGACCAGGACTGGACTGGAAACCTTCAGGGATTATAAAAGAGCAGCTATTAAATCGGAAATAAACTTATAAGCATTAGAAATGTTTTACCTCCAATAACAGCAGTGTCTCCTGTTCGGTCCATTCTCTTCCTGCATTCGCTCCCTTAGTCTGAGAAAAGGGTCACAGCAATTTAAAAATGTGGAAAAGAATAGTAAAACTAGAAAAAAATGTAATTCCTAAACATTTTTTCATGGTCTCTCAGTTAAATGTCAACAAATCCTTCAAAAAAAAAAAACGCCAAATGAACCGCTTCCACCTGTTAAAATATTAATTATTCTACATTATTACAACTGAGTGAGACCTTGGGGTGCTTTCTGGTGTAGACATCAGTGCGCAGGCCAAAGTTCTGGCAGTCGGATGGTTTCTCTCTGCTCTTCTCTGGAAAATAAAGCATGTGCTGGGAGGCCGACACCTGAAAGGGGAGAAGAGTTTCTAAATGAATATGAATTGAAGACGTTTTAAGATTTTTTATTTTTTTTTCCAAGCTGTGATGTACGCCGGAACTGACCTGTAGGGGTTTGTGCTGTAAGGGGGCCAGGCCGGACGGTGTGTCGGCCAGTACGTTGAAATGAGGGGTGGGAGGGGGTCCCATAGGGAGAGGCCTGCTCTCTGCGTCCACTTGGTAGTTGATCAAACCCCACTGCTCCAACAAGGCATGGACCCTGGACACGAAAAGGTGGGGATCACACATTTGGATGAGAGCCCCGTTCGAGCGCCCCGCGGCGAACGCTGGGACCTGGAGCTGTACCTGATGAGGGCGCAGACGTCTCCGGTCAGGTTGCGCCTACAAGACGTTGAGCTCAGGTATTCCTGGGGGTTGAGCCGATACGTGTCAATCATGAAGTTACGATATGCCAGGTAGCTGCAACACAAAGGGAAAAAAAGTAAAAACCAAGTAAGGAAATCCCATGCAGCCGACTTTCGTCATCTGAATAAAACGGTGGCGAACGTCGGAAGCACTCACATTTCAGGAGTTTTTGATTTGTTCTTTCCATTGAAGAATTCAGGCAGTGCGCGTTTCTCTATTGAGTGAATGCTGAAAGAAAAGCGCGTGGGGCTCTTTTAGGAACATTTTCTGGACTCACACTAAACCCCAGCTCAGCTAAAAGAAACTGTGCTGTTTACCTGTTGTAATTGAACCAAGACGTGTAGCTTGGTATTATAATATGATGCGTTTGCTCGGTGAGGTTTTCCTCTCCCTCCGACAGGCGAGGGATTTCTGCTCTTCCCTCCTCATCTTCCTGTACACACATCCACATTAAAAAGCCTCATATCACAGAGGAAAATTGTAATGTAGGAACATTTTCCAGCAACTACATTTCTAGATTAAAAGAGGAGATAGGAAAATGTATATTTACCCTTCCTGGAAAATCATCTTCCTGTTCATCTGAAAGAGAAGCAGGAATAAAAATGTATGTACGTGCAGAAAAGCAAGGGAGAAAAACCCTGAATGTGAAAAGGTGACCTCGGAACATTCAGGGCAACACACGCAAGCATACCCAGGTCAGCCATGATCCCTCCTTTCACCGGAGTATTCTCGCTGTCTTTCTTCAGGTTCACTGCACAGACAAAGAGAAAAAATTATGCCTCTGTTGGGAAATGTTTAGAGAAATGGTAGACATTTTCAGACCCTTATGAATACTGCTTTACCATTTTTGGGTAGTACGACCTCCTCCATGTTAGGCACAGGTGTAGGGTCCTCCATGTCTTTGGTCAGGTCTTCTTCTGGTTCCTCCTCTTGTTGCCCGCGCCTTCTCCTGTGTGAACACACCCACACATTCCCTTTTGAAACACGTGACCGAGTGCAAGACCACAACCCCGTACGGATAAATGAGTGTCATCATACCCCTTCTTTCCTTTCTTTCGGGACTCGGACGAGGGAGATGAAGGCGAGTGTCTTCTCTTTTTTGAGGGATTGGACTTGGAATCCTGTAACAAAGAGGTCAAAGTAAACTGAGACAAATTCCTACAGGGATTTAAGTTCTGGAAAAAAAGGCAATGTGGAACTTTAACAAAATCTTAAAAACCAAGATGCAATAAACGCTGATTTATGCGCTTAGAACACAAGCAAACACAAAATCACCAACTTATTATTTTTATTAGAGGACCAGGATACCAGAATACCAGGAGCAACAACAGCTTCACACACCTGGTCATCCTGGAGATGAATGTGCCGACGGAGGGTGATGGGTAAATTCCTCTCATTGACACAATAGTCCTCCTCATTCATCCACTCATTGAAGACATCTGTGTCCAGCACCCAACCAGCATGTACCTAGAACAAACACACAAATATCAATGTAAAATGGCAGAAGTAGTCAAGTTTCTAAAAATAAATCACATCACATTAATAGATGTATAATTATCACATGAAATGTTTCATTTTAAGTAAAGTCTGTGGATTTCTTGAACTTCAAAATCTGAAGAATTTGTCAAAATGCTGATATAGTGAATGCTGCTTAGAAGTATTTATCCAAGTGTACGTATGAGAAGTGAAATGCTGCCACACTAACCCGCCATGGCCTTTCAATGTGTGGAAGCTCCTCAACCTCCCCTTCAATGTCACTTGTGGACAGCCAGCTGTCATAACTGTTAAGGAGGAGAAAAGAAACATTGTGATCAGGTAGTTTGAGCTCCACGTGTCCACATGTATTTCAAACAAAGCACCAGTTCATTTCAGGAACTGTTGAAGCATTAAACTCAACAGGGAAATAATTGATTTTCACTGGAACACAGTTCCCCGTTTTAAAAAGCTGTATACGTCAGAGGAGTCACAAGATTGGTGATCTAGAGCACTTTTCTAATAAAAATTCCCATTACCTGTCAGGGTGCATGCCCCAGTGTACCAGGACATGCTTGTCTTTTCGCATAACAGGACGCATCCACTCATCTGTAAACACATGTATATTTGGAATGTAAATATATCAAGTTTATATGTGATAACACCAAGATGGATAGACAGCAACGCCACTCAGACTTTAACTGACCATCCTCCGTAGAAACAGGAGAGCTGTAAACATGATGACTGGCGATAGATCTGTCCTCAGTGATGGAACCCTACAGGAGCAAAATTCGGATTAACCTCAAAACATGGCACTTATACTCCTTCATCCCTTCAACTCCCAGCCAGTAGGACTTCACCTGGTGTTTGACGATAACACCAGTCAGTCTGCTGGCCAGTTCCTGATCCACCGCAGGATCCAGATAAACCACAGGCAGAGCCACGCAGTTGTTCTGTTTGATACAAAATCAAGTACAAATCAATCCACGAAAAGCCATTTGTCTGTTGTGAACACTTTTTTTTTTTTACACATCATTAATACCTGGATTACAGCTTTTTCAATCGCATCAAACATCTCCACATTCCTCTCCGTTCTCGATGGATTCTGGAAGTCGAATCTCCGCCTGCATTAAAAGGTCAACCAGGCACAAAGAGATATTGAACAGAACAAATGCAGCACGTTCTTGTTATGGATATGACCATAAACTGCCAAGGAACAGAAGTCTTGTTACCCACCAGCCCTGATCAACTTTAAACTTATAAGCAGTGCCAAGAATGTGGCAGAGCCCCCCTCCTTGCCGCATGTCCATAAAACAATGTGCCTGTCAAGAGAGAGAGATAAAGTTCACAACAATGTACAACAACCTGCATCTAAAAGAGAGAAACAAAGACTTACGGGCAGTTTTGTAAGTGCAGGGCTGACAGCTTGTCGCCCGAAAGCATCCTCCTGAAACTGGAGAAGCTGCAAGGTGACTGCAGCCAGAGCCTGGCAAGATGGAGACTCCACCAACACATACTGACACACACAAACATTAGCAGAGGAAAATCAAAATTTACACTCAGATTTGCTTGTCAAAGTCGACAGTCCTCATCTTGTTTGGTCCTTGTAATTCTGCCCGTTGTTATTTATATAGAGTGGTATCATTTTCGATTACACTCATTTAAAGAGAATTCTCCACGTTTCCTGCATTCCTAATATATATAGGTACAGTTAACCAATATCGTCAAACTAACGGGAGAAGTCAATGTTACGTTATCCAGCATGAGAGATGTGTTTACAATGTGAGTCAACGGACTTGCTAGCAGGGGGCGGCTAGCGACTCATGTAGCTTCCTAGTCTGTTAACTACCTTTTTGTAGTGCTTCCCGATCCACTGTCGCACCACCTCCAGCTGTGCTAAAGTCTCCGGACTCTCCCAGAATTTTGCGGAAGGGCTTCCGTCTTTTTTCCGATGCGCAAATGTGGTTTGGCTTGTCCCGGGTATCCCGAGGTTTGTTCCTCCTGACATTGTAGCCATAATGAAGCGAGATTAATTTCAAACGGGAAAACAAAACTGGCTAGCGCGGTCGCTAGCCTGTGCGGTCTCCTTTTTCCTCGCGAGACTCAACGCGACTGTTGCGTTTTGGCGTAAGAGTTTTCTGTTTCTCGTGTTTTGAATTTCCATTCACTGTCGATATTTTGTGTCGGTTTGTGGATATCGCTGTATTATTCACAGTTGTGGGGTTTGAACAAGCTCAGCATTATTACTTAAAGATGCCAGCACATCTCTTTGTTAACAACGAAAGCCTTTATTTTGAAATGGGACTCTGTAAGAAGGAAACGTTTGAGCACTACATGACATCAAACGTGTAGTGACATCGGTCAGTACAGCTTCCTTGTGATTTTACTCTAATTTTGGACGATCTGGATTATGTTCATAATATTTTGATAATTTACTATTATTTTATGTTCATTTTTAAACTGTATTGATTTTAGGTTAAACGTAAGATGATCAGAAATCCTTTCACAAACAGAACCGAACTTATCCTGTTTATTACAGATGCCATTTAAAGTCCGATTTCCGTCAGGGGTGGAGGTCTCGAGGAGCACTGAGAATAAAAGCTCATGAATCTTTTAATACTCTGCGTCTTGCAGGATCTGAAATGTCATGGGGGTACAGGGTTTGACAACGTTTGTGGAGGGAAACAGGGACTTCCTTCAAGATGTGAAGTTCAGGGACAGCCCCCTGGTGATCGATGGCTGCAGTCTGTATTTCCGCCTTTACTTTAACTACGGGTTAGATCAGCAGCATGGAGGAGACTACGATGCCTTTGCTCAGCTGCTCTCCCAATTCCTCAACTCTTTGGCAGCTTGTAACATCCAGCCATACGTGGTGCTGGATGGAGGTAAGAGGGCTTTAAAGGTGCTATTAATTTGTTCAATAACATTTGTTACCATGTCTGTTTTGTTTTCAAAGTAACTCAGGAGTTCATCCCCAGTCACATGATTTTATCTCAGAGGCACTGACCCACTGTTTGTAGGCTTCATGGGTTGTTTAGTCATTTATTTCCCCCCGATGCCTTCTAACATTTTATTTCTGCCCTTTATGAATCAAAGGGATAGATCCCAGCAACAAGAAGTTTTCCACACTGCAGCAGCGCCTGCAGGCCAAGATAAAGGATGCGGACAGCATCTCTCGTGGTCGCAATGGCTCCGTCCTACCTATCCTCACAAGACAGGTCTTCATCCAGGTCCTCATTCAAAATGGCATCCCGCTGGTTCAGTGTCCAGCGGAGGCTGACTGGGAGATTGCTTGCTTGGCACACCAGTGGAACTGCCCTGTGCTGACAAATGACAGTGACTTTTTCATCTTTGACCTCCCAGGTGTGCTTAGTAAAATACACTGACTGAAAAAGCCCTTTTTACGGCCTAACGGTGTGGTGTTTGAGGTTGCTTAACTTAATATTGATGTATTTTGTTTTCTCGTCCCAGGTGGTTATCTGCCTCTCGGTTCTTTCCAATGGAACAACCTCAACGGAAAAGCGTCCCACCGCTACATCTCCGCTCGCCGATACACCACCAGCCGTTTGTGCCGCTGGTTTGGGGGCATGAACCGCGAGTTGCTGCCCCTGTGCGCCGTGTTGGCCGGGAATGACTACAGCGCTCCTAAGGCGGTGGAAACGCTGCTGGATCTGATAGAGGGGACGACGTACGGGGGCGGGGGCAGAGGTCGGGGCAGGGCTACTCCTCGGGTCGCCGGCCTCCTCGGTTGGCTGTCGTCTTTCTCGAGCGTGGCGGAGGCCCTGGAGGAAGTGAGCAGGCTCATGTGCGAGGAGGGTGGGAGAGGCAGGAGAGGACAGAGCAGTGGGCTTAGCTCCCAGCTGTGGGCAGCCATGCAGGAGTACTGCATCGATGGTCAAAGCTGGTTGGCTCGCTGGTTCTCCGAAGGCACGGCAGCTTTTAGAGGGAAGGCCTCCGGTCTGGCGCAGCTGCCGGACTGTCTGTCCCTGGCCGCAGCACAGGGACTGTTGGCTCCCTTGGCTGTGGACGCCTCGGTGATGCGGAGGGTCCTTCTCATCCCGCAGGTGGAGAACAGCAAGCTAGCCAGCAGCCACTGTCCTTCCAGGGCCATACGACAGGCCGTTTATGGGTTATTACTGCGGACAGATACGTACAGCGCAACTCCAGGGAGGGACGAAGGTACACAAGGAGCAGGAGGGGAAAAACAGACGGGAACCAGAGGTGGGAGAGGGAGAGGGAGAGGGGGGAGAGGGGCACCGCGCCACAATGTAGCTGCGCATCATGGGGTAAACGCATCGCTAAGCATGGAGCAAGCGGCCAGTGCGGCAGCAGTTCAGGGCTTTAGCACCCAAATCTTTGTTGAGGAGTATGACCGTTTGGACCTAAACTTAAAGAAAAACCAAGTGGAGGCGCGTCTCCTAAAGAACCATATACCACTAGCTGGACTTAGTCAGGTAAACATCTTAAGGTTATTATTGGATTGCATGTGTTTTTTTTTTTTTAAACGTCTCGATGACGTTTTGGTTTCCAATCCTCATCCCTGCTCAGACCCCCGTGGCGGTTCGACTCGGCGTGCTGCTTGAAGTCTTGGGGGTGAAGGAGTCCGCCCTGGCGCCTGCTCCTCGCCACCTGCAGCTGGCCGTGTCGGTGACGGGATTCTGGCTGCGGGAGGCCGTCCCAGCACCCTCCCACATCGCGCTGCAGGCCTTGGTGCTCGGCATGGTTTATGGAGAGCTGTCCTCCAACAACCAGCCCGGGGCGACACCACACAAACAAGCTGGTTAGTCGAGACGGCCGTGTCCTTAAAAAAAAGAAACTCACGCAATCAGCGATTGACTTGTCGTACTCCCAACGTTACAGCCCCACGGCCAAACTGGGCAGCGGAGCATAGAGTGTGCGTGGCGCTGGATCGACAACGGCTGAGGCCCGGGGAGAGGCGAGGCGTGGACATCGGGGCGGCCCACAGTCTCAGCCAGTGGCAGTCCTGCCTTTGGAGCGGGCTGTGTCTCAATCAGCTACTTTTAATGCCACTGCCTCAGCCAAATCTCTCCTGGTAAGTCTCTGGATCCTTAAATGAACCCTTTAAAGCCTGATCCAAGAATAAAACAAAACAGAAAATTACTTTTTTTTTTGGTTTGAATTCCTTATTTGGCCTTTTAACAAAATATGTAAAAAGAAAAAACAGAAATACATTTTTATTATTAATGATTTATTACCATGCGAAAAGTCAAGATATTTTTTTGTGTAGTCTTCTGCCACCTGTTATCAGGTATATCTGATTGTGTACAATAGGATTTGAGCAAAGTTTTTACCATTAAAGTATGCAAAAGGTGTCAGACGCAAAACATCTCAGAAACCGTACGTATCAAGTATGATACATTTGGCATTATAGGGTTAAGTAGTAATTCAGTCTCCCTGTTACTGTAACATAACTGTGGTGGTATCATTTTTCTCCTCAATCTGAAGTACACTGAAGACAGTTTGCCTTCTTCCTTCCCCTTTGTGTCCCTCAGGTTGTTCAGTGGCACACTGGTACACGGCCTCCTCCGGTATTTGAAAGGGGGCCGGGCAGCTGAGTCCCTTCTGCCTGAAGGATCCTTATCTGGACAACTTTACTCCTCCCTAATGGATGCTGTGAGGGACTGTAGCTTGAAAACAAACCCCCTCTCTTCTGCATCAGGGAGAAAGAGGAGAGGCAGATGCAGAGCGAGAGGAGGGAGAGGAGGGAGAGGAAGAGGGGGAGGTAGAGGAGGAGCTCAGGGTGGGGCGAGGGGCGAAGAGGAGATAAATAACAGGTTTGCTCTTCTCATGAGCGAGGAGGAGTACGACGACTGAGGAGAGGGGGCAAAACCAACAGGAATGAAATGCTTTTAAAAGGCCAAATCTGGGATGCTCTGGAAATGCTGCAACTGACTTTCTAGACAAGAGAACGTCTTTTTTATCGTTTATGCTTTACATGTATTGCACTATTTCAGCCTCAGTTATATCTGAGTGCAGTTTTTATGCCTAATCATGCTGCCATCCGAAGTCATGTGAAGACCATCTAAACAGCTTTTACAAGCAATTTTAATCAACCTAATCTCATCAATATCAATTACTTTCAGTCATATCAGCAAAATATTAGAATGTAGAAATGCTTTTATTATTCATCTGTCAGCCAGAAAGTTGTACTAAGTGGCAGCTACAGTCAACAAGGAATATCTGAAAACTTGTTTTATTTTTACTGCCTTAAGACCAACAAATATGGTGCTTCTAAAGTGGTTAATAATATCACTATATGAAAAGATGCAAATCAAAATGATTCCCCTAGCTGTTTACATTCCAACTTTTTTTCCTATTCTTTCCTTACTTGTAACTACATATAGTTGAAAATAAAACGCTAAAACATCTTTTTCAAAAGGCACAGCACATTACATTAATATACACAGGATTATAAAAGAATGCTTTAATAATCGTATTGCTCCACCTTTTAAACAGAAATATGAGGAGAAGTTTCCCACTGGCACTTTTTAGAAAAAAAAAAAAAAGATCTTTTGTGCAGCTAAAAAGCTCAAGATAAAATAATTTCAACAACTTTAAAGAGTTAAGAAACTACGCTAACTGATAGAAATCAATTTTTGAATTACTATAGGCTGTCTAGCCATGAGAAGCTCTTCCTAAAAAGAAAGACTAAGCTTCCCATCAATCAGCACTTTGTAACAACTATCAACAAACACCACAACTTAAAATGGAGTAAATATTAAAACATATAGAAGGTCTCCTATGAGGATGAGGAAGTGGAGGAGGCGGCAGTGGAAGCAGTCTGCTGCTGAGAGTCGATGAGGTCCATGTCGTCGTCTTCATTGACCCCGCATGTGTCCACCACGCAGATCAGGCAGCTGGTGATGGGAAAGGCTCGCACTTTGCTGCACGTCAGCCACCTGAGAACAGACGGAAATGATTAGAGAAGATCAGATCAGCTCCTTATTTATAGATTCTTGGTGTGGGAACTGGTGGCATTATGTTATGAAGAGCTTTACTATGATGTTCATGTACCAACCTGTCAGTTTCAGTGTGGTACTCTAGGACATGTCCGAGCCTCCCCACCCCTTGAAATCCCGCCAGTACATAGATTACATCACCGACGGCCGCACACTTCACTGTCACGCCCCTCCATGGCATTGGAGAGGCGGCACGCCACTCGTTGCTGGCAATGTCGTAATATTCCACTGAATCCAGTCCGCCTGGGAAAAGAGAAGACACAATAATGGCTCCGCACTGATAAACTCTTTCAACAATCTTCTGTCACGCTTGATATGCTCATTACTCTTTGAATGGTCCGCTGATGATTATTACCTAATGGTCCCTGCCCTCCGACCGCATAAATCCTGCTGTTGACCACCACCAGCCCGTGGTTCTTCCTGGCCTCTTTCATCCCACACAGCTCCCTCCATCTGAATTTGTGTTGCAGATTATAATTAGATTGGATTCTTTTGATGAGATACAAAATGATTCAATAATTAAAAACTGAATTAGTTAAAAACAACTCAAAGGAAAGCAAGCATTATCCGAATTACAAGACTGTGGGGATGTTTATATTCATATATACTCTCTTTCAATCCACGTAATGCTCCTCCAAAGGTTGCCGCTCCAAAACTATTTATTACAAGTCAGGAAATACTTTAAACTTAAAAAGAGAACACAAATCTTTTTTATGGCTGGAAATGGTGGACACAGAACAGCCAATAGGACAGTAAAATTGCAGTTACTTAAAATGATGCGCTTATGGGAGACCTTCTGAAATGTTTAGAAAACTGAAAGGAAATGTAATCTTATGGGTTAGTGCAGATGTGATAATACACTCACCCAATGCAGGGAAAACTGAATGAAAGTGTGTTGGACTCACTGCTGTGTGCTGGGGTCGTACACCTCACAGTTGTTGAGGATCCTCCCAGAGACGTTGTTGCCCACGGTTCCCCCGCAGACGTAAATGAGGCCGTCGGCCTCCACTGAGCCGTGACTGCAGCGGGCCATCAGCATGCTGGTTTTGACCTGCCACGACTCAGTCCTTGTGTCGTAACATTCAAAAAGAGCCAAGGCAGAGCTACCTGTGGAAACAACATACTCGATAAATTATGAAAGCGCATGCGGGCGCATAGCTGGTTCTTACTAAATTAAATAAATTCCACAACAAATCCGTATCAGTTCTCCATCTCACGGTTGCGGGTCCACACTTCCTGCATCTGTTCACCAGATGCATGAAACAACAGTAAGCCCACGCCTTCAGGTCTTTGCTCCCGACCCCCTGTGCTCACCCACTTCTGACCCCCCGGACGTGTAGATCTTGCCCTGGGACGCGCAGGCAGCCAGGCTGTCGCGGGGCGTGGGTGGGCCGAGCTTGGAGTACCAGCTGTCCTTCAGAACGTTGTAACAGTCCATCCGCTTGATGGGGAAGAGCTGCGACCCCCCGAGGATGTAGACCACGTTGTCCCAGAAGACGGCGGTGGCATCCCGCCGCTTTTCGAAGGGGCAGCGGATGTCTGTCCAGCTGGACTCCTGAGGACGGGTAATAATTAGGGGTTACCCCACCTGAGCGGACATGATGATACTGCAAAACCTCTGCAAGACCAGATTGGTGAGCACGCGCCCCCACGTACCTTTGGGTTGAAGTAGCCGCACGACTGAGGCTGCGAGCCTCCAAACAAGGCGATGCGGTAGTCGTGCTTCTTGCGTCGTGGCCGGCTGCTTTCTCCCAGATCCTCTCTGTCCTCCAGGGACAGCAGATGGTAACGCATCCCACCTGGAGCAAACGCACCACTCATTCGTACTCTGCTTGGACTCCATTGCTCATGTGAGCAATAACAGATACTAAAACACTTCTGTAGTTTTAGCATCAACTTCCAGATGTTAATAAACATGACAGATACCGACTTAAAGAATGGAATATTTATTCTCTCTTAAAAACAAAACGTATATTATCCTTTACATCTATATGGCCAAATGTATAAACCAGAAGTTTTGTAGATTTTTACGGTTGTGCTTCAAAGTTTACAGACACTTTTCATAAAGTATGAATCAAAGTTATGTAGCAATGATTTAGCTGAACTATCTGTTTTCGATCCAAAAGAAATAGAAGCATGTTTTTCATTAACCAACAGTAAAATGAATAAATTTACACAATGTCTGAGTATAATCAGAAAAAATCATTTAGATGTGGAGGAACCGTCCTTGAATGACAAGAGGGATCTAAAAGCTGCACCACCGGAGTTTTACAGACACATGGACTGAAACTGCTCTTTGCTCCTACTCACTGATGACCATCTTCAGGCACTGTGGGTTGTCTTGGATGAGGGGCTCAGCTTGCACAGTCTTCGAAAGAAAGGTTTTGGAGACCAGGGGAAAGCGAACACAGCCCAACACCTCCACCATGTACTGTTTCCTGTTACACACGTCGTACTTCAGCCATCGCACTGCAGCGTCATAGATCTGAACACACGCGCAGCAACAAAGCATGCGTTCTGAAATGGGTCAGTGTTTAGCAAAATAGCTATTTGTTTCTGTCCTGACAATGTGGAAACCATCTCTTAGTCATCTAATTTCTAAAAGGATGTCCATACGACTTTTTTTTAAAGACTCAGACATTCCCAAACTGCTGTTTTCTTTGAAAAAACAGTCAAAATATTTGTCTTTACAACTGAAGGATGCTTGCCTGAGCCTCTGCGCGAACAGTCAGCTTGTCCTGGTGCAGCAGATGTGTCAGTTCTCTAACATCAAGTTGCAGGAATTCATCCAGTTTGTAGACTTCTGTAAAGTGGAGCTGGAAAAAGTCCTCGGCCGCTGCCTTCAGCTCTGGACAATCCATACAGTCTGCCAGGGCTGAAATACCTTCAGGGAGACAGACCAGGGGTCAGCTCACACAGCCCACCACAGAATCATTCGACCTGTAATTCAAAAACTAGATTCCTGTTACCGAGGCAGTTTGTCGCATCAATCTGTCCTTTTAGGAACTCCATACACATCTTCTTGACTGGCTCAATCTGGTACTGGTTGGCTGCATCCAGCAGCGACTGCACATTACTGCTGTTAACCGAAATTCTGGCACACACAATGCATTTGGCTTAAAAGGACAAGAACAAACCCCATAACATCAGGTCAGACTTTACATATAGATGTGAAAATCCTTCATAGAGGTTACACATTTGGCTATTCATTTGTGCCCTTTACCGTGCCGTGTAGATAAATTCAATCAACAATTCAATAATCTCTGGTTCCGCACTCCTGAGTTCCACCTCAGGGGACATTGACTCCATCATTCTGGCTGCAAATGAAGCAAAACAAGTTAAACAGATGAAACATTGTAGCAAATAACATTTTCAGTCAATTATATGGCTGATTTGCAATGGTTTTGCTGCTTCAGCTTTAGAGATTAACATGATATGGGTACGACAGACTGTATTTGAATGAATAGAAGTCACACTCCAAACAGCAGTTGTTCACGTCGGTCTTCCAGGTCTCTCTGTGGACATTGTTATGATCTTTATATGCTTGTGTGAGATGCTTACTGGTGAACATGAGACTGAAGAAGTGGCTGGCCGCGGCTAACACCACTCTATGGGCAGGGAAGTGTTTTCCCTGGACCACCAGGGTCACATCACAGAGTGTCCCCTGATGACAAGCAAACATACACACTGTATGTCAGGAATGAGAGGCACACACAGATACACGTAAATGCCCCTTGTCTCATATTCTGTTTCCTTCTCAAAAGTTCACCCCACAGACCTGCTTCCTCAGATTGTTCATGACTCCCATGATGCTGGACAGCTGCCTGTACTCTTCTTTGGTGGCACCTTTTCTTTCGCCCTTCTTCTTTGAGCTCGTGGCTTTCTCTGGAGAGGCCATCCCTGTCATGTCAAGGGGATTTTTATTAGCTCTTCACTCACAACAGCAGCCCTTTTCAGCACTGCCGTCAGCTGTGGGCGGCTTTTGTCTGTTTGGTGCCTCTCAGCGACTGACAGTTCCTCCGCTAACAGTCAGCAACTTGTGAATTAAGGCTTTTAAAAACACAGAAAACCTTCTCCATGAGCCTCTAGAAAAAAATACTCGCTTGTTGTAAATTGCATGAAATAAATATGAAGCGTTTGATTTTTTTTTCCTTTCAAGCTAAGGCGCAATTACGGTTGCTTGTATTTCTTCTTCTATGGTTTATTGATGTTCACGCCTTACTTCTTCTTTGAACTGGCAGACGAGATGCAGTTGCGGCACTTTGCTGCCCCCTACTGTTGGCAAAACGCTATTGAAGCAAAAGTATGATAAGATAAAGTTGTTTGCGTTTCTTTTGTTTCTTTATTTGACTTTTTCTTACATTTTTTTTCTTATAGACGGTGGAAATTGTTCATTTGAATGCAAGAACATTCTTTAAGATAGGAACAACGTGCTATTGTGTTCGGCCGCTGTTCAGACTTCACCTGTAGACGCACCTGTCCGTCGTACCTTGACACCTTCGCCGACATAATAAATCACGACCAGGAAGGGTTTTTTTTCTCTCTCCTGAGGTCTCATGACGATGACGTAATGAGGAATGCGGACCACAAATGCACTGTCAAGAGTATCTGACCTGAAAACAAATTGAACGAGAGCAATGCTGCAGAAAATGTTCCGTCTGCTCTGCTGTTGCTGCTTCTCAAGCGACAGCTCGAACAACGAGGTAGGTTTCTACACTCCATAGAGTTCTTTGTAAATCTTCCTGTAGAGAGTGAATCCCTTCAACTTACCGCTTCGTTTCAAAGTTTTTTCCCCCCCGATCAACGTATTTCTGCTGTTAATTCTGATGGGACGATAAATATGACATGGACATCTTAATACCATCAACTTTCATTTGGGGAACCAAAGAAAAAGTCTTTAAAATGCAATTGGTGCCTTGGAATGGTGTGACAAAGCATGGAAACAGGAACTAATTAATGCCTTAGTATTTATATGGGAATCTTATCAGTGCTTGAAAATCTTTTATTTGTGAAAAAGATATAAAGAAAACAACTTTTCTCACACGTTCTGTTTCAGAGGCAACCTCTCCTGCCACCCAGACCATCATCTGAAGTTGGTGAAGCTGGATCAGCTAGACAACACCGTCCAGCATATAGCAGTAAGACTCCCTCTTAGAGTGACTAAGACTCGAGTGTATAATTTATTTATATGTCTCTTTTCTCTTGGTACCTCTGTGTGTTGCTTGTTGGATGCTTAGATGTTCAGGCAGGGAAACGTATTGGAAAGCTGACAATGAGGCGCGTGAACGTGCCAGAGCTGGATCGGAGGTTCACCGACACGGCCGAGACCTTCAACGAGCAGCAGGACCGCTACGAGGCCATGCTCCGTCACATCAGAAACCTGCAACAGAGCTGCGATTGTGTCGGTGCCAATGACCTGGATTTTGCTGAATGTGTGAGGAAGATCAGGGAGGAGCAGGGTGAGTGCATGGCAACTTTTCTGTACGTGTAGACGTGATGGCAGATCACAATGTTTTTCTTTTGTCTGCTGCCATTGTGCGTTTTGTCCCATCAGAGGCCGCATACAGGATCTCCCTCAAGACAAAGGGCTATGATTTCTCCCTCACTGTTGAGCCAGTGGGTTCAGGGGGTAAGGATGAAAAAGAGCAGCTGCCAGCTCCTCTGCGACAGGCTCAGAATGAAGTCAAGGGGATTTCTGAAAGCTCCAAAGCCACCATCTCAAAGGGCACCACGCTGCAAGAACTTATTGGCTGGTTGCTCCGTAGCCAGAGTCAAATGGCTGAACAGGTGAAAGGTGCAGCAGAAACTTACCAAGAACAAGGAAGACTAATCGAGAACCTCGAGGAGAACCTGAGGGAAGTGAGAAGAGCGAAGGAGTTATCGCAGGGATACAGGCAACATGCTGGGAGTGTTCTCACTGAGGCGGCACAGATAGCGGGGACTCACCTGTAGCCAACAGGTGAAGGCCTTATTGGTACTGACCAATACAGAATGCATACAAGGGAAATGTTCTCCCCAATAGAATGAACCTTTTGGAAATTGCAGAATACATGATTCTTTATTTGGATTTGTCAGTAGTAATTTTGTGCTTCATAATTGCTCTTATTATTGTATGCGTGTACCCTCTAGGTAAATGATTTTTCTTGCTTATAATATTGTGTGCATTTGTAGCCATTTTACATGTTTTATTTTATTTTATTCCACCGTTTGACATATTTTTTAATGTATTTTTTGTTGTCATTTTGCTTTATAATGTGATCCATTTAACACAGGTGTACGTATACACGCATTTTTTGTAGAATCATTATCTACCACAAGGGGGCACTAAAAGCTCAATTTTGACATCGACATCAGGCTTTCCTGTCAGAATATGTCGTTTTACACTGAGACTGCAGATTGTGTAAATTTATGTTGCAAATAGCAGTGTTTGCTGCTCAGAATTGTAAAAATTACTTTTGAATATACTCAATTATTGATTTACAACCTACCAGACCATTTGGTTTGAGAACTGGAAAATATTGTTTTTTTTTTATATAAATCTTAGGAAGGAACTGGATGCAATTAACTGTGGTAAAAGTTGTGAACTTGGCTGCAGGTTTGCAATGGTTGTTTACTGAGTGATTTGTCCACTGAAACACAAATAGGAAACAGATTTACAGCTTATCCACAGAAGCAGCATTATGTTTATTAGTTGTTAAACAGAAGCTATTAAGGGAAAAGCTGACAAACACATGGTCATACGCCATCTTGATTATTAACTCTAGAAAATCCACTATGGCAGGAGCCATTGGCAAATGGTCATGGATTATTATCAAGTGACAGGCTTTTGTAGAGAGGTAGTTTAAACTTCAGTGGATAATAATGTGGGATGACGTGAAAAGACATTTTAATTTAACAGAAAGACAATCAACTTTACAGGAATGTAAAAATGTATTTTCAAAAACTGTATTAAACGATTAGAAGCTCTTAGCTGATATTTACTGTGACAAGTCAAAAAAGGTATATTTAAAATTTCTTGTGAAGAACATTTCAGTATTCTCAACCAGACTAACCGAGAACAATAATCTGTATTAGAAATAAATAAACAGAAGTCTGTGCATAAAATCTGATAACATTTCTGATTCATGTTAAACACATTTGGCAGATCACTGTCAAAGAGCAGCGGTTGACAGCGACAACCTACCATGCTTGTGGAAATAATTAACTTGCTGTTCGAAGCTCTAATATGATTGACTATTCTTTTAAAGAGGCGTGGCTAATATTGATATACTGCTCTCCTATTGGCTTGTGATTCTGTCACTGTGTAGTGACCTCGTCCCAATCGTTTGGTGGCTGAGTGGAGAAAGTAATGAAGATGGAAGGAGCTGATGGTGTTGAATTATTGAGGAGCTATATGGAGTAGCCAAGGCATCGCCTTTTACTCGTTTATTCGGAACGATAGAGGACAGTGAAACCAAGAAATTGACAGATAGCATGCCAGTAAGTAAACATTACCTTCCTGAACTCACTTGGCGGCTAGCAGAAGCCTGGGCTAGCTAACTAGCTAATCTGAACGCGATCGTGGTGACAGCTCGAAGTCATTCAGCAAGCCGTGAAGAGAGCGCGTGACGGCGGAGGGTTGATTTACACCGAGGCTGAAACTGGCTAAAAATGTGCTGAACTCAATGACTGGAAGTGCTTCCGTTTTTCCACTGAGCCACCAGGAAGCTGAAGAAGAATATGCTTAAACACAAGTGGGTTTGAGTTCTCTCTAGCAAACTAGCTGTTTAGCGCCGGGAAAGGTATAGTTTCTGGGGACGTCAGCTAGTAAAAAACTATTCAACATGTTTCCGTAATGTTCTAAATTAAATTACAACCCGTTTTTAGGCGTAGTAAAAAGTTACTTTTTTTTTTTTTCTAAAGAAAGACTTTGTACCGGACTTCTCTGTACCAGCTGTCTGTGTGGGAGTGTACTTTTTGAGATTCCTCAGGTGATTTCTTCTGTTGTTTTTAGTTTCGTGTGGTTGATAGGACTACTGCGTTTATTTTCTTACTTTTTACAGAGCAACCATGACATGCTCCTTTTTCCTTTACCACTCAGACAGGTGAGGGCTTTCCTGCTTGTGTGATCCTGATCAGCTGAGAAGATTTACCCTACAGCTCAGATGCTAAAGGAAATCTGTTTGCTGTTGCATGCTGTCATTTTAAACACTAAAAAACTGCCTCTGTAATGTTTCAATAAGCCTATATTTTGCAGCTTGTCCCTTAAAGCCACACAGCTCTGCTGGTCTGCATTTTTGACAGGCAGAGGCTTTGGCTTTGCCATAGAGGTGTTTGTTGAGTGGGCCTGTTAAAGGAGTGTCATCAGATTGTGTGATCAGAAAATGAAAGAAAGTGTGCACGGGCTTGTTAATGTCAGCATCTGTTGCCGCTTGTGTCTTAGCACTCCTAATTCTTTTTGACAACGAAGAACAGAAGGTCATGGAGCGGGAAGATCAATGCAGGCTGTGCCTTTATCTGGCCAGAGTCCGTGGGTCCATTAAATATCCTTAATGGTAATTTTCTACTGCTTCTGCACACACGAACAAAACAAATGTAAAACGCACTGATTGATTTTCCTTTGTAATGGCATGTTTTTGTTTGTCATCAGGGATAAAAGGCAACATATGCCATTTACAACTTGAAAAGATCTTCATTACGATACTAAATTATTTTGCTGTTTGTGACAAATAAGCTGAGAGAAATGGAGAGAGAAACAAATGGAAGAAAGGAGACTGTTGAAATTGTGACTCATGGTTTCCTCGGGCACGGTTGCTGCAAGAAGAGAGGGAATTGAAAGGATGGAGATGCATCATTGGCTTAGAGGCAAGAGAGAAGGGAGCGTAGGCTGCTATAAGAGGATTCCTCCCTGTCAGATCGCTCTATCGGTCTCCCTCAGCGCCAAAAACCACACACATGCACACGCACGGGCCCTCATACACTGTCATGTCTGGTTAGCTACATGCAGTTTATAAAAAAAAAAAAAAGAAATCTATATAAATATATGTGCACAAAAGAGAACTAAAACTGAAGCATCATGTCCTCTGAGTCGTGATGCAACAGTGTTACGCTCAGGCCAAGGTAGTCCGAATAAAAAAAGATGTTCATGAAAGAAAAGATATGTCGTTGGAGAGAGATGTCAACGTTTTCAAGCTATTAGTGGTGTAAACGCAACTTGGCTGGGTTTGAATGGGGAGCAGGTGAGGTCAGGGCATGTTAGAGATTCTGCCCACACCTTTTCCATCACAGCTTTTCCAACGTTTCGGTTTAAACCTGCCAACACGTTTACAGCTGGCCAGTTTGGGCTCTTCGGGTGGAGGCACATGCTCGTGGTTATTCGGCTGCGTGGTTTGGCAGAGATTGGTGAAATAGCTTTGTTTTTTTAATGAGCTCATGTCTGCTGTGTGAACTAGCTGGTTTAGGTTTATTGAGCTTGTTGGGTTTGTTTAGCTCTTATTTCTCATTCTGGAGGCTTAGGATTTCACTGTCAGAGTGATTAGCTCCCTAACCAGCAGGTTGGTGCAGCTGCACCCTGTGCCACAGGAAAAAGCAGCTGGGGCGGCTTGGTGGCTCACTTTGCTGCCGTCTCTGCCTCTTCTCTAGCTTGAAGCCTTCCTTCCTATTGGTCCATTCACTTCCTCAGAATGAGAGAGTTTCTAAATATGTGTAATAGGAAGTGAGGTAATCAACAGGGGTGGTGGGGGGTGTGAGTGTGGATGCCCCTCTAATTCACACTCTGGTGGATGTGCTTCAGTCCTCTCACTGCCAGCTTTCAGAAACAGGTATGTTCTCATTTCACTTCAGAGTGCAGGAGAGCTAAGGGCTGTTTGTCGTGGTTTTAGTTGTTTTCTGTGCTTTGGTGGGCGTGTTGTGCATATAACTGATGTGAGTTTCTGTCAAAACACGCAAAGAGTCCATGGGGATGTAATGTCAAAGGAGACCTGTTTGTGTTGGAAGGAGGGGTCAGAAGTAAGCTCATTTGGACCGGCAGCCCCGTGCATGTGGTTGTGTGTCAGAGCTTAAGTAGCTGGCGTAGGAGGAGGTTCAGCTAGAATGAGCTGTCGACCTCAGAGGAATCACAGGAACAAGGTTTTGTCAAACTAGATGTGAAAAAGAGTTTGCTGACACTCACCCGTACAATACGTAACCGTCTCTGTAACTCCACAGCAAGAAAGCTGCTTTCAGCTGCGCTTTAATTTGTGGGAAACTCTGTGAGCCACATTTCAGGCTGCTTAGGCTTTTCCACCTTGAGCATGTCTGGGCCTGAAGAATGTGTATCTCTCCTCAGAGGATGGGAGCTAGCCAGATGGCCAGCAAAGATCGAAACCTAATGAACTCCCCTCTTTTATTTACCCTACACTCTTGACTAATATTGAGTTATCCATCTCTTGGGATGTTAAACACTCGCTGGCATTGTCTTGTCCAATGCGATAGCTCAGCCTTAAAGCCCGTGATTATATAAGGATTTGTTTCACCTCTGCTGAGCTAATTAAGAAGACCACTCTTCTGTGCAGTTTCATCATTTCAATTGGTTTACGTCGGTGGTCTCAATGAATTCAATAAACTCTAGAATGAAATAGAAACACGTACCATCCCCCCTCTCTCCATTAGACTTTCTATACCTGCTTTGTTCACCCATCTGTCTGCATGTATCCTACATCTGTCAGGCTTCTACTTGTTTATCACTTAAGCGAGCTGTTGCTTCTGCTTGTCAAGCCGGCTCAGCCACTTGTCCCTGACGCCGGGTTACTCATGTGTGTTTGCTGGTCAGTGAGGTTGAGCAGAAACTCACCAGCTGCTGCATTATTTGCACAATTGTGCTCCTTCTCTCTCTCTCTCTCTCTGATGGCTTCTGTCATAATGTGACAGCCCATAATAACGGAGATGGATAACTAATTACCTAGACCAAGATGGAAGACAAACATGTGCCCGATAACTGTCTTTATTACCCCCCCCCCCCCTCTTCCCCAACACACGGACACACACAATAAAAAGCTATTAGGTTTAATGTCTCTGCAGTGCATCATCGGTAAAGCCCTGCAGTCTGATTGTTTTGTCCTGCTTTCACATGTGGTTCAAGACATTTTCAAAATGAATTGCACCTATTTCAGTGTGGGAGTGTTGCTTGATAATTCTTTGTAACACTACAACCATTTTGTAAAGCTAAAATCAACAGCACATGTGCAATGTATGGAGTCGGCACTGGTTAAGTTCATGTAGGTGCCCAGCACTTGCTTTAACTTATTTTTAACTTACTTATTATCCCCAGCTCTATGGCTCTGAGGGAGGGGGGTTTGACTCAGCTCTTTTTTTCCACGGTAAGAAAAAAAGACCAGAGGAATTCTGACTTGAAACACAAACATTACAATGAGAAAACCCAATCACACCCAGTCTCAGCTGAGTTGTTGTTATGCAGCACTAAAGAAATCCAGCAGGTCTTGAACAACATGTGCTTTAAATGGAACTTCAGCTCAGTTATCTCAGCATGGCATTTTATCATACTATCACAGTTCCATGGAATCTAAACAATGTGGATGATCAAAACAAAACAAAAAGGCATACAAATGTTGGGACATTTTTTGGTCATAGGTCACTCACATTTGTCATCCTGTCCTAATATTTTAGGACGGCTGCTCCTTTTGTCTTTTATGAAAACATTTCCTCTTTACTCATTTCTGTTTTTGGACCTTTTAAACATATTTTTTTCAAAACCCCCCACACCTCAGTGTCTTCCTGCTTATTTGGTAATTGGTAAATGTATCCAGTAGGTTAGCAGCACAGCTGGCAGCTGCTTTGCATGTCCCAGACAGCACTGTGGACAAAGTGGAGGGGTTAGAAGTCACTCTGTAGGAGGAGAATCCTTCCTCTTACAAGACTGACTCATGCACACTCTAACCATAGCAATCATTTTGTCTGCCAAGTTAGCCTTTATTAAAGGCATTTGCAGGCTTTCGGTAGCTGCTTTCTTTTTGTTGTCTTCATCAGTGTGAAGGAACAGAATAACAGGCTGTCACAGAGGACTAATTTCTGAAAATGGAGGCTATTCTGCTTTATAATCCTTCCCTGTTTCATGAGTCACTGACTCCCCTCCTCCCCGTCATTCCTTTCATTGGTACAGTCCATAAATAGACACCTTGCTGCCGTGGAGGGACCAGGCAGCAGACTGATGTTCGAATGGATGAGGAATACGCCACATACTTTAAAATCACGACCTCCTAAATCTACATTCTAACCCGTTCTTCAGGTTTCACCTTCAGAGTTGAAATCCTTTTCTTTGCTGCTGGCCATTGTTCCTGAGTTTAAAGCTCGAGTAATATTTGAATAGGTGGAACATGTGTGCGACATGCCCTAATTTGAAAATGGAATCTTGAAAGATGGAATTGTGCCTTTTTTAGTTCAGATCTGAGCATGTTTCTGTGCGACAAACACACTGGTAGAGGGAGCTCTCCTTTCTCGTCTGTGTTTTTGTGTGTAGCGGCGGACGTACCAAACATGGGCTTTGCCTCTGCATTCAGCAGCTATTTTAGCTGGTCCTTGCAGATGCAGAGCAGCCCAGACGACACACAGTCCTGTGGCGGTCTCGGACAGTCCACCATTTTTGGTCCTGCCAGAAAGATGCCAACTACTGGATGGATTGATGTGACACTAGTGTTCCCGAGGAAGAATCACAATAACTTTGATACCCAGACATTTTCCTCCCGCACCACCATAAGGTCGACTGTCCTTGTTTGAAATGTCTCCTAACCACTGTAAGGATTGCCACCACATGTGGTCCAGATGTGCCCAGCTCCCAGGATGACTTTTAATGACTCCCATAATTCATAACATTTCTTTCTTTTTGTGTATTTACTTTCTTTTTAAAATGTTACTGGTGTCTTTCACCTCCATAATGTATTTTCTGCCATTTGCTTATCCTCTTCTCTTATATTCCTCCTATTGATGATGAGGCTGGTGGGAAAGTATATACCAGAAATCTTCATTTGCTTACAAAATAGCAAGACGTAGATGACTTTTAGAAGGAAGCATACTATTTTAAGAGTGAAGTTGAGAAGGAAGGATACTGAAAGCTGATCCTTTTAGAATAAACGAGATGCACATGAGTGCTGGAGCGGGAACGGTGGGAGTTAATGTGCAGGCTGCACAAGGGCTTTGACGAATTGCTTGAGATAAAGGAAATTAGCGAGGAGGATGGAAGCGGAGTTTCATGATGAAACTGTGAGCCGAAGTGGGGATGTGCCTCTTTGTGTTTACAGACAAACAGTTGCAGGAGTGAAGCCAGCCAGGTTCTCTGTGTGGGTGATTCTCAGATGTGTCGAGGTGCCTGCTGCAGAGGTGTGTGTCTGGAGAGGAATGAGACGCGAGCGAGGGCGATGATAGACTTGTGCTCCTTTCAAGTGGTGAAGCCGGCAGCTTGTACAAACCGCAGCCATGGCAATGCCCGCTGTTTTTAATAGAATGCTTTTATTTGAAGGATCTTAAATAATAGAGGGCCAGAGGAAGGTTCCACCAAGCTCTGATTGCTTATGTGTGTGTCTCTGTGTACATGTGTGCGAGGCAGCCGGTGATATTTCAATCTAACATTCGCTTCTCTCTCAGGTTGAGGTGACCCCACTGCAGATGAGGGAACATGTTGGCTATGGACCAAGGAGTGGTGGAGGAATGGCTGTCAGAATTTAAGGTATTTTTTTTGTACCCTCTCATGCAAAGAAAGCACGCGGCCAATGATCCGAATGCAGCGCGTTCTCTGTTTCACCTTCTTATTGGCAGAATGTGTTTCACTCACATAAACAAACACTCTCTGGAGTGCTTTGTTTGCAGAAAATCGCATGCTCCCACTCAAACACAAGCACCCACCGGTACGTGACTGGTACCAAAGCTGCGGCTTAGCGAGGAATAATGATATAGGAGCAGATGAGATTTTTCTGTGTAAAGGTACAATGGAGCGATCTGTTGCCGCCCCCTCCCCCCTTTTTGAGTTGACCTCCAGATGCAACAGCTTCTGTACTTACTAAGAGCCACATTGAGTAGATTCTCTGAAAAGTTTTCAAAGCCACAGACCTCCTGTTTATGAAGCCTTTTTCTCCTACGCATTAATACCTTTGACTATATTTTCAATTGTTTCATGATTGGAAGATTTCTCTCTTCACTGACGTGTCCTGGTTATTGGTTTTTGAACACCAACTCTGTATGCGTTTCAGACTCTCCCTGACAGTGCCATCTCCACCTATGCTGCCTCACTAAAAGACAAAGGTGCCCTGGTTCCCGCCCTCTACAAAGTCATTCGAGAGAACTACAGCGACGTATGTACAGCTAAATCTGTGATTCCTTCATTTTAAACTGCTGGGTGACCTGAAGTTGAATTCATTTGTTTTTACTACAGTTTGGACGTGTGTATAAATAGGCAGGAAATTGTGTGCAACCCGTCTCTTTAATCTGGTGACCTCTCCGACTTACAAGCCAGCTGATTTGCATCCTAACCGTGGATTTCCCTTTTCCTACCGGTGGGGGGTTTTTCTGTCTGCCCCAGCTGTTGGAGCCGGTGTGCCACCAGCTGTTTGAGTTCTACCGGAGCGGCGTGCCCCAGCTGCAGCGTTTCACGCTTCAGTTCCTGCCAGAGCTGCTGTGGAGCCTCCTGTCAGCCAGCGCGGCCAGAGACCCGCACACCTCCGGCTGCATCGAGGCGCTGCTGCTGGGCATCTACAACCTGGTAAGGGGCGGAGTGGCAGCCAGCCGTCACCCTCCGCGCGACATTTCTGGCTCAGAGATGATGCTTTGATGTGACGACGCCTGCCCGAGTTAGAATCACTTTCAGGGTCACAAGTCTTAACAAAGGAGAATTCAGATGAAAAGCCTTTGATCTGTTGCGGTGGGTAAGATCGCGTATTTTCAGATCAACTATTTCTAGGATATGCGTCACTCTTTGAAAAGACTTCCTTCAGCTGTCTCGGCCTTAGAAAGCTATCTCTCAGGAAGTAAGGGTTAGAAAAAGGGGAACTGAAACAGGATGACTTTGCACCTCCCAAAGCCCATAATCTTCTCACAGCGATATGGCAGTTCTGATAATTATGAAAGTGTGTCGAGTTGCATTTTCATCCACTTTGGCCGTAACTACTCTATCAGCAAAGTGCACTGTTTCCTGCCTTCCACCCTGAATACCAGAATAGGTCAGCTGTCACTCAGCCCACTGGTTGGCTCCCAATAATCTGTTTGGCATTAACATGCACTCAGGGGACTCCGAGACCCCGGGGTTTCTGTGCATGTGTGTTCACTCAGCAAACACACCAACAGGCCGGATAGAGGGCAGAGAACCCCGAGGTCCTCGCACAAACACCCACGCATGACGGGCAAATGCGCTTGAAGGGATGAGCACACACGCTGGAGAGATTTAGGGCTCACAAAGCTCTGGAAAAAAGGCTTGTTTTTTTTCTTCCTTGCCTGGACAAATGTTTTACCACTTCTCCTCTTTCTTCTTTTCCAGGAAATAGTTGATAAAGATGGACAAAGCAAAGTGTTATCTTTCACAGTACCTTCCCTCTCCAAACCTTCAGTGTACCACGAGGTGAGCGTGCCCCCCCACCACACACCAATAGTCCACATCCAGTCAGTTAAACTTCCTTTTGCTCCTTATAGCCCTCGGCCATTGGCTCCATTGCTCTCACGGAAGGAGCTTTAGCCAATCACGGCTTGAGCAGGGTAGTGTACAGCGGGCCACACCTCCAGAGGGAAACCTTCACAGCACAGAACAGGTATGGGTTTATTCTTTTTATCGGTTAGCGGTGCCATGTCTGGTCTGACGGATTCCGCTCATTTCCTTATTCAGCTCCCCTGGTCTCAAAGTGGCAGTCTCTTCTAAGAGGGGAAAAGCACCCCAAACAGGAAAACAGAAGCCTGACAGAAGTACTTATAATGCTGCCTCTGGTGTTCAGAAATCAACAGTGAAGTCTAAAATAGATTCATAAAGATTCTGCTGCCACAGCCAATTAGCTTGCGTGTGATTCACCGCCCATGGGAGCTGTCTTCAGCTTTCATGTGTGTGGAGTTGTTACATTGCTGTTAGGGTTTCTTAAATGAATGAAACCCCAGAGGTCGTGATGGCCTGACAGCAATGTTCTCAGCTTCTATTTATTTCCAATTTCAGACACTGATTCTGAATCATTCGGATTTGATCGGTCATTTTGGCTGAAACTCCTCAGTGTTGTGGTTTTATTTTATTAAACAACTCAATTTGGTGTTTTAGGTTTTTTTCATGAGAAAACCCAAACGTCACCATGATGTAAGATTACCATTGTGTAACGCAGTCTGATGTGACGCACCATAATAACGAGTTGTTTGTGTTATCGAGGTTTGAGGTCCTGACCTTCCTGCTGCTGTGCTACAACGCTGCTCTGAGCTACATGACATCCACCTCCCTGCAGTCCCTCTGCCAGCTCAGCTCCAGGTGAAAGAGACAAACGAACGCACTCATGCATGGGGACATTTCTTGATCCAGATTGGTTTGTATACATGCACGCGGGATTTATGTGCATACTTAGTCGTAATACTTGTGTTTATGCAGGCCACACATGCATGCTGGTTTGCAGGTACTTGTTTATCTCATCCTTTTAGAGATTATGCTGCGAATAGGAGCCAAGATACTGCTATTTGGCATAGAGTTACAATGTGCTCTCATCAGTGAATTCATTTAATCTGCAAACTGTCAGTGTTCAGGTTTCTTATTATATAGCAGATAATAATTCACTTTTTGTTGTTTAAATTTGAGTATTAAGGTACTTAAATTGCTTGGATCATATGTGTGTGCTTGTAGGTTTCTGTTCGTCAGCAATATAGTTTCACAATGACTCACTAGGAGGAAGTAACCTGACGTAATGAGGGTATAACCATGTTTCTCCCTACTTCCCTTTTTCGATGATACGAGTCTCTTTTCTGTTCTTTATATTGGTTCTCCTCTCCAGGGTGTCCATATGCGGTTACCCACGGCAGCAGATACGGCGCTACAAAGGCATCAGCACCCGACTGACTGTCACGTCAGAGTTCCTGGTTCAGCTCATCACAGGGATCCACTACGCTCTGTGAGTGGGAACACACGGCATTATTGCCACATGAGGAGGGTAAAATATGTTGAGGTCACCGATTAGAACTGATTACTTCCTGCTTGTTTAATTGTCGAGTGAAACTATCAAAAGCACTTTTAGCTGGCATCAGTAACGCCTTTAAATGACAAGGCATGATGCCGGCTGTATAATGTCCCCCTGAACCAGCCCCACATTCTCATGGTAACCCGATTTACCTGGGGCTTAATTTGCATATTGGTAGAAGCGCTTACTGAAAAATGCCTCTTATCTTTTAAAGGAATGCATTCCACTCACTGAATGCTAGCTGTGTAGTAGGAAGCTGAGCCAAACTGTCTGGGAAAAGGGGCGTTACCGCCCCAAGTCTGATCTGATAATGAAACTCTTAATCTGCCGTTTGTTTGTGTTTCTAACTCTGTTCAGGTGTAATGGCGAAGTTGAACTAGGATCCAAAGCGCTGGATGACGTTCTATATCGAGCCCAGCTAGAGTTACTCCCCGAAGCTCTGTTGGTGGGTGCAACAATTTTATCTATTGCTAATACATTTAGCTTTAGTCTGTGTACGTGTGTGTGTGACAGACAGCATGTGATTGAGACGCACATGCTGACCTTTGGCCTTGATTCATGCGCAGCACAGTGCGCTGTATTGTGCGGCTCTCTGTGTGTCAGCCACTGCGAGCGGAGTGTAATCCCTCTAGATTATTTACATGCTTTCCCCTCTGCCCAGATAAGCTGTAATCCTTGAGGCACAGGGAGTGGAGAGGATTGAACCTAGTAAGCTCACAGTGTTAAAACACGAGTCAAGGTGTGCTCTTTCAGCACAATCAAAACACACAACATATGGATTCATGTCGTGCCGTTAACTTTTATGTAAACGATTATTAGAATAAAGGAAGCTTTTTTGGCAAAGTGCCGAGAATGTTCTTTTTTGGAGGCATAATCTCTTTGTTTTTCATTTTTTCGGTGGGGGGGTCGTCTGCTTTTATGAGTGGAATAAACCAGGTGGCGTCCAGCTTAGAATAACTTGATGACGTGTCCTCCAGGTGACCAGTGTGCTGCAACATTATGGACAAAGGACGCGTTGTGTTGTGATCATTATGCCCTTAAAACCACGTCATTACCCCCCCCAACTGTTACACCATCACTTGTGCAAGGGCCACATTAGATTTTCAAACAAAAGCAGACTTTATTATATAAGAGTCTGTTTTAAAAAAAAAAAAAGTTTTTCTTACTTAACACTGTGTTTTTTTTCTTTTTTTCCATTCTTACCATTCACATGCAGAGCCCTGCATGGATAAATCCATCAGATGCTTTAAGTTCAGTCGCATCCCTAGAGCTCTTGTGTGTGATGGTTCAACACCTGTGCTTTAAATCTTACTGGTGTGATGTCTGTGTGTGTGTGCGTGCGCTCAAGTCGTGATTTGGTGCTCTAAATCTACAGGCTGATCTGCAGGTTCCCAGCATGCATCAGTAAAATGAGAATATCTTAATGCTGTGTGTGGGAGTTTTGTATGTTTGCGAAATTTGGCCTGGATGTTGGAGATCTTAAAGCAACACCAAAAATGATTTGGACACTTTGTAAAGTGTTTGTTTAAAAATGGAAGGCGGTGAGTTTTATTTTTATTTTTTAAATTTGTACCTAAACTTATAGACTATTCATCACTTTATGTTGTATTGGCCTTTTTGAAAGAGGATCGGTCTTCCATTCTGTTCAGACAGGACTGGAATTGCTCAGCGCCGCCGCGTCTTTCTTTGTTTCCTTTTACATTTTGTGATGCATCATTTTGTATTGCATCATTGCACGCCATTTTCAGCTGGTGAAAAATGTGGCCTGTCCGGCGACAGGGTGTCTTTCCAGATGTGCAGCTTCCTGTGCTCTGATCTGCTCCCAAACCACCAGAGGTGAACGCTTTTGAACTCGGCACTGAGAGCTAAATAGTCCCCCTCCTCCTGATTCCTGACACAACAGCTGTGAATATCCAGAAATAATTCCAAATGTTATCAGTAAAGTACGGTTTCCCACACTGCCTTAGTTTATTTTTAAATTAAAGTGAACTGCCTTCTCTCATCAAAGGTTCTGGAAACATTCCAGCCGATGCTGTCATTTTCATGACAAAATCATGCCTGAGGTCCACAGCCAAACAATATTGATTTTTTTTTTTTTTTCAACATGGTTTCCCTGGCACACAGACGTGTATTCTTATCCTCCAAATATGCTGATGATGATTCTGGACTGTCGATGACAAAGAACATGAAGTCATTACATTAACTCTCCACTTTCTGAAATGGTTCCAAAGAGGTTTTTTGTATTTTGTATGACTATTTATTATTATTTGGTAGAATTTCTGAAGCATTTTTACTTCTAAGGAACTTTGCCGCTCTTTTTAATGCCTGACCTCCCTCTGTCTTTGGCCCCCTCCACCCAACAGGTGGGTAACGCCATAAAGTCCTCTCTGCACGGAGCCGCTCTGAAGAGCAACAACAAGGAAGGTGCGCGGAGCATCCAGGTGGAGATCACGCCCACCTCCTCCAGGATCTCCCGCAACGCCGTCACCTCCCTCTCGATAAGGGGCCACCGCTGGAAGAGACACGGTGAGACGCACACACAGGCGTAGAGGCGGGAAGCCGAGCGAGCTCCACCCGCTGAAACCAGAGGGATCCCCCCCCGGCCCTTTTACGTCGCCTTTTTAAAAATGTTTGTAGCTGTGTTTTTTCTAGTTGAAGAAAATAAAGGGAAAACTGTCGGATGGCAAAGTTCCACATCAAAGGAGAGAGCAAGAGAATTAGATCGCCTCATTGTTCATTGGTTCATCCCATAGGCACCCTGTCCATCGAGCGTCTGTTTCCACCGCGGGCAGAAAGCCAGTTTTCAGTTTGCCTGCTGGTGCCGTTACCTCCATTGTGTTTTTTTTAAATATTTTTTCAGTTTAATTTATCCTTTAAACAAGATTCCGATCACAAATCTGATTTGTGATGGTCTTTTTCAGGCCGCTGGCAGCCTTGTGAGTGTGTTTTCATTTTGCCAGGCAGCATCATTTGATAGATCATCAAATTTAAGCTGGATTTCTACTCAGGGTGTGCGTTAAAGTTGTGTGGAAGACTAGAATTTTTTAAAATAATGCGACAGATTGACAGATTACCATTTAATTTTTTTCCACACTAAACCTTTTTTAAAGTCCAGAACTCTGAGTAAGCAGCTCGTTCACACGGAACGGTAAATTGCAGCCTTCAGATTCTTTAATGATTGAAACCCTCGTGGCTCCCCATCCATTGAGTAAATCTCATGCGAGCCAGCTGCGTTTCTTTTAAAGCTTCAGCTCTGAGCAGAATAAAGAAGTCCCCCCCCCAAATATTCATTTGTATGTGGCGTTTGCCTCGGTTGACGAGGTCACATCCATCTCCATGTCGCATGCAAACGTGTTCGGTTCTGATCACTATGATTTTTTTTTTTTTTCTTTACATTTGTCTGCCATTGTCATTTATCACCATGGTTTGTCTTGTGTTTCTGTGCTCGTGCGCGTCTGTGCACATGCTTTTCGTTGTTTCATGTACGTGCGCATGAACTGTCTGTCCATCTCTGTGTGTGCGTGGCTGTTTGTGCGTGGCTCCACAACCCCCTCCATGCTCCACCTCAGAGTCCCCGGAGGTGAGTGTAGACGGTGACGCTGCGCTGGGGGGCGTGGCCATCCCCGAGATCAGTGTGACCGGTGTGGGCGGCGAGCGAATGGCCAACGGAGACTCCCTGCGGCCACGCCTCGATGGCCGCACCCAACTTGACGGCGATACTGTGGGTGCTTCCTGCGAGGTCAGCCTGGACCACAGAAGTCATGACTCCGGCTCTCGGAGTCAGGAGGTCAGGAGGCAGAAGTCTGTGAGGCGAATGGTGGAGAATGAGGGTTCTGGGTCGGCCTCCACTGGGAGGAGCCAGTACTAAAGTCCCACCCCTCCTTACCCTGCCCCACTCCTGGGGTAACCTAGGTAACCATGTGATGAGGCGTGCTCTAAAAATCTGCATGGTGACTTCCCCCTTTTTACCTTTTTGCTCTGGGCTCCACCAACTTCTCACCTAATCGCACTTATTCCTCTCATCTCTCCATGACCATTCATTCATTTACTCTCTCCTTTGTGGGTAAAGCTTCCTCATTACAATCGCTTGCTGAAATTCCTAAGGTCCAGTTAATTATTAAAAGCCTTGCTGAATAACAGATCAATAACCTAATTAAAAATGCATACTTGGTATATGGCAGAATTACAGAGGGAAAATCCAGTAAAACTAATTATTTCCCATTAGGAGGGGAGTTAAGTCATTTAGCAGACTAGAGTTAGTAAATGTCACACACAGTCTTTTGGTAATCTTTAAATGTGAGTGTTACTCAAAAGCATCAAGCCATCGATAAAGGTCGTGATGGTCTCAAATCAGGAAGGCTGTAGTTATCTCTGCGCACAGTTCTAGAGGACTGTGCTCTGACACAGACCTCGACATGCAACTCCCGGGTCACATCTGGAAACGGGTCACTTGCTCGTGACCGGTAGCTCAAGGCCGAGGATAGATAAGCAGGTCTTGAGATAACAAAAAACCTTGAATTACAACTCTGACTCTGGACCTGTTGTGAGCAGGTGATGTCTGATCCTAAATGGCTTGAGCAGGACCTCCCTATCTGTCTGTCTGTCTGTCAGCTGTGGGTTGGCGTGGCGTGTGTTTACCGTGTTAGCCGCAGATCTCGTGCCGATGTGTGAGCGTGCGGGTGCTCGGCCCCTCACGTGGCTGCGGCGTGACACGCGCGTGTGTGTATGTGTGTGTATCTCTGTGTCTTTGGAGCTAATAACATGAAATGAGCAGCAAACCTGTGGCTTCTTTGCTTCCCTCTATTTCCCCCTGGTGGTCCTTCCTAGGCTTATGTCCTGAGACGCTGCTCGCCCTTCCCTTTGGGACGAGGCGCGCTGTCCTCTGCTTCTACACGACTAGCTCGCAGTGCTGCCCTTTGACCCCGGTGTGTGCCGCTCTGGGACTGGCGTTGCCTCGCAGGTGGCGAGGAGTCCCCTGTCAGGAGGACTGACAGTGCGAAGGCGCCACCTGCTGGACAGCGTTGGGCCTCCTCTGTCATCCAGCTCCATTAAAATACTCGCCTTATCGTTTTCTCACCAATCGGGTCGACCGAGCTGGATGCCAGATGAGGCGGCGAGCTGTGACGGCGCGCCGCTTCTCACACCCCGCCCGTCCCCCCCCCCCCTCCATCTGTCTGCCTCCACAGACGCAGTGGATCTGGGTTCCCCGGATGAGCTGATGGACATCTCCGAGGTGGACGAAGGGGTGTGGCCCGGCGGGGCGGCGCCCGAGCTGACCCCGCCCACCATCACCATCAGCAACAGCATCACCACGCTGAACCTGGGCGCCAAGGCCATGAAGAAGTGCCGGCTGGGCGGGCGCAGCAGCAAGGACAGGGACAAGGAGATCCCCCTGCTGGCCGGCCGGGCCGCCAGCGAGAGCACGGAGCTGGCCATCAAGCGGCTCACGCTGACCTCCAGCCAGTCGGTGCCCAAAGGGGGCGCGCTGACCAGCCTGACGCGCACCGCCAGCGCCGTCTTCTCCCGCTCCTTTGAGCAGGTGGCCGGCGGGAACGCCCCCCCGCCCACCAGCAACCACGAGGCCGGCCGCTACTCCTGCAGCCTGCAGGAGGAGGCCATGGGCTACCTGACCCCCACGCCCAACCACGCCCAGCGCTCCCCCAGCATCAGCGTGCACCTGGGCACCGACCTTTGAACCCTTTTCCCCCCCCCCCCCCCCTGGCAGCACGAACCCTCATCGCCGATCCTGTGACCCGGTGACCCTGTACCTGTGATCTGGAACTCCAAGCCATACCAACCGCCGTGGACCACAAACGCGTGAATAACTCCCTCTGGTTTCCCAATCACTCCATTTTTTTAAGAGTTTTTTTTTTTTTTTTTTTTTTTTTTTGGTTTTTTTTTTTTTTTTTAGAAGTCATGGTTGGACAAAACTGTGCCACTGTGCAGAGTCGTAAATGAATGCACTTAAAAAAAAACGATCACTAAAAACTGTGTGGGAAGAGCTTCCGGAAGGAATTCAGCCGGCACTCGTTGCCCCATTTGGCTTTTCCCACACATCCATCCTGACCTGGTCCTGGTGTCAAAGGGCAGGCGTACTGTGTGTGTATGTGTGAACATGCTTGTGTGCATGCACTCGTGTGGGTGTGTGTGTGGGTGTGAATGTGTGTGTTACTGTACTGTGTGTGTATGCACAACTGTTTTTAGAACAAGGCTGCTGATTGATACAGTGAACAAAGTGATTGTCTTCATGGAAACAAGTGTCTCTTCCACTTTTTAAAAATAATAAGAAAGCTCTTCCCGTAGCAATAAAAATCTAATCAGTATTTGACCTTTTTCGGGGCTAACTTTTACAAACACATTGGTTTTAAAAGGAAAAAAAAAAGCATGGTTGCCAATTGAAAGTACGTATTCTTCCTTGAAAAGCAAAGCAGCTACTGAATAATTATTAGCCAGTGTGAGAAGAATCAGATCTTCATGTTTACAATCACAGTTTTCTCACGATGATGAGGAGCAATACTTTCCTTCCCCTTGTTCTTCGAGCACCTTCTTTGCCATCTACTCGATGGCAAAAGCTAAAATCCAACTTCTTACGCGTGACAAAGATGATTTACGTTTTGAGGGATGCTGGTTGTGTGCGAGTATAGAATTTTTAACTTGGAAGAGCAAATGAGTTGTCAGCTGGTATTTTCTCATAACCTGAGGGGTGTTACTTTGTGTTGTAGTTTTCTCTGAGAGTACTCTGCTTTGCTGCTCCATAAAGCCTAAACAACAAAGCCTAAATGTGCACACGCCCATAGTTCACAGGACTTTCACCATCCTGACAGTTTGAAACCTCTTGAGTATTTTCGCCTGAGTGTTATAGCTGGACCCTGTTCAGCAGTGGGAGCACATCTGGGGAAAAAAGGGTATCTCCCCAGTCTTCTGATCCACCACCTGCTTCCCGGGCCTTTTCCAGTAATCGGCTGACGTGTTTTCTTCCACCCTCCGTGTTGTACATTACGCCCTCATCACGTTGCAAGGCACGGTACACCAAAAAGTAAATAATTATTAAAAAGAAGCGGAATAAGTCTCAAACCATCTGCTAAAGTCGATGTCCAAAATCAACTTCATGCTGCTCCACCCCTCAAGCAAATTCGTCGTCCGTGTTCTGTAGCTGTTGATCGTCCGTAGCTCGGTGGGACAATACCAATCATGTTTCTTTCTATGTGGGTTTACAGTGAATGGGTAAGCTATTGTTGTACATCATACTGTTCTACTAAAGTTGGTTATGTTGGCCTTTCTATGTCTGAGAATAACTCACAGCTTCAATTTCTGGGAATAAAGTGTTTCTATATTTCACCTGTGTGTGTGCTTGGTTATGTTTTCCTCTTCATGTCGGGGTCATCTATCGCCCTGAACCATGTTAGCGTATTATGAACATAATCCTTTTTTATTTTTTTTTATTTTTACTGTAAAATGTCCTTGTGTATGTAATTTATTTATTTTATTCTGTCTACATCTTCCAAATAATCGTCTGGGTATGGGAATTTGACAATTTACCTACTAGATATCATACCTTTAGTATTTTTTAGTTTTAAAAAATACATATACAAGTGTCTTTTTCTAAATGTTATCGATTAAGTTAACAGATTAGTTATGTAAAGCTGTTTTTTGGCTGAGGGTGTAATGGAATAAGCGTGAAACAGAGCTGCAGTTATTTGAGTGGCCATAAGACGGCGACCGAGAGCAGAGGGACGCCATGTCTTATTTATGAAGTATTTCCGCTACGTCACTTCCTTTTCCTGTCCTTGGAACGTCAGGAGGCTCGCTCATCAGGGTCCACACATGGCTAAACTGAGCAAAGAAACTAAACAGCGGCTGCAGCAGCTGTTCCAGTGCGGCCAGTTTGCGATCCGATGGGGTTTCATCCCAACGGTGCTGTACCTCGGTAAGTATCCGGGCAGATGACACAGAAACTGAGCGACTGTGTCATGCTAATATCGGCTAAGCTCGTTAGCCTTTGATGCTAACCGTCAATGTTGCTGTTTACACAAACAGTTAAGGTGGTTTTGCACTAAGCATTGAACGGGTATTTTTCTATTGTGACTCCCACACACAAAGTGTTCACGGTTTTTAGCACAAAATAAATAACTTGTTTCATCTTCTGGAAAGGAGCTGGAGTGCACGTAAGACGTCATCCGTGGTGATGGTGGCTTTTGAATAGATGCATATACAAAAACTGCTGACTTTGGAGTAATGAAGTAGATTCCCCCTGGTGGGTAGAGGGCTGTTCCTCTGAAGACGCTTCAAGAGGACGAAAATACTTGACTGTGGTCAAGAAACGGAGTTGGGGGAAGTTGGGATCTTTGCATGGCTGTGGTTGGCGGTCGATGGGGAAGTTGAACCTTTTGCATAAGAGAAAACAGTCGGCTCTCCTTTGAGATAATCTTCTCTGACTAATGTAAACTTTGAGCACCCCCCCCCCACCACACCTTATTTTTCTAAATGTGTGTTTCCCTTTTTTTCTGCTGGCTTGTGTTTTTCATCACAACTATAAACCTGTTTAGTCTGACTTTTCACCACTTTTTATTTTTAGGTTCTGTCTTAAGTGGTGGTTGCACAATCCATAACCTGGTTATTACTATTATTATGGCATTTCCATTCACAGAATTAAATGATTTCCTAAGATGAGTTGGAATAAGTTTAGTTTTTTTGTTTTATTTTGATCTGGGTGGAATTCCCTTCTATTTGAGTGATCACACAATGATAAGCAGACCCTGTTGGGTCAGTAAATAATGAGGAAACACCAGCAGCCTTTTGCTGATGCTTGCTCTGATGTCATGAAATGAAACTCTGATGTTGGTTGTATTCTGCTGACACTCTTAAACAGCTTTTAGCTGGTGTACTTTTCACCCGAGGGACACACCTAATTGTCCAGGAATTCCTGAGAAGGCTCAGCCATTCGACAAACTGATTTTTAAAAAAAACCCGTCTCTGATGCAAGCCGAAACTAAAAAAGGAATGAGTTTCACACTGTATTTGACATTGGAACGCACAAACATACTTTGTCATCAAAATAGATGTCATGCCTTAAAGCAGCCATTTCCCAACAATATGCCTTTGGGCCTAAAAATAACCGAGTGTTTCAGATTGGGGTCGCCACAATTTGCAGTTTATAAATGACTTCTTTAAGCATACAATTAAAAAATGTTTACGATTTTTCATCATCTGTCACATTACCCATCCATCCATTATCAATACCGCTTATTCCCTCATGGGGTCGCGGGGGGAACTGGAGCCTATCCCAGTGGTCAACGGGCGAGAGGCAGGGTACACCCTGGACAGTCCGCCAGTCCATCACAGGGCCACATACAAGGACAAACAACCACTCACACTCACATTCACTCCTAAGGGCAATTTCCCCAATCTCCAATCAACCTAACATGCAGGTTTTTGGACTGTTGGAGGAAGCCGGAGAACCCGGAGAGAACCCACGCAGACACAGGGAGAACATGCAAACTCCACCCAGAAAGGTCCTGGTTCCCCCGGGATTCGAACCCAGAACCCTCTTGCTGGGAGGCGACAGTGCTAACCACCACACCACCGTGCCGCCTGTCACATTACATTAAACATATTCAATGACTCGGTGGTTGTATCCTCAGAAATCCGGATCCCTGACTTCTGGGGGTCAGTATGATCCTATTAAACACAGGACAGATGCTTATCTGGTATACTGTGAACATCTGGCTGATTGCATTTGTTTTCTAGGTTTCAAACGAGGAGCAGATCCAGGCATGCCTGAACCCACCGTCTTGAGGTAAGAACAGACTAGTGCGAGGTGTTTTCTATACTGAAAAAAAAAAAGAACTCCAGATATGTTCTTTTTTTTTTCTTTATGCCAGAGGACAGTTGGTTCTGGTTCTGGTGGTCAATAGAACTTGTTTATTTTGGTTTTACTGAACATTTTGCACTCCCATGGAAACAAGCCATCAGGGACTAGTGTGTAATAGGAATTTGAACTCCTCTAATACTCTGAAGGAGCTCATGAAAAGGAGCCCACAGCATTGTGTTGTCCTAGTACAGTCATCCCACCAAGTAAAAAAAAAAAAAAAAAAAGGGTGAAGTCATTCTAGTTTTTTTGGGGGCTCATTAACTAACAGGGGAGCTTCCCCTTCGACCTGGGGCTTTTCCCTACACAGCTGACATGGTCTGCATCGCTCACCCTTTAGTTTAGGGGCCTTTCGTTCTGGAAAAGCTCCGATAATCTGTTCGGAATCTCAAGAAAGAAGGTGAGACTGGAAAAAAAAAAGCTGGGTCAAGCAGAACCAGTCCAGTAGAATGTTGCACGCACGTTCACAATGCAGAATGCTTTTAACAGCATCTCCTCGTGACACAAATTAAATGCTTGTTATTTCATTTAGGGGTATCAAAGTGTAATTTAACTTTTTCTTAGAGCAGTAAAAAGAAGAAATTATTTGAATAAGTTTTCATTTAATCATTGAAGACAACTGACATTTTTTAAAAAATAAATCTAAATCTTAACAGGGAAGCAAATGAGCAATACTTTTTTTCATTTCAAAATAAAGAAAACGGCCTTAAACCTTTAAAGTTTGAAGTGATAAAATGTGGTTTTAACTGACAACAAGCGTTGGATTAGTCTTGGGCTGTTTTTCTGAGGTGAAAGTCAACACAGTCCTTAAAGACCATCGTTCTAAAGCCATCGTTTTGCTGTGAAATGTTTTTTTTTTAAATTCATTTATTTTTTTTATGTCTTTTCTGATTGTCTTTTTTTCTCTTTTTCTTCCAGTTTGCTCTGGGGCTGAGGACCAACCTTACACAGCAGATCCCTTCATCCCCATCTCTCTCTTTACTGCCCAGTGTTGGAAAGATAAAGACCCGATGTCATTTTCAGCAAAACACACATGTACAGATGTGCTGCCATGTCAAAACCAAGATGTTTGTGTTTTTTTTGTTGTTTTTTTTAGAATGTTTTACTCTGTGAATGTTTGTCTGTGGTCGGTGTGTGTTCCATTGCCACGCTGATCTTTTCATTTCTAATTTAAATGACAATAAAACCTCAAATGAATGACCTTCTCTCTCCTTATTTAATTAGAGAAATTGTGAATACCTAAGGTGTTCCTCTTCGCTCCGTCTCCAGAATGGTGTTTCACATTTCTGCCACTTTAGTATCTCGATAAAGCTTTTGAATTACTACAGAGGCTTCAGCCATTTAAGCCGACCTCCACATGCATTTATCAGCCCACACGCTGACTTTATCAGCATGAGCGGCTTTCTCACGCGTGTCCGCTTCCTCTGAAAGCAAAAGCTCCTCTGATCAGCATCTGCCCCCCGTCGCAACACAGGTCGGAGTACAAAAAACAAAGAAATTTGCTTATTATCCAAGTTTTTTTATTTTTTTTATTTCTCTGCGATATCCTTGAACTCAACATTTGTTAAAAAAAAACATTTTCCAAAAAAATATTTTTTAAATGAAAAACATTAAATAGTATTGATACAAAAAAATTTAAATCTTCTGAAAGTAAAAAAATAGAGATGATTTATTTATAGATTTTGTATCATTTGTATATAAAAAAAAAAAAAAATGCCTGAATTGTTAAAAACAAAGCTGGTTACAGTAAACCACTTCATTTTCAATTGATCTAACAATCGCTTGGCTTTAATAAATAACTTCTTTCATCATGCATAAATAGGATAAATAAGATTCGAGCTCTGGGGGGGCCCAAAATACTCCAAAATACAGCCGACCAACTAACGCAACTAGCCCTGTTTGTGGTCCTTCACTCCGTGGAGAAAAGTGATGAAGGAGCCGTCCGTGTGGGCGGGGCGTCTTTTCGGCAACGCCCATTTGCGGAATGACCTTTTCCCATCGATGAGGAAGAGGCGCAGGTGGTAGAGGATGCTGTGCGCCGTCATCTTCCGGTGGAAGGCGTCCGGGCTGCTGAGCTCCTGCAGCAGACGCTGCTGCTGGCCGCCGCTCAGCTCCCGCACCTGCTCGCTGCTGCTCATCTGGGGGGGCCACAAACACAACCGGTCAGAGAAAAAAAGACCCAGTCTGGGTTTTTTTTTTTTTTTAATTACTGAATTGAAATGCCAGTGTTGCCGGAAGTTTTTCCTTGCCCGTGTCGCCTAGTGCTTGCTCATTGTTGGGAATTGTTGGGTTTCTGTAATTAACTTCAGAGTAGGGTCTGACCTGCTCTGTTTGGAAAGCGCTGTGAGACGACTGTTGTTGTGATGTGGCGCTATATAAATAAAATTGAAAATTGAAATTGAAATTGAATTATTGCCCGGTGCCACGTGTCAGAATTTGGACACATTTCTGTGTTGCCAAATAGTGGTCGTGCTGAAATTTGCCGGTTAATCTGGGGACAATTTGAGACTTTTCCTCAACAATTTGAATGCAGACGTTTTTGTTTTGATGCTTCTCGCTTTTCTCACGATACCGACAGGTCCGTGGATGAGCGAGGAAACGGGAAAACCACCATTTCCATCCCAAATTTGACTTTTCGCACCTCTTCTTTATTCCTAATACCCACCCTCTTTTTTATCTGTGGGACCAGCATGTGAATGCTGGCGTTGACCCCCTGCAGGATCTCGGTGTCGGGGTACTCCCTCTCCACGTGCCTGAGCAGAGCGCTGTAGACCAGCATGCCCTGGGCCAGCCGCTGCAGACAGGCCTCCTGGACACACGCAGAGGAGCACAGAGGAGGGGTCAGCCACGCTGACCACTTCACCCAAAAACGAACAAATCTCCCTAAGCTGAAGGAGGTTGACAGCTCTACCTTGGAAAAATTGGAGTCGGGGCACTCGGCCGGGAAGGAGGAGTGTTTGTAGTTGTCCAGGAACAGGTAATTCACATTCCCCTTGAATTCCTTTTCAAACTGACAGAAATTTTTTTTCAAACAAAGACACAGAAGGCATCACAGACCCCCGCCCCCGGGGGTCAGGGTCCAGTTCCCTCTCGGGGGTTTCTCACCTCCTTCTGATGCGCGTTGGTCTGCGCTATCACTTTTTCCCAGGTCAAGATATCGGGGCTCTCGGCCTCCCGGTCCTCCTCCTCCTCCTCCCCCGAGGTGTCCCCCGCCGGGCTGTCGGTGGGCGCCTCCCCCGGGGGGGCCCCGGAGGAGCCCCGCAGCAGGGCGGCGGCCAGCAGGGCCGCGGAGAGCAGACGAAAACCTGCGTGAATGGATGGATGAATGAAAAGAGGAAGAGAGCGGCGACAGGAAGCCCCCCCCCCCCCCCCCACACACACACACACGCTGCAAACGACTTACTGAGCACGGGCATGACGCGCTGCTGGGAAACACTGAGAACCTCTGATTGCCGAGGACTGTCTGGGCCCAGACGAGTTGGCCCGTCCTAATCCGGGGCTCTCATTTTATATTCCTCTTCAGGGATTTCCCATCCAGCTTAACCTCCCCTGGACAGGCCCCCCCATCATCATCATCATCAAGAGTTGCGTCAAGCATCCGGTGCGTGTGATGAAGGAAGAGATTCACTTTTTTTCTTCAGACTGAGGGGACAATGTTTTTTTTTTTTAACTTTAGCAATAATTGGGGAACGTTTAAGTCGAACAGATTTAGTTTTGACATAACTGAGAAAATCCCTGAGGTATTTTCAGCCCGAGCATTTAAATGGAAAATCCACTGAAACCCAAACATTTGCATAGAGGGATCCCGACGCCTCATATGTGAGGAGGCGAATGCACGTTCTTCCCCCCAAACAGTCAAATTACAGCTCGGCTATAAGTATAAACTATAAGTATAAACTTGATACGGTTTTGATTCATAAACATGTCTCAGATTTCTTAATGCTTTTTCTCCTGAGTCTCTTGCTCCTGTTCCAGTATTTGATCATTTAACCCCACACTTTGATCATCTCCCTGTTTGGGTAAATTGAAGGAATTTAGACCCTTATCAATATTTGATTCATCATATTAATGCTCTCCCTGATGGGCATTTTCACCAGCATTTTCATGCTCCATTTACAAACAGGGGGGGTATTTCTGACCCTAAACTTGCGCTTATTTGTCAGAGAAGTGGTTTGACTTTGCATACTTTGCGCATAAACTGTTTCCATTAGACGTTACATTTAGCCTAAAATCCACCACATTGCAAAAGCAGAACTCTGCTGCCATTTAAAAACCTAAATTATGACAGAGGACTGTGGGGTTGTAGACCCCTCTCACATTTCACACCGATCAATAAAACCCCCCACAGTTTCACCAGAGAAACAACCCCCCCCCCCCTTAAATCCTCCAGTGAGTTTGTTCCCTTTTGAGATATAAATACATTTTTAATTATAGTCTCATGTTGTCCAAATAAGCAATAAATCACTTACAAATTATATTGTAGTAAAAGTAATACTTTAACTTGGACGCTTAACATATCAAGAATAGGATATTTCCCAAAACTGTAATGATTTTTGAAATTCCCGAATATATTTTCTCTTAAAATCCAATTATCATATTAAATTATATATGTATAAATAATTAAATATATTAGGATATTGTCAAATTTACCTTACATTTATTCATAATAAGGATTATAGATCATAATATATTCACATTTGCAACTCATGTAGTTAATCAAAGAGGTTTGGTTTTAATATACAATGGACCCAAAATTCAGATTAATGCGCTGGAATTTATAATGAAGTTTTATGACTTTCTCTGCTCATCATTGTTGAGTGGGATCAAACTGCGGATACTGGCATCTTGTAGTCAAAACTTCTTCATTTACAGATGCTCATTAGTTTAGATAATTGATATCAACTGCCATATGTTCACAATGACCAGAACTAACTACAGAAATAGTCAAAAAGACATGTCCATGAAATATTTTCCTTTAATTTTCCAGATTACTTTCAGAGTTTGTGTCACCGGCTCATACTTGCTTCACACATGGATAGATTTGAACTTTGGCCCAGTTTTTCCTGGAGTAAAACAATTCAAAGTGCGAGATTACGAATATAGGATGCTAAACTTTTTACTCAAAATTGCCTTCAGGGAATGAATCTTTCCTCCTCATGAAGATGCCCAGAATTACAGGCTTAAATCTCCACATTTAGGCTTCTGAGAAAAGTGTCAGCTCCAACTAGTGGAAGCGTTGAAAGACGTCACTGTGGGTCCGGGACACTGAGTGGTGCAATGGCCAAAAGCTCTCAACAGATAAGTGACTCAGCTCCTCTGCTGAATCACTAAAATTCAGAGGAAAGTTTTAATCCGATCTGTGATCATTTGTCAAGATCTTTTTACTTTGCTGATTTATGGCCGGCAACGCTTACTGTTCAGTTTCTGTGAAGAGATGTGGCCTGAGATTGGACAAGTTAGGGCCTCCCTTATCTATCACGCACCAAGATGCTCAGACAAAAGATTTTTCCTAATTTGTTGTCGCTGTAGTGATGCTGTTAACTATTCACTCTTCATTTAACAGAGTTGCATTTTCATTTTGAATTTAATGTGCAAACCTTGCTTGTTAATGACCAACCGGTCAACTGGATCCTGGTCAAGCAATGGACAGGCTGCAGGAGGTCACATGTCTGCCTTCTGATCCTTTTTCATTTTACAAGAAAAAACAAAAAATATCTGAATTACTCCATATGTGTCAGAACAAGTAAATGACATGTCTTATATATGAAGCAATAAGATTGTTTAATTAGGAAACAGTTTATTAAGTGAGCTGTAAGCCTCATTCATAATACAGTCATGTCATGTATTGACACTTTGGCCTTCAGCAGGAATAGTTGAGCAGATTGTTGTTTATGTGGCTTTGTTTTTTTGCTAAAATCAATGTTCAGATTTTCATCCTTGCCTTCCTCATTTTATCTGAATGTGGATTACGCAAAGCCTTGGCAAAGCTGAACACCAAACAAAAACCTTTGCACCATCAAATGTGACAGATTGAAGATGTTAATGAAGTGCGCTTTGCTCACCAACCATTTGTCCAAGTTCAAAGAGTCACAACCTCCTCCACCTGCAGTTAAATTTTGTCCCTCAAAAGAAGAAATAGGTCTTTAAGCCAAAAGTGAGATCATCATGCTGAGCTCAAACCAGACACCACCCAATTTCCAGCCCATGATTAATACATAGTCATTATGTCAAATGGGATGTGAGCTATACACACTGAGCGATATTCAGTCATAGATTTCGGATCCATCCACTGCTTTTATCACCAGCACTCTTTGTAACCAGACAAGCAGTTTTCCTACAACAACCTCCATTTATGTCTTTCAGTTCCAACATGGAGTCCCATATAACATCCTCACACTATTATGTTTAATAGTATTCCCCTCATGCCAACTGGGTCCCAGACATAAGTACTGTAAGTCATTTGGATCATGATAATAACAGTGACCGCTGGGCATCCTGCAGTGCATATGTTGTAAGAGTGGGTTTGTGTTTTGATGTGTTTTGGAGTGTTTTGGTACTTTCAGTGGGCAGTTTGAGACTTCAGAATAGCGTGTCTGAGGGCAACGGGAAGTGCCCGTCTCCGGCTTTCTCCACTCTGCCAAGGAGCCCCAGAAACGCTGCTGAGCGTGATTTATGGGCTTGTTTTTTTTTCTGGAGCTTAGAAAAAATCGATGAGAGGCATGTTGTTTAAAAGCTAATTGTACTTTATATTTTTCATTTTGTGAGCAAATGGATTTATCTCACAGCACAGACATCCAAAGAAAGTCTATTCTAAGTCTATAAATCAAATAAACTCTAACAACATAACTTTAAACTCCACTGTGGTCATGCATTGGAAGTTGAATTTCTTTAAATATGCACCGTGAGTGTGTGTGTGTTTGTGTGCAAAGTTTGTGCTTTTTCTTCTTCAAGTTAGAGAATGTGGATCCGTACAATTTTTCTAATCTGATAATCAATAATTTGCAATGTGTGTGTGTTTTTTTTTACGCTGACTAAACTTATCAGAGGGTCAAATCATTTCCAGATGCATTTCCGACGTCATGATCTGCTGTTTTAAATACTTCTGTTAGATCTTTACTGATAGCTGGATCTTTTTTTTATCCTATTTTCGGTTTGCATGACTACAAGAAAAATCTCACGCATCACACACACACACACCTACTTGTTTTAAAAGCCAAATATGTCCACATTAAGGGGGAAGAAAGTAGAAAACCCTGATCGAATATGGAATTCCTGCGGCCTAAGTTAGTGTTCAGTTTAGTAATTCTATCAAACTGACTGAAAAGAGATTTTGAATCTTGATTAACTGTAAATGACGGACGAAGATGGTCAAATTACACAGAAACACAATGTGTCATAGAGATGTCTCATGGGTGCCAAAGCCTCATGCTCCACGTGGTAAAAACACAAGTTTATGGACAGAAAACAGGCGGCCTACAGAGAGGAGCTTTTACATTTTACTACCCATGGTTTGTAATTCCTCCCACACTGCATTAAAAAGCTGTTTAAGAGAAAAAACGCTGTTCTCGCACATGCAGAACAACGGATTGTAACAACTCTTTGGGATTTGAGAACACAAATGATCTCCAGCCGGCTCCCAAAATCAGACGTACACAACGTGTGTGTGTGTCCTTGGTTTCTGCCTCACAACATTCATGTATGAATGTAGAGAAATTCAATATTAGTCATGAATAGTAAAAAAAGCAATCCCTGGGGAAGACCACCCTCTGTGGTCACAGTCATTTAACTGGGGGTACTCTCACGTCAGACCCCGTCATGTGCGCAATGAAACCGGATGAGGGGGGGGGGATCCGGAGTGGAGAATGATAGGGGCAGAAATGAGAAGGATTGGGGCAGAAAATGTCTGTTTCAAAACATTTGAAAGAAATTCTGCGGGGAAGTTTGTTTTTTTTCTTCATCAGCTATCGAGAGGCAATGTGTCAGCACGTGGGTACTGACAGTAATTAGTTTTACATTTACAAGCTGTGTAACAGTACAATAATTTGGACAAAACATTTTTGGTTAACTGCTTTTCCAAAAATAAGCGTATATAATATGAATTAAATAAAAGCTTTCCCTTTTTGAAAAATTCTTGTTTGATATATATTGATCTTCAAATGCTCCATAATTCTTCTCCTTTCTTCTGTCTTTATTTCATAATGGTCCAGATGTTTCCAGTGCATGATGAGGGAAGTTCAGTGGGGAAAGACAGCCCCCAGATAGCCAATAAACCTGCACAGGTGAGCAGAAAATGTTTTCCCATTTTGAAGCGTTTAAATCTGTTATTTAGATCTATTAAAACATGCACAGCAATGGCTCGATGTTTAATAATGGAACATATTGACATTTTCTTCATCAATATCATGGTGAAACACCTCATTTCAGTAAACATTTACATACTATTGGCGTAAAGGAAACGGAGTGCTCATAATAAGAGGGTATTTTCTTCACAGGGAAACTACTTCCCTCCCACTCTGCACCAACCACTGCCGCCGATTTGACTGCCCTGCTTAACCTCCATTTTACCTCCTTTAAACATGCTCCAACAAGTCTTGATAACACCCTGGAAATCCTAGTCTGAGGTCAAGATCAGTAAGATCCTCTTTTTTTTACTTTCTTTATAAGTGAAACTCAGGGAAATTTATCTTCCTGTTGCAAAAGAAGTTGTGTGAGCACTTCTTAAAGATCCTGAATCCTTCTGCGCTGCGTCTGCATACGACTGTTTTGTCCGTTTTTACACACTTGTATACATTTTCCAAGGAACTGGCAGCTAAAATGATGGATCATCCCCTGTTTGTGCACGGACTGGCTGAAGCCCTGCTGTGATGATGACGACCTGCTGGGGAAACAGAGGCCTGTACACCTAATTTAATGGAGGGATGTGTGCCGTGGCAACTCAACCCCCCACTATTCTTTTTATAGATATAGATTATGAACCACTCCAAAGACACCAAAGACACATTAAATCACGTTGTCAGAGCCAGATGTTTACATGGTTCCACAGCAGGATATCTATACACGAGACCTGGTCGTACAGAAATGGAGCAGTCTGGGCGTCTGGAACATTTCAATCAAGGAGGCTAGCATAAAATATAAAGAGCCTCGGATAGGGACGGTTTTCAACCGGCAGTTCCCAGTTGCTGCTGCTAGATGGCAGTCCTGCTGTGGCCTAAAAACGTCCTCCCTCTGGCCTCCTCAGAACCTGAGAGGAATAACTGTTTTGTGGTGTTTGTTAAACACTAATAATCCGAGGTGGCTTGTAGGCCCAAATAGAACAGAAAATCTATGTTTTGGGTGGTTCATTGGATTATTTTATATTCATAAAAATGATGCACATATATATATTTAACCATGTTGCCACATGAATAAATATGTGTAGTTGTTTATTAGCTGACAGTTTTAAAGAAATGCCAATATAAGATGTTCATTTGGATGTTATGTAACTCTATAACAGACCAATATGAATTTGACCTCATGCAAAGGGAAGACATGTGATGTTCTGTTCTGTTGTGGTCATCCTTTCTCCTCTCTGGGTGTCAGCTCCACTTCCACACCAGTCTAACCTCAGCAGGTGGCCACTTTCCCATTAACTTCCCTCAGTTCAGGTCAGTCTTGGTCAGATCCTTGCTTATTACAGTCCTTTGGATATTCTCTTTGGATGTTTTTCCCCCCTTATTTCTTTTCCAGATGATGACATACATTGGCAAGCAAATACACGTCCACACAGAACTGGCAGACACACAAAAATAGATAGAATTAACATTTATGTAACAAGGCAAAAATATCCATCGTGCATGAAAGCCAGCGCATTTATGCAAAAAGCCTACCGATATTAGCTTTTCATATTCTTAGACACATGAGTCAATGTTTCACATTGTGTTCAGCTTGTGTTTCAGCATGGCAGTCAGCCCCTCACTTTTCCTGCCCCCCTCTCATGCTGCTCCATCTCCACGTCTGCTCCCTTATTTTGGTTTCCTTTTTTCCCCCATGATTGCTTTGCTGCCTCCCGTCCCTTCCTCTTCCCCATCCCTGCTCTCATCATCTTTTTCCCGGACCCCCGCTCTGCCTCATCCTCCACCGTTGCTCGTTCTCTTCTCCCAGGTCACCGTGTTCTTCCCCATCCTCCTCTTTTTCTGGCGGCAGCGCTTCATAAGTGACGGGCGGAACTGTATCTCTGCTCAGACAGCCACCGGCTCGCTTTAATATTTAATCATGTGTGCTTTTTTTTTCTTTTTCTTTCAAAGAGATCTGAATTTGTGTGTGACTGGCAGATAAAGAGAGCTGTCTGAAAACTGTGTGTGCATGTGTGATGCAGATGCTCCAGTTATGCTAACTGGAGGAAAACACAGCAGATAGTTGGATGTATATTCCTGTGTGTGGTGACAGTTGATGAAAGACTGCCCCATACATGGTAATTAGCTCACTATCTCTCTTTCCCCACCTCCTCTTTTTTTCGTATAAGCCCTTCCTCTCCTACGGCCTAAGCATGTAATTATCATGAACCGCTCGGCACTACGACGCACTACTACGTGGGATTTTTTTTTTCAAACGTTCCATTACTGTCACGTTTTGTTTGCTTCTGCTGTGTGTGCATGTAGCGTGCGCTGGTCTCGGGGGGGTCCCCATGGACTGCATGGCAGCACTTTTCATCATCCCCCCCAGAAAGCCCGAAGTCCCCCTTCTCTTCCTTTTGCTTCTTCAGCAATTCACCGCGCAAGGGTTTTCTTTATTTCCCTTTTCTTTTTTTTTTCATTTGCAGGAGGCTGCCGGTCCTCTGGGCTAAGGTCTGTGGTCTTGTTCGGGATGAGGGAAGAGCTGTTGAAGATGTGTGCTCCACAATCACTCTCCACCACTGTCCCTTAACTTTCTGCACCTCTAAAAAAAGATTGTTTTCCCCTCTTCCGCTCACGTCTTATCCTGTGGCAGCGAAACTAAGACCTGCCACAGAAGTAAAAGTGAAGCAGTATTAGCATAAATATATATAATATTATTCATTCCCTCTTAATTTTAGTAGAACAAGTAAGCGTGTTAAGTTTAACAAATATCAAAGAGGATCTTATTGGTCCATATCTGATGTAAAGTTACCACTGGCTAAATTCAATTAATGTAGTCGAGTAAAATGTCTAATATGTCCCTCAAAGACTATCAAATTCATGTAGAAATTGACACTGTGGGATGTCACTTGGAGAGGATTTAATTTCGACCATTATATGCTATTCATTGGTTCTCAGATGCTTTTGAGTGGCAAACTGGATAAGGTTGATTTGCTTTACTGTACTATACTTAATGTACTCAGTTTTTTGTCAATAGTTTGAAAAAAGAAGCGTGGTAGGTGTGTTTGAAAAAATATTTGCACATCATTATCTTCTCCTCGAATCTGATCATGTTTCACAGCCTCAGCTTCAAACATCGGTGGCTTTATCTCAGCAGGCTACTACAGTTTTTGTAAAAGACATGTGACTGCTTTGTAATTGAGCTTTTATGGCACTGTAATGCCACCTGATATGACTCCACAAACACATGCTCCCTGGGTTCTCCTGAAAAGTCTTACTGGCTAATATCAGGGCTTTGTGAATTCCATTAAATGTCAGTCTGTCCTCAGAGTACTAATTAAGAAGAATGAAGTTAATAAAAAGACAGCTGTAAAGTCAGTTCAGTACATTATTCACCCCCTACTTCTTCATGATAAAAAAGTGGATCAATAAATTACAAACACCACTTTATAGTTTTATACAGACAAATAAAATAGTCACAGGTTGACTTTTAGGGGATATTTCATCATCAAAACTTGGAGACTTTCAAAGTTTAACCATGTTCGGAGAGGAAAAGTAACACTGGCATATCAAGTGATGAATGACAGAGGTGATTAGAGAAGTTTTTTCAGTTCGGAAATAGTAGTTTGAGCTTGATATGAGAAAATGTTGACACGTCACTGGGAGTCCATCTTGTGCTTCTGTGTTATTTTGCTGGCAAACATTTGCATGCATGCTGGCTTATTATCCCTGACCGGGACCAATTATCCCAGATTACAAACCATATCCATACGCAGACCCGACAGCTGAGTTATTCAACTGAACTCAGGCTGAACTTTGCTCCATTTGATGTAGTTTCAGTGTCAGCCTCAGATCTTCACATCTTCACAGATCTGCTGAATTCAAATGAATTCTGTTTCATATCATATGCAGTCTTTAATCTGGTCAACAGTCACTAACACTTTTCCAACATCCACACTAAAAAAGTAAAAGTATAACAAATCTACAACAGAAAGAGGAAGACTCTTTTATTAATGTGGCAAATCGGAAAACTTATTAGGATTCAAGGGAACTGCATCAACTTTACTGTCCTAAAGAATCCCAAATAAACTGAATAAATTATAAACCTTGATGATGGGAATAAGTTGATCCTGTATCACAGGCTTTTTGTGTAATTTAACATTCTTTAACAACAGCATATGATATTTCCAGCTCTGAAAAAGAGAAAATATACCATTTTTAAGGGAAAATATAAAAAAGGAGGATTTTTAAAAAAAGTTATACAAACTGAATATGGAAATTTGTCATTCGCGATCTGTGTCAAGCTCTGAAAAAAGCCTCATGTACTTCAGTCAGATCCTTTTCTCCTGCCAGGGAGGAAATGTAGAATTAGAGATGTGTTTTATTTGGCAAACTCAAACTTTACAGGGAGACAACAAAACTAAACAAACCAACAAAGTGCAGACCACTAAAGTACAGGGCTGGTGACGGGAGAAGGGAAACATGCTTATGGTGATGTCCACGGTTCAGGAGTTTATGCAGCCAAGAAATTCTTATTGACATTTTATTGGGTGCTGTGTGTGGAATAATGACAATAAAAATAAAATAAAAAGTTTTTCATCCTGACAGGAGTGACAAAAAGGGAAGATTATTTATACCTCATAGAGGTCTATAGGAGAAGAAAAGGCTTTAAAGAAAACAATGTCTGACTTTGACTGTTAGGATCAGGAATATTTGCAGCATTGGGAATGGAATTAGAGACAAACGCACGCGCCCCTTTCCCACCTGCTCTTTGCTTGTGATGACACTGAAATGTAAACCTGTCTTTGTATTGACTGGACCAGACAAATTCCCATCCAGACAGACTGGCACATCCACCTATGCGCTGGCTATGGCCGCTCTTTGTTTACCTACAGAAATTCGAACCAGGTAGAGAGATGACGTCACCCCGCTGCCTGACTCTTTGCTTCCGTTTCTCTCCCATAGTTTTGCTTTACTACTTACGCCAAAATTAAACGTCAAACTTTATCTACCAAGCTGGCAGAAGCAGTGCGACATTAAGGTGGCTATTTTTTTTTATAACTCCAGCCTAACTCTGAGCCCTTTTACTGTACTCGGACTTCGGTGAACGGAGGGTGGAAGTGATGCAATGCTGTGTACACCTGTGTCCACCCCCCCCTGCCCCCCCTCCCCTCACCGGACAACACACACACACACACACACACACACACACACAGAGCACATCCACCTGATAGAGTGGGCTACAGAGACACGTGAGCCACAGGGTGGAGCAGCGTCGCGTGCTGCGGAACGCAATTCGGTTTAACCGGGTCGCGCGCGGTCTGGCTGCGGATGCGGGTCGGTGAGTGTGGGCGCGAGGCGGGGGGGAAAAATGGCGAACGGGCACGGGCGCGGGCGGCGGCGCGCCTCGTGAGGACACGGTAGGCAGACGGCAGCTCGAGGACACACCGGAGAGAGTGAGAGGAAGGAAGCATGGAGGACTCGGAGCCCGCAGAGGACGGCTTGCTCGCGGGCTTGCGGTGGAACAGGAGCGCGCGGGACCAGGCGCAGCTCAAACACAAAATCCGGGACCTTCCGGGGCTCCTCAAGCACGGGCTGCACCTGCGGAAGAAGAGCGTGAGTAATTCAAACCCTGCGCTGTGTTCCGTGTTTGTTATCAGTCCGACGCTGGCGACGGTTCGCCGCCTCCTTTAACCGTCAGGCCCCCGGGCAGGAGCACCCCGAGGCGGTTTCGTAGCCTCGTCACGACTCAGGTGTTGTTATTTCTGCTCCAAATGGCCGTCGCAGAGGCACCTTCCCGGGTGTGGGAGCGCGCGAGTGTGCCCCTCTGCGTTACATCCATAATAACCAGAAAAAACTGGAGGACACCATAACTCCACGGCGCTGTAGTCAAGGCAACAGCACACCTGAGCTCCCAAATTGGACGCTGTGCACCTAACCCCAGCAGCAAATGCTGCATTTTCAGGTGACAAGGTGAAACGTAAGTTTGAAAATATCAGGTGGCCATGACAAGGTGGCATTAGTCCAATTACACACAGTCCTTATCTCACACAGAGTAAGCCGAAGGGTTGATGTCCTGATTATTCTACTTTGTTCTGTATTCAAACACCACCAGGGCCCGTTTCTGAATGGTTCCTTGGGGCATTTTTGTTTGATTTCCCTGAAACTCGGCCAGCTAAGCAGTAAATGTGCGTGACCTGGTGCATGTGAACGCGAAAACAAGCCAAATGGCTGCAGCCCCGCTCATCATCCTCATCAGTGGCATCCACTTAAAAACACCTCCAGATTCCCACTGTGGGAGCAGGAGGCTGTGTGCCAGTCCCAGAGGGGCCAGATGTTCTAAAAATATGCTACGTTTTTCTTACGTAAAGCCAAATCGGACCATAGAGATGAACAGTTTATGTCACGTTACTCCTGGTTGTTTTAAGGAATTCGTAAATGAAAGTCGGATTGAGGCCGCCGTTTGTCATGTCTCATGTCAGTGGTGCTCAAATATTCCTCTCAGAACAGATGACAGCTTTGACATCTCTAACAAATAGAACGGGGAAGCACGCTGAGCTTCAAGTATCACTGCCCCTGCTGTCTTTGTTGAGGAGGCTCGGAAGGCAGGGGAATCCGGAGCGGATGAAAAAATGTTTTGCTTTAGCTCGTCGCCTCTTTAGCGGGCTGCGTGTTTTCTTCTGCGGGTCAGTGCAGTGAGGTGTGGGTAAGTGGTGTGAAGGTATGGCTGTTCTGCGTAGACTGGCCCTCTCTTGGCTCAGGCAGCTGCCTGAGACACAAAAAAGAAATTACATAACAGGTAAAAGAGACTCTGAAAAAGATGTGGCTGATGTCATTTGAAGTGAGAGTATGTTTTCAGTCCTCCACAAGGGAAACACCTCTGTGCACATCTTTTTTGTTAGTGCAAAACCTCTGACAGAGGCAGTTTCTGGCATCCTCCGGGGTGCCGTCGACGTCTGCACACAGCAGATGAAGTCAACTGAAACTGCTGCGTTGCCGCCTTTTGCATTCAGTTCCCACCTCAAGCCGTCTCACCTTGGGAGAATCCAGTTTTACCTGGTCTTTGTTATGACTTCTCTGGTATCCAACTAAATCAGTCCTTTTCCTGGTTGTTGTTAAATAAATATCGAATGGTAGCACTTCATTTCGCTTTAACTTCCTCTAACACTTGCCAGGTTGATTCGTGACATAGTCAGGCTTCAAGTTATGTAGCAAGAAAATCCTGATTTGGACTCTTTCCTTCTCCATGGCAGCTTAGTTCGAAATCAGAATTTTAAAAGATTGAGAAAAACACAACATTATATTACGTGTGTTTGCTGGGTCTGGTTTGGCTTGGCTCTTTGATATCCTAATGTAAACCTTCAGTCAATCAGTTGATCCATACAATTTTTTTCTTAAATGGTGAGACATCAAAGTGCACGTGAAGCCAAGCGTTACATCTGAACCTATGTGTTAACGTGTTGACGTGCAGATGGCATGTGTGTAAACGGGTAGTTACAGTTGTGCCTCATGTACTTCACAGATAACATCCCCAATGTTATACTTCTGCTTCCAGATTATGCCACATTTGTCCACCTTTGAAATTATCTCATGGATGATCTAATTTAAGACGTTACAAATGCTGTGAGCGCTGTGTGTAAAATTAAGCTATCTTGTGGATCCCAGCTAAAACACAGACCTTTAACGAACAGGCTAATGTTTGGAAGCTCTACGATGACATTCTGTTGGCCGTTTTATCTCGTGAAATGAGACAGTAAAAGCACCCCCAAAATGAAAACTAGAGAAAAATTCTCTTGGAGAAAAATGTATGAAATTCCCTTGAACTGAATCTAATTCCTACCATAAAATTTCAGCCCACCAGAGCCTTGGGATGTGTCTTTGTTTCCTTAAGCAAAATTTCTCATCTGTAACCGCATTATGCACTGAAATCCGAAAGATGAAAGGATGTAAAGTTAGAGACTTGCATACAACATACTGAGTGAATAAATGCCATTTGCAATGATTACACACATGGACATGAACATTTCTTGCTAAAAAAAAGTGCAAAATGCCATTAGAAAAGTTGCAGGATGATGAAAGTGCTTCTGCATTTCTTGATTATGCGAAGAACATAAAAATGATAGCCGTGGTAGTCTGAGAGAACCACCAGTGTTCTCCCGAGGCTTATAAACTTATATATTCATCAACAAGCGGGATGCTTGAGAGATGATGCAGGCTTGCTTTGACATAAACAGCAGAGAATGTTTAACCGAAAATAATAACCAAAGGATCTGAATCCTGACCGCCATCTGTCGCCTTATGTCCAAAAAGGTTGTTTATGCAGAGGTGCAAATGCCTGTGACGGATCTGCCAGTAAGCAGGGATTCACATGTAAGTTTAGAGTTAGAATAAGCAAGAAATTGTTCACTTTTGGCCAATTTATTGTCCTTCCATCGACGACCCCCTGAGTTTGTGTTGTGGAATTCGTTGCGGTGTTCCTTAAAGTGGCTTTGTGTTGGTGTGCGTCCATCCAGCTGGAGATGCTCTGATGTCTCCATTTTGATCAAGATGCCGGGCGGCCGACGGGAGTTGGCCTGCATGGGTCTGCCTGGGTGTGCGGGAGGGGACCTGCCCGGCACGCCGTGCTACCGCGCTTCTCTGTGCTCAGCACTCTAATCTGAGAGTAATCCATTTCTCGCAGATAATGACCTCGCCTCTCCGGCTCCGTCTGCGTGTGCACTTTGAAGTCGTCACACAGATAAGTGTGTCAGCGTGAGCACTGTCTTTATCGCTTCTTCTCCCCCCCCCCCCCTCTTCCCGCTGCACCGGCAGTGGAGATGTGCCGTGGTGGGGACGTGAAAGCAAAGCCCACAGGAGCATTGCAGCAGGAACTCATGAATGAAAGGCGTCTGGCGCTGGAGCGTCTCGATTGCATTTGTGGGAAGGGACGATTGTGGGGAAACAAAGACCCCTCGAGATCTGTGTTAACCAGACGGGGAGACAAAGAGATGAGGAGACAAGATAGAGTGACCGGGACAGTGGAGAGAAAGAAAGAGGAAGATGGTGATATTGTCAGAAACAATTTGTTAAGTCTGTGTGCTTGGTGGGCTGGGGGCTCTGCTAAACCTCTCCCAGTCCACTGAACTTCCCTTTCTCATTGCAATAGACCTGACCTTTTTAGATCATCTTTTATTCAGTCATTTATCTCTCCGAGCTTTTGTTCTTATATTTCTTGTTACTTTTGACTGTAATGGAAAGTAACACTTCAATATTTACAATCAAGTCTGAAAATATGTCTGTGTGGGATACAGTTCTCCCCCAATATGATTTGACACAGAGACCTGAAATGCAGTCAGTTTCTTTTTGTCGTGCAGGGAAGGGCATCGGTGTTTTCCGAAGTCTGGGTAAGAAGACAAACAAAGATGCGATATTTCCCCCCAAAATGGTGTGATAGTGAAGAGCGGCGGAGCTGCGAGTAGCTCTGCCCGAAGAGGTGTGTGGGCGATCCTGATGTCTTCATAGTCATCGGCTCGTGTGCGCAAGAATGCGACATCCCAGATAGTGTCATTGTTGTAATGAGCATCACCCACACTGATCTACATCCCTCTAATCACGTCTTTTTTCATTTTCCTGCGACTCCGAACTCCAGCTGAGCCTTTCTCTCCATCTCCGTCTTTGTCTTGCTCACTCCGCCTCTCATTCACGTTTCTAATTGAAATGATCTCCGCGTCTCACTGTCTCATCTGTCAAATCCATTGTCATATTTTCATGGGCCGACGTGAATTGTTAGGCCTTCCTCTATTCTCTCTCTCTCTCTCTCTCTCTTTCATTTCAGCTCGTTTGTAGTTCTTCTCCGACGGGCCTCATTCACAGCTGCTTAGGTGCTCTTCATTTCATCGCTGGATCCCTTTGAGCCTCCCTCTGACATCATCCTGGGGTTTTTGTCACGGCCCGATAGTGAGAGTTGAGAGGCTTTTTAGACAGCCTGCCTCTTTTTCATGAGTGACAGCAACATGATCGCCATCCCAATGCAGTTCTGTGGTTTAGCTTTTTTTTTTCTGAGGGTTGCTGGCTCAACGTTTCTGAAACACAAGTACCTGACATATTTCACATCATACCAACTCACTAATGATGTCTGATGCTTTAACATAAAGAAAACCATTACCAGACCACACATTAAAATGTTTGAATAGATTTAACTCCAGCCTTACATTTAAGCTTGATTTCTGTTCAAATATAATTTGGTCTTTCTAACCTTCCTTTAATATTTCTTTTCTTCAAACTCATTCTAAAAACAGCAGGTTTTTCCAGGGGTTTGACTCACACATGTACTGTTCAGCACATCATCTTACGGAGCTTACCTTTTTGTTCGGATAAATCGAAGCGCTTGTGTTTCATTCATTCCAACACGGTTCATCTGTCCTCTGTCCTGTTCAGACATGTTTCCACGTCGCCCCCGCCACATGTGACTAGTTTGGTGCAGTGACTGTACCGAGCCAAAGCTGCCATTTTCTACTCCGGTCTTCTGACTCCTCCAGTGCCAGTGAATTGGAGAGAATATGAGCTCTGGTTGACATAAAAGCTGTTACTTTGCAGGACTATCCAGTAGCATTTTGGTCCTTTTACATTTAGGTGAGGACATTATATTTCTTAAAGGTGGACAGATCCCTGTCTGTCTATAGAAACTACTGTTGACAAAAGCTGAGCCCTGCCACAGCTGCACACCAGACTGCTCAGATTTCTCAATTTCTCCCACCTAAAAGGCGGTGCAGATCGGTTAAAAAATGCTGATGATTCATTGAGGAATGCCAGCTAAGCTTCAGGGTTATGTCATGAAGTAAAGGAAGAAAACGGCTATAAACCGAAATTGAAGTCGCTAATCTTTTTCTATCGAGGATAACTCCCTCTGGTGTCAACATTGAGCTTTGTAGAGCACTTAATGGTTGTTTTAGTATTATGAATAGTTCTGTCTTAATGACTCGATGACCTCTCCGGATGTTTTCTTTTTCATGCTGTTTGTCATTGATGGTTCTTCTTCTCTCATGTATTTTTATTACTGCGCCATGGCATGAAGGGGAATCATTTCAATAATAAATATAGAAGTGGCTTCAAGTAGGAAAGCGCTTCAGAGCTCTAGTCCATTTCTACCTGCTTTATAACCCGTGTTCAGCACAGACAATTTTCATCTTGCAGATAAAACTCCATAAGGATTAAGGGCTTAAACACTCTTTCCTAATGGGGGGTAATGTGGGCTGGATATGCCTGGGGCAAAGTCTGATGGGAGAAACCATGAAGAAATGTTTTTATTGTTCCTTCATCATGTGGCAGTTGAACTAAAAGCTTCCATATATTGATGAGTGAACAGGCAGTGTTCTGTCCTTGATGGCATGTAGATTAGTGCTTGAATGATTATGATTAACAGCCTTAACTGATGAACCCCTGTGGACTGAATGATCGCTCTCCCTTTAAGTAGAAATAAATGGCCTTGCTCTTTAAGTTTTGTGCCAGCCTGTCACAGTAAAACGGGCACTCAGGGGCTCTAATGCGAGAATCAGCAGGGATTATTACGGCTGTGAGCTCAAACAAAACCTGACTAATGCTTCTGGAATGATAAAACTGGTCTTTCTCATGTGTTTGTTCAGGATGTTTACTTTGTGTGTGTTGTTTTGTCAGAGACCTGATGGCTTCTGTTTTTATTTCTACAGCAATCGCCTGACACTATCCCTGGACCAAGCACTGGATCTGCACTACACAAGGTAAGAAGACACACACACACACACACACACACACAAACAAATGTGTGAAAAGTGATGTCGACTCATTAGTTTTGATGTGAAGCACAAGGGAGTGTTTGTTTATCCCCAACACGGATGACATCAGACGGGATTATTACCTTTTCAGAGCTAGTTTCAGCACACTACACACACACACACACACACACACACACACACACACACACACACACAGCTTATTTTGTCATGCATCAAAAATAATGTGGTTTGGGAAATATTTTCATACTGCACTCGTGCAAAAAAGCCCAGGGGGTAAAATTACTCATAAACTGTGTTTTTTCTCAGTACTGAGAGACTGTTAAAAAGTTACAAAATTATAACTCGGATTAAGACGTTAACACCTAAGCTTAGGATGGTGATTCTCTTTTTCTCTTTTGTCAAATAGATTTTCTTGGCTTTACATTGATGCGGTACTCTATACAATATGCTTAACAACTTTCCCATGAGCACCCACACAGGAGGATGAAGCTGGGACTAACACCTTTCTCTATTCTTTGTAGTTTACAGTATATTTATCAGGAAAAAACTTGCTATTGGTACTATACTACATTGAATTTGACGGCTAACTTTTGAGCCATTTATGTGCAGAAGTTGAGATGAGACAGCCCCGAGTTTAGTCATGATGACATCATGGCGCCATGTAGCAGCATAATGCTTCTGCACCAGCTAGTCGGTAAAACAGAAATACCATTTCTAAAACAGGCGTATTTCATTACCACCCTTATTTAGCTTTTAGAGAGTCTTATTTGCTGATGTTATAAACACTTCAAGTGTTCTCAATATCGGAATTGCTAATGTGAGGTTCTTTTTAGTTAATGAAACTAACACACAGAGCCTTGTTGTGGGCTTTAGTTCTCCAGGCAAAAGTCTTCAAAAGCCAATTAAGGTTGAAAGTACACCCTAAACGCAGGTGTCATTATTTCTATAATTCAAAATGAGCTACATTTCCCATAATGGATTAGGTTGGTCTTTTAATTCTTTGTTGTAGCTCCTTCACATACTTTTCATGATCCTTGTACAACAATTGGTTCCTGTTTCAACATGGATAAAATGAAACAAACAGGCAAAATAATTTTATTTCAGTGTAAACATAGTGAGCAATAACAGATTGATGCTATGGACGTATTCAATTCTGCTTTCACCAAAGAAAAGACAGAGCCGCCTGGGTTGGTAAAGTTGAGTGATGCTGTGAGGTGCTCTCCGTGGAGCCTTTTAGGTTCTGCAGCAGAATTAGCTCTCTGACGTGGACAGTAGAAGTCGGTATAAACAGAACAGGACAGGGAGCCACGTCATCAGCTTAAACTGAAATACAGCGGCCTTTACGATGGCATCAACAGCAGGACTTCTGCACAGTGCGTAGACACAATCGATATTTTCTCCTCTAGGGGGAAGAAATCAAGCTGCCCTTGTGAATCGGTCAATGATAGCTGCATGTGGCCACTTTAACCCTGTGCAATATTACCTTCATGTGGAAACCAATACGTAATTTTCATGTCATATGTGAAGTTTAGCATCCCATTACTGTGCTCATTTTGACCTGTTTGTGCGCGTGTGACAGTCTTGTTCCCAGAGTTTCCCGTGTGCTGCCCGGGCTGTGAGGAACGCCTTCCTTTCTCATGGGCCATACCCGGCAAAAGACAAGATACACCTGGCCCGAATCATACGGTACTGATGAATCGATAGGTCCGGTCAAACATATGCTCCGACTCACAGCCACTCTTGAGCCATTTCCTAATTGCACAGTCAGAATGTTTAAGAAAGAAAGGGTAAGAAAGCACAATGTGGGTGATGTACAGGGCAGCACAAACCGGTCCAGGAGTGCATGCATTTAAACCGCAGAGCTCTGAACACCCAGATGGGCAAAAAACAAAAACCTCTAGGAAAAATATAAATAGATATATGTACCATTGATTTGTATACACCCACACACTCAAGCACACCACACACATGCACAGGAGCGGGAGGAAAGAGGGATTTACAGAGAACTAATGAATAATCAATAGAAATTGATCAGCAAAAGACAAGCTTTGTGCCAAAGAAGTGTGTATCTGAATCACAGCATTGTGCATCTCTACTTGTGTGCTTAAAAAGTGCATGCGTGTGTGTTTTACCAGGCGCAGCTATGTCGGAGTGGAGCTGGTGCAGTGGCTGTGTGAGCAGTGTGTGTACGTGCGCTGTCGGACCACTGCTGCGCGCGTCTGGCAGGTGCTGCTGGAGCTGGGAGTCCTGCTGTCGGGTAAAAGAAAACAACAACAACAAAAAAAAGACGCACATACTCTGACACGGCAGTAGTTAGTACTGCGCTTCCAAATTTATAGCCTCTTTTCAGCGGCATCAGCAGCTTATCTGCGCATCTCTAAAGACACAAGCGGTGGATTTATCCAGCAGAGCAGAGTGGCCCATTTACTGCCTCATTCACTTGAACCTGATTTTTTTAAAATTGAGATCTTTCACTGAAATCAGGAATCGGTGCTCGGTTTATCAAAGCTGCACCTCCCACCAATCGCTCATTAAATTGCCCAAAACAACCCCTTTTTTCTCCTTTTTAAACTGTAACCATGTTAACAGGAAATTACCGCACTCTAAGCATTTGAGAGTCTGTTAATCTCATTTCAGTGAGTTATGCAAGAGCTGCTGCAAGAGGCAGCACAGACATTGTGCACATGTATTATTTATTTTGGTAAAGGCAATTTCCAAGGCTGTTGATATTTCTTTTGAAGGATAAACAGTCGTGCTTGGGCTAGTTTGTTAGTGTGCTGAGCTAAACCCGTTTTTTAATTGAGCTCTGCCCTGATTCTATTTCTAAAAACAAGACTGGATTATGTCTCATTTTTCCTGTATTTCATTACAGTACAGGACTATTCTAATTTAAGTAGTTGTCCAAAGTCAAATTGTCTCTGTTTTATCAGAGTATTTCTAATATTTCTAATTTGCCATCACGTTTCATTGCCTGAGTGTCAGGATTGGTCAGATGAAATGATGATGACATGATGAAATTTTGATTAAATGTTTTTTTTCACCCTTATGAATGTATACACAGTAACTCTCAACATGAATCACTTAATTTTGGTGGATACCTCTGGTGTGCATAAAAAAACTAAGTTACTGATAGAACTTTCTATCTCCTCCCCAGTGGACCAGCGTGTGGTGTTTTCAGACTCCAACTCTTACTACCAGTTCAGTTTTGAGGAGTGCGAGTCGGCCTCCTGCGAGTTTCGCTTCATGGAAGGGGAGTGGCCAGAGGCAGTTAAGCTCCTCCTTCAACTTGCTCCGTATGTCCAGTTTCGCTCGGGCGGCGGGCCGAATAGCCCGTAAGTACCAAACAGCCATTGAACCTCTTGTTAGTAATCTCTATTTGTTGTGAGTTTCCCCTGGTATAAAATTTTGAATATAATATGATGTCTCTGAGGAACACTCTGGCACACTTGCTGAGGAGGCAGTTCCTGTGTGTGGGGTCCTGCTGAGGATGCAAGTGAACTCAATCTGCCTATCAGAGATATCGTGACAGAGAGATCCGTCACAATATCTCTGACTGAGTGTGTGTGTTTGGAGAGGGAATGAAATTAAAAGTATTTACTGAGAGTGACAGAACATAAGCACACACGGATATCTATTGTTGTCTCAATAGATCATAAACATTAGTTGTATTTGATACGTTTAAAGCTGCATTGGCTTGCTAAAAAAAAACGCCCCTGAGATGTGAGGCTGCTGCCGATTTTCCAGGTGGATGCACAGCTGAGTGAAGTCTCGGTTTGGACACACGGGGTTTTTGCAGTCCTCAGCCTCTTTGTCTCTCTGAGTGTGTTGCCGCGTCTCTGCAGGTCGCTGTCTCACACCTCCCCCCCCCCGCTGTCATTTCCCTGTAAAGATGAACAGTCAAAGCCGGGTGGTGGGTGAAACACCCAGAATGATCCTGCTATCAGCTTCAAAAACGAATTAAAAGAATCAGTCCATCAATCTATGGAGAGCCTCCTCCGGCTCCTCATTTCTGTTACACATGCTCTACACGAGTTGTGGACTGTTATGTAATGAGGCGAGCATTAAAGTGATACTGATATCTTAATACGCTCTAAGGGAACACTGCCTAATCTTTAAGCTCACTGTGTGGAGACTGCAGCTTCACTGAGGCCGGAGGAAAATCATGCCTCTAGTTAAATGTTTTATCTCTGCTGGATCATGTGTAGGTTGAGGCTTTGATCAAAGCTCCTTATTATTCAGTTCACCTCAATACTGATTGCTTGCCTGGAGGCTTTGTTTATGGAAAATAACATTTCCTCCTGGGGACGTTGTAATGGCCAGTTTGTTCTTACTGAAAAAATAACGCTTCTGAAAAATATATCACAAGAACATTAACATTAGTCAGCGTTATCTCACCATCTTTATTTAAGAACAGCAAAGCTTCAATGTGTTGCACTACTGATCACGAAACCGCCTAATTTCCCTTCCACCATATTTCCAAGCATGCACAGAAGGGGAACTTTGCATTAAAGTTTAACTATAAAAGAAGAGGCTCTGGCAGCTGCCGCTTGTCAAAGTGCATTTGTTAAAGTTTAGAGCCCGTCAGGTTGATCTTTGTCAGAGTGAGAACTCATGAGCGAACCACTAATGTCTGGATATGAATGTCTGTCTCAACAGCCATGATCATATGTTCTCTCTACACAGACAGGGGCATGATTGAATATACAAAATGACTTTACAGCAATAATGTGCAGTTAAACATTAAACAACATTTAAACATGAATTGGTATTTTATGGAGCTCAACGATGAGGAGCTCACCATTAAGATACATTTGTTAACCTAATAAACCAAACATAGATATGAAGGGATGCTTTGAGGAAATGGGAATAAATGTGCTCCTTTTCTTTCTTTGAAATATAATGTCCTTCGTATTGTGCAGAACTGGCAGAATTGCCAGGAGCTAAAATATGACACCTTTGCCTTGGAAGAGGAAATGAACTTGCTTGCTTTGCATAGTGGTCTGCTCCTAGACAATTCATTGCTCTTTTCTCATTAGTTGAGAAAGGGCAAAAAGTCAGACGCTGCAGAATACTGCAGGAACATTATAGCTAGAGGGAAGGACAACAAGGCACTCACCCGTTTGAACACAGAATGTGTCCTCCCGTATAAATGACTCTCTTAGCTTTGTAGCACATGCTTTCAGCCCCTCTTTAGACCTGTAACTGTCGGGCTAAAAACACTGCGCACATGCAATTGTTTGACTGTTTCATGCTCAAAGACTCTCTATGGAAACCATTGAACTCTTTACAGCTTTAACCTCTTGGTGTAATTTGAAGGGAGATGGTGCAGGCACAGATCCTAATAATCTTCAGTGCGCTATATGCTGCTTAATGGCTGGTGACGCACCTCCTACTGTGCCTCTCCTCCAGCACTGATAGATTCAGGCTCGTGGTGAGTCACCAAATTACCAACTGCTCACAAGAGGAAACTAAAACTTAATGACCCAGATGTGACTAAATTTATCCTGACTGTTCAGAATATATTTTGTTCGTTATCTGCCGAAGGACTTTCATATTTTCTGAGAAACATGCATGGTTTGAGTGGAGTTTTAGGGTGGCAGTATGCCAAAACACTGCTTTTGTTGCTACAATATCTATGTGACACAAAACGCATGGTATTTTCACACTGCTTCCAGGCTTGCAGTGGTCCACCTGCCTGCCTGTCTCTGCCAGAGCTGACCTGTCAGGCTGAGGGCTACAGTGTTATCACCATTTTCCCAGTTTCTAAGTCTATCGCCCCGTATCAGATTACAGTGTACACACACACACACACACACACACACACACACACACACACACACACACTCTGAAGCACAGAGCTTCACATTTTGTCCTCTACAGCTGTTACAAGTGCCACTGGGATCAGTGGCTAAAATCCAAATGGTATGCAAATGGATACGAGCGTGTCGGTGCACATGCTCATAGACGGAGAGCTCTACTTGTGCCGGTGAGCCAGTGCAAAGGACACTTATACAAACGGTGATTCTGTAAGAGATCATAATGGATCAGGAGCCCTCGGATGTTCTCGGCTGTTGTACAAGACACACTCCACAGCCTTGTTTTATTGCTGTGGGAGTAATGCAGAATTTACCCTCAAACAACCATCTGTTTATACAGCACATACACAGTCAAGCATGCACAGATTAAGTCAAGCACAGATATATTCACAGCTCTACACATGTTTGGGGGGGGAAAAACTTCAAAAGGGATAAGGCATGTATATACATCTTGTACAAATGTACTAAGCCACCGCATTGCCACACACACACAGAACTCCTCTAACATCAATGGAAGGGTGTGTCCCTGAGCTATTTTACATGAAACCACATGAAGGCAGACAGAATAAGCGTGATGAGACAGATGTTGTATTCAGATATAAAAGCACTGTATTGGAAAGATGCAAAAGAAAATGGACATATAGAAAATGGCACAATGGATACAATTTGTGTTGAAAATGTAGTTATTGTTATTAAGTCCAGGTTTGATGTTTGGATTGTGTGTTCACTGTGACATTTGATTTATTGGATCAATAACTCCAGATTCCTTATTGTGGTTTCTTCATTGTGGCATGAACAAAAACAGTCACCTTCCAAGTGTACTTGAGTAGCAGTTTATGAAATATCTCAAATTTGAAAGTGATTTGGTAATTATTCAGCTAAATAAATCATTAGTTGTTTTTAGAAGACAGAGACTACTCAAACAAAAGGAGAAAAGCAGCACACCTTTTATAGTATTCGGTCAATATTTGCATGTTTGTAGAGTGTGATTCTCATCTTGTGGTACCAGGGGGCAGTGTGGAGAGCACCCAAGCTCTGCATGGAAGTCTTACACCTGTTTTTTTGTTTTTTTTTGTTAGAAGACTGAACACTCTGCAGTTGCTAATAAAGCTATGTCTGTTTCTCCAAGGTCAGAGGAAGACTCTGAGGGCAACAGGGACGTGTGCAGTGAGATTCTCCAGATGAAAGCTCTGGAGAGGCTCACTTCTACGGTCAGTCTGTGCTGGCGAAACTGAGAATGAGAAATTGTGCATTCATCTGATGATATAATTCTAAAACAAATTTCAAATGGGTCACTCTGATTTTGTTCATGTTGTAACCCAACAGGTGCAGAGTGAGTTAGCTGCTGCTCTCGCCCGAAAAACTCGCAAAGCTCGTAAGTTAAATTAATTTTTTTCAGCTTTTTAACCTGTGGCAGGATGTACTGACTTGTACTTTTTGGTTATAGTGTCAGAGCAGGACTCTGAGACTACGGAAATGGGCCGCCAGGAGTCTTGTTCACCCAGCGAGGAGAGCAGCCCGGTAAACACTCACAAACTAGTACCAATCTTCATGATCGGAGAATCCTTATCAGTTTTTAATTGATTATCTAAGCTCTGTCTGTAAAGTTGTCAACTTGGAATCATAAAGATAAAAAAATCCCCACCTGCTATCTGTGGATTGTTAAAGGTTGCTGTACATTCTAGTGCTACTGGATTTGGCTACCAGGAACAAAAACTAAAAACATATTCTGATTCTCTCCTCTGTCCATTGCACTTTTCTCAATGTTAGCTGCTCTCTGTTGGAGGATCTGCCAGAGTGAGCACGAAGGGAAAGTGTGTACTTTAAAGAATGCATCTGTATTTTTTATATAATTAGAACTTCCCTCACTCGTTGATATCTTTGGAAAGAGCATATGCTTTCCCCAAGCAGTTGTACTACAATGAGGTTCTCATTTCTTTCTCATTTTCATTAAATGCAGATTGCAATAAACTGAAGACCAGTCCACCAAGTGGATCAGGCTGAATAAAACCAACACTGACCAAATGTAAAATTACTCGATCAGCTCCAACTTATACTACTTGCACGATGCAATATCCCCAAAAAAAAGATTACTGACTCCTTCTGAATACTGATTTCCTTTAAAGGTCACTGAGGGAAGGTTTTCACATGACTGGCTAGACAAAGAAAACGGGGTCAGATCAGAGTGCAAACCAAACCTGTTTACTTTTTCTCCCCATGTTGGTGACCCCAAAACCTCTTTCTCTCCATCTTTTACTCATTCTCTCATCAGACCACAAGGTTTTGGCAGAGAATGTCAAAAGAGCAAAACAATTACCTGAAAAAGAATGAATTTTGGATAGTACTTTTACAAAAGAGAGTAGAAAATCTTATTTTTTCTTTATTTTTCTGTGGCTATTGTGCTTGAACCCAGATTTTTCTTCGCTGCCCATTTCAACATTCTGCTTAGAACAAACAAAAAGCACATTGATGTCATTCTAGAGGGCAGTACAACCAGCAATCATCACAATCACCAGCATTTGACTATTTCATGTCAAATATTTGCTCAGATAAAGTTGACAGCTGGTGTACTGCCCTCTCCTGTCAACAGCAGTCCAGAAACATCTGGGGTCCCAGGAGAGCTATTACTGGTCTTTTGGGAGAGGAATCTTGTCCTGATCTTGGATTTATACACAATTCTCTGGTTCTTAGCCAGAATGAGCAGAGCACAGTCTTTATTAGGCAGGCAATTGGGAAAGCAGAATTAACTAAAAATCTAATATCCTTATTTGTCTTATGAATAACAAAATGTTATGGTTTGGAAATTATTAATAAATAATTTTCTCATTCCAAATTGTAGATGATTAAAGGTCTGATTTAGTTTCAGTCATTCACGCCGTTGAAGGCTTTGGCCTCTGAGGGTCAAAGGCAAATTAAGGGCACCATGGCAGAAAAAAAGACAGACAGAGATGGATACACAACACACACACCCCAGACAGGTTTATCTCGGTGTGTTCTGCGTCCTGGACAGGAAGCCAACAAACAGAAGGTTTACAGGAAACAGCCAGGGACTCAGGACTGTAGTTGTGATATAATGTCTGTGTGTGTACGTGGGTAATCTATAAGATAAGACTTGTCATTGAGGGGAGTTTTCGTGGTAAACAAAATGAACGATACTCTCCAAGAGTGTATGCATGTGTGTGTGTACGTGTGTTACTCTCTGCCGGAGCATGGTACCGTGGGATAGTGGAGCCCACAGGAAGGGTTGCCCAACTCTCAGCCAAGTGAAACAACCATCTCTGTTGCTCCTCCAAGGAAAATAAATAGGCCAGGCCGCCCGCCAGTGGTGATAGGCATCGTACTGCGAGCACCCCAGGGAGCGCACACACACACACACCGTTACTCTTTTCACAGTCCTCCACCTTTTTTCATCGGATTTATTCAGTTTATTTCCCCTTATTTCTCAAGCACCTCTGTAGGATAATACTTTTCACTAACTTCATATTTTCCCCAGATGGATTCAGTCCTAGCTGCAGGAGGAAGGGAGGACGCAGACACACACCACACACAAACTTACTCACTTCTCACACAGACGCCAACTCCCGCCCACTTACTCTGCTAATCACACACACTCACTCGTTCTCTGGCAGATCTTCTGACACCGAGCAGTCAGCCCAACACAAAGACAAATGCAACAGATAGAAGGGAATTACTCTGCCTGACAGAAAGCAAAGAATTGGGATCGTGCACGAATTAGAGGGAGAGCGAGATATCCAAGAGAGGAGTGGGATTACAGTTTCCTCTCCGTCTCTTCACATGGACAGGGGCTGGCAGCCGCACACTTGTCGTCTCATCATTTTGGATTACAGCTGCATCAATCCGCCTCTGGACAAGCGCTCCTAACTGTCTCGTCCTCTGATCTTCAGAAGTACTGAGTGTTCCCAGCATGTCCTGGGACTGCGGGTTGAAATATTTCTTCGTGCCGCCTGTGTTGCAGCTGGGTGGGGTGTGCACGTTGCGGGACGGCGGCAGAGGCGGCGGCGGCGGAGGAGGAGGAGGCAGAGGCGTGGGGCCCATGTGCGGCCGGGACGAGCTCACCAGTCGGCTGGGACTGGAAGCCGTGCAGCGGCTGGCCAAAGACGGCTGCCGGCTGCTGCAGAACCACAACTACCGCCTACCTGACAGGAACCAAGTGGTGAGCAGAGAGTGTGATTAGGGTGTCTCAGACTGATGTTCAGCAAACGCCACCTTGTAATCTGCAGAATCAGCTGTGGCTTCATGGTCGGAGCAGGAGGAGAGAATGCACATTATGTGGCAAATGCTGTCATTATTGTCGTCATTTTTACACGCACGCACACGCCTCAGGTCTGCGTTACTCATTAATTCAGGGATCATGTTAGGAAATCCTCATCAGTACCATCTAGACAAGTGTTTGTCTCATTCCGTGTGGAATCAAATCTGCCCTCCGGACGTCACTGATATATGCGCCAACACACACAAACCATCACAGCTTCATTTGGATTTTAGATCAAAACAGCCTCCACTTTTTCGCTGCAGCTTGTCTTGGTGCTAATAATTCCAGTAAGATCTTTTGTTCCTTTAAAAAGTTGTCAAAAACTTTGTGACTGGCTGCATGTTTCTGTTGCGTGTGCGTGCGTGTGGTTTGTCCGTTTGCCAGCTAAGACTATAATAATTTTTGAGAGTTTGCAAGTGTATGTTCGTGCTCTGTGTCTAGCTGAGTCAGTGTGTGCTCATAATGAGCGGGGCGTTGTACTGTATAATCTCACTCTACAGTACACCTGAGGGCAGGAAGCGGAGCAAATGCAGTCTGATTTCACCCCAGCATCGTGATGTGCGTGTTTTAGAGGTCCACCCTAGGGCTTGTCCGCTTGGTTGGATTTATCTAAAGCCCAGCTTGGGGAATTTTCAAAACTGTACACAATTTAACTTTGACTCCTGGTAAAAAATAAATTTAAAAAAAAGAGTATAATTTAATGACAGTCTAACTAGATCAGAATGCACCTTGACAGGGTTCTGCTTAACTTCTACCCACATCTGATGCACTGTTTAAGTTAGTATAGCTGCAGGAAAATAACCTTCTGGAGTGACACAATCCATGTTGCTCAATCAGCTGGAATGCTAATGGAATATCAGTCTTTTCAGTTTGTTTTTCACAAACAAACACAGCTGAGCTGCTGCCAAATATGTTTAAAATGTAAAGCAAGAAAGTGTTTTTTTTCTCTCAGCTCAGAATAATACTGGCACAAAAGAGAATTAGCATCACATTGTCAATGTGATCTGTGGCTTGTAGAAGAACCCCAAATCAAATAATCAGCTCTATTCAGGAACGAAACCATTCTTTTCTCTGGGTTGTCTTGATGATTGTATTTTTAAAAATTATTTTTTAAGTATGTGTTTGTCATTTATTTATTTTTTTATTTATGTTTATTTTGACAGAAAAGCACAGATAAACCAACGTGAGCTGTTTCCATAGTGATTTTTACTGGAGTGCATCACTTGCTCTTCTGCCTCCAGTCAATTCAGATTTCTTTGATTTGAATCAGCCGTCACAGTTTACCCAGAGTTGATCCAACATAGGAGCTCATAACAAGGTCACAGTATGCATGACATGCACAGGTATGCTTTCTGCTGAGCCTGCACTACTTTCCCGTGGTTGTGGGAATCACAGTACAGTGTGTGTGTGCGTGTAACCTAAAAGGATTGTGTTTTCAAATTCTTATCCATAATTTCCTGGAATCATGCCCGACTCTATCACAATACAGATACGACTTGTCACTGTGGGCTCAGGCACAAACACACACACTTTAGTAGGAGCAGGAAAGGCACAGAGAGGACTTCCTTTAGACTTTCCATGAGGCCCACCTTTCCTTTAAAAAAAAAAAAAGCCCATTAATTGTGCGTATGTGAGTGAGAGAGAAAGAGAAGGGCCTGACCAGACTGAGTGACAGATGCTAAGGGGCCATAGAGCTTTCCTGCCACACTGATTTTCGTGCACTGCTTGGAATGTACTTTTTCCCACGCCAATTGAATAATTTGAAATGGTTGCTGTTTGACCCCTTTAAGAAAGCAACAGACACTTTTCCCCCAGCCTCTATTTTCTGTTCTAAAATCTCAGACCTCTGTTGCTGATCCCAACTTCTGAAATAGGATTAAAGAGAAGAGAGTCTATTAAGGGAAGATGGCTGGAGGAAAAGATGATTTTAAAAAAGAGCTGAAAGAAACCGGAGAGAGCAGATTTCTGAAATTTATTTATTTATTTTTTATCATTGTTTGACGATTGCATAAACAGTCGTGTGGAGTTTTGTCAATTCATTTATTGTCTGTCTTTTAAATAAAAGGTGTATTTAATCTTCAAGAGATTTACTTTAACCTCATACAACAGCTAGATCTTGGTCTTTGTTATTCATCACCATCTCTTTGTCGACTTTCAGTCTACTCTGACTTTCCTTCCCAGTCTTTCCTTTCATCTTGCTTTCTTTTCTCATCCTCTATTACATAACTGTTCTGGCCTCTCCTTTCCACAACATTCAATACTTCCTTGGTATATTTTTCCTCTTTTATGCTTGAGTTTAAAAAAGAAAGGGGGGGTTAAGTAGATCTTGCGGAAAGGCGTTTTTCCACAGGGATTGTTATTTGATGGAATAAGAGTTCCTTACCCAACAGTTATGCATGATGTTGGAACTACATGTGAGTCATGTTCAAATGTTCTTCCTCCATTCTTAGCTCTCAGTTGTTTTTAGGCATTTGTTTAAAGACGGTGAGTGTTTGTGAGAAGCTCTACACTTTCTACACAAGAGCAGATTTTCCTCTATTTTTATGGTAGTTGTTCTTAGTTACATAACTCTTTTTTTTCTTTGAAATTCTAATTTTTTCTGTTATTCAAAGAGCTAAAAGACAGGAAAGGTCTGCTCTGACGGGGCAGGGTCTCCTGTGGTATAACTTGTTGGTATTTGAACTGCAGATGATGTGGTCTAATTGTGTGCCTCCTCTAGACCACTTAAGGAATGTATTATCTTGACATCAGATCGGCTGGGTGTGGTCTCGGTGCCAACTGAAAGTGTAATTAATTGAACCGGGTGTCGCAACCCTTTAAATCAGCTGTCACTAAAATAGGGCTTATCATCTGGTTTGAGAGTAGTGTTGATAACTTCAAGAAGATTTTATTTTACTATATTAAATTGAGGACTGAAATAAATTGTTCCATTCTCAAGCAGGCCATTTGAGTGCGCTTTTTAAGTGAAGCTTAGTACAGTTCAGTTAAATCAAGGTATGCGTGTTCCTCAAATCTGAATTACTTGTGTGTACAAGATCTACTAAAGTTCCCCTCCTTCTTCTGTAGAGACTGAGCGATTTGGGTGTGCACAGGATACTGTTACAGACCCTCTTTCACATGGTGGCTTCTGCAGGCTGTGGAGAGCTTTTTAAAAAAAGACAGGGATAGACTGAGTAATGTGGGTAAGAGGGACCAGCTTAATTTCGATGTGCTGTTGGACTCCGTAGAAGAAGTAGGAAAGAGGAGGATTTTAACTAAGCTAAAATCCATCGTGGATAACACCTCTCATCTCTGACATGACACTGTAAGGGCCCTCTGCAGCTTGTTCGGTAGCAGATTTCCCCAACCTCAACAACCCTGACATTTGTAAAACCATATCTATACAGTAGAACATTCAGTCGCATTTATTCTTGGCTTCATACCTTTTTCGTTTGGATGTTTCCAAAGCGACAGGCATGTGATCTGATTTGCAAGTCCCATCTAAGAACATGAGCAGAAACAGGTTTCAGTCGACTATAACGAGGTTTGGAGCGCCCCGCACCTGTGAAATTTGAAATGGAAATCTAAACAAAGCAATACGCGTTTAGTGTGTTGGAGTGGGAGTGAGCCAGAATGGCTCCAAAAATTGAAAAAGAAAAATGTGATGAGTCTCATTGTCAGCCTCTGCCCTCGGGGGGGTGCCCAGATCGGACTGCTGAACATCTGTATCAGACTCTGGTAAAATGAGTCATCGAGGCATGACTGCGAACACTAAGAGCACTGGAGGCATATTGTTTTGTCTGACCTGAGCCGTATCCCACCTGCTGTCTCTTGTGATCAGACGGTCCCTTTCATCAGAAAATCACAAAGGGGGGGGGGAGTGTGCGTTTGTTGGCCCGTTTGCACGTCGGTGTCTGCCTTCTGTTGACTTGTTCTGCAGTGTTAAGGAGGTGTCTGAGGGCTCATTACAAATCCAGCTTCTTAATATTGGGACTGTGGTTATTGGTGAGGGCATTGTTTGTACTTTCATGAACCTTCACACTCAGCTCAACTAACATGATCAAAGTCGACAGCAGCAGAGCCCTGTAAGAAGCGCTTTGTGCGTCGGTTGTGATTGCTGCTCCGTTGCTTTTGGCTCAGACACAAAACTGCAGCGAGCAGCTGGTGGAGAGACGTGCCGCTTTATCTCTGCTACTGCTCCCTCTGCCTTTCATCTGCCTCTCTTGTTTCCCTTTTCTCTTCTCCTTTCCTCGGGCTGTTTCTTTTTGTCCTCCTTCACTCATGTCGAACTGGGTTCCTCTTGCACTGGGCTGTCACACCGAACGTCTGTGTGTCTGTGTCATGGTCAAGCATCAAGTGGCTGAAATGCTTTTTGGAATAGATTATTTCTGGAGTCTGCCCGCAATTTGAGTTGTGCTCATTCCTGTTTATAATTCAACATCATTCTTTTTAAAGAGGAAATGCATACAATGCCTCCATTCAAATGGATGTATCGTATGAATATCATATTAGGGTTTATACAGTTTTGTCATAGTTTGTATTCTTTGTTGTCAGTATGACTTGCCATACATGGCATACATTTATATCCGTATTATATGCATGTATCTGTGTGTTTTGTGTGGTGGGAACAAATGTGAAGTGATCCAAGTGTGCACAATCTCTTATCAAATAGGCTAAATGCTTACGGACAGTAGGAAAATCAGGTGCTGTGTTTGGAGTTGTCATGGTTTGCGTCATACTTACTGAAACGAAGCATAAAATCCACATGCTTTCTTTTTTAGACATCTAGCAGTCTGTCCTTGCCTCGCTTTGTGACTTGTCACTCCATTTTCTTTCAGGAGGTGGTGGGGAGAGTTTGTCTCAAGGAGAGAGGGCGAGACGTATTAGTGTTGCAGAGGGTAACATCATCCGTGACGTCTCCCTCAGAGCGGCCCTCACCTACTTCGTCAGGGGGCGGGTCCAGAGAGGAGGACTGCAACAAGAGGTCAGTCCCTCCTCCCACACAATGAGAGCCCTTCAAACTAGCTGTAACCGCAAAAACAAAAACATAGTTCTCCTTCTCTTTTTCTGTTTTTACTTTGCAATCTCAAGGTTTAATCACAATCCTGCATGTGCATGCACACACACACACACACACACATACACACATTGTGGTTGTGTTGTAAGCATTGGATGTGTTTGTGTCTTGGATAATGTATGCTATAGCCTCTGGCAAGGAGCAGGACGGAGAGAATGGCTTTTTGTTTTTAGCTAAAGGAGGAGAAAATGACACCAAGACTCTTTCAACACACGAGTTTGTGCTCGAGTCATATAATGTACCGTTTCATTGTCATGTGTGTTTACTTTAGACAATGTCTGCCAAGACCTGAGGCACAATGCAGGGAGTGTCAGTGACAGGCAGGTTAAGTAGGGGGGTGTACACACAGACAATTTACAGAATCTTCAGTAGCAATCGGTTCACTCGCAGTGCTACTGTAGGAGCTGTCAGAGCAAGCCTTAGTCTCTGGAGCTGGCAGCTGACAGGGCAGACAGCCAGGCAGCACATCCCACAGAGGAACACACCTCCTGGGTATGCAGAGCTCCAGGAAGAGCTTATCTTTGGCTGGTGTTTAGGTATGAGGATGGCCTCTGAGCAAGCTACACTTGCGGTGGCAGAGGAAGATATAGATGACGATAGTGATGAAGAGGATGACGAGGAAAGCAGTGAGGATGCCGATGGTGGGAATACAGACGACTGTACTTTTGATGTGCCCCATTTTCGATACATTGATGACGAGAGTGTGGAGGCGGAAGAGAAGGAGAGAGAATGGAGGGATGGAGGTCGCTGCACCTGGTGGGCTCGCCCTAGTGAGGAAGACTGTTGCCCCTCTGCCTCTTTCAGGTACGTGGTGGTGTCTGGAACGCCGCTCAAGATACTGGAGCATCTGCTCAGTGACCTGCGACTGGATGACCAAAGAGGGGCACCAGAGAACAGGGAGAGCGGTAAGGCTGTTTTTGAAGGCAACATGTACACTTTTGCACGTGTTTGCAAACTGCAACTTGGCCTACATACACGCACACACACACACACGAAAAAACCTACAAAAGATAATGAAACACAATCTTTTTAGAAAATATTCTAAACTTTAGTGAAGCAGTGGAAGTGCAGTTTTAAAAAGACTTGTTCAAATACACACATGCAAATGAACAACGCACCAAGCCTCCTCCCAGGCATTTTTCAAGCAGGTTGCAACACAGCCGAGTTTTCTTTTTTTGATTCCCCGAAGTGGCCTCAGACCTGGGAGGTATGCACTTCCCCCTCAGCAATACCGTCTGATTGTCTATTTGGCAGTCTTTGAATGTGTTGGCGTGTGGCAGCCCTCAAATGGCATCCAGGTGCAGTCGTCAGGCATGCCGTGACCTGTAGATAACGTTAGATCCTCTTTATGAGTTTGTGAAATGACTGCCTTGGGTTGCTCCTGGCAGTTCTTCGGCAGATGGTAGTGCTGTCTCTAATGATCCTAAAGCCTACCTAGTTTTTATGGGGTTCTTTGATTCAGTAATTACATTACAAGAATACCATTTGTCAGTTTTGTTCTAGTAGCGCAGTTAGTACACAAATCATGCTGACAGAAGCTGACAGCTTGTATTGTGTCTTTGATACTAGCTGTGGTACCCTAACCTTAACCCCATTATTTATTATATAATGACACTGGAGCACAGTTTTGTTTAGTACATGGCATCTTTTCCACATACATGTAGATTAAGGTATTTCACGCAACGAATATCAATAATGAAAATGAAATACACATTAGTTTGTTCTTGCACAAAATATGTCATTACATATATTCAAATAAAAAATGGAAAAATCAGTAAAAAGGCAATGGTTTTAAACTATATTTATAATAGGTTCAGAATTAATAAGACCATCCAAAAATAGCAATAATGCTGTACTGTCAGTCAAATTGTTTAATCTATGGATTGTCAGTAAATTTCAGTGTATTTTTTCTTTTAAAATGTATTGAGAACTATAATGGTGCCTATATCCTCTAAAATACTACTTTTATGTGATAAAAACGGCTCTTGCTATTGCAACACAAGGCGCCTTTATGCATCCACTCCGGCCTCAGCGCCACCAGCTCCCAGCCGTCCACAGGGAGCCGTGTCACTGAACGGCAGGAAGTAACGAAAGAAAGAGGAAGAAATGAATGTGGTAAAGAACTGAGATGGTCTTTGTAGAGGAAGTCTGCCTGATATTTATTCACTGGAGAGTGTAAAAGAGCGCTGGAAGTGGCAGGAGTGTGGAAGCAGAGTCTGTTTGCGTTTCTGACACAACTGATTGTTGTGGTTCTTTTGGTCAATGTGCCCCAAAAAAGCAAGTGTGTGAGTGTTTGTGTGTGCACGTGTGTGCACGTCCTGGCAACGGCCCTCGGGGTCGGTTTTCGAGCATTCGTGTGCCGTTTTTGTAGGTTTTACCGTACAGCATGTTGAACATGCTCAGAGTGGAGAGAGCGATTACCCCAAAACTCCCTCCCCTCATTAAACACACAACAAAGAAGAAGAAAAAAAACATTCGCAGATTACTGCGATTAGTTGAGCAGACACACTTTTTCTCCTTTTTCTTTTCCTTCCATCTCGCCAGAGATAAAGTCCCCAAGGTCAGAGCTGAATGAGTTATTCATCAGGGTGCTGTGTGTGTGTGGATGTGTGTGCGCCTCCTCGCCGAAAATGTGTTTGACTTTGTGCGTGCCAGCGGGCAAACGCAGGGGACATATGTTGAAGATGAAAATGGATATTTATCATCACAGGGAGCTGAAAGAGAGCGAGCGTAGGAGTATAGAAGTAGTGGGGGGGGAAATGTAATCTCCAAAAGGAGAAAATGAAAAACGTTGACGTGGGAAAGGGGGCTTGTCACGGTCAGCAGGGAGAGGAGAAGCCGGACAGTCGGCCCCGAAAGAGCTCCTCATTAACCGATCGGGAAAAGAAAAAGTGACCATAAACTGAGTCGACGTTCCGTGTTCAGTCAGACTCGTCTAAAAGTGTGTCTCGAGTAAGTTGTGTTTTTATTTATAAAGCGAAGACAGTTCATCAAATATTAAGGGAAAGGCCTATGCTGGGTCTTCTATAATTGATTTCTTTGCTCTCTGCCTCAGAGTCATATTTGGGTCAGTCATTTTCCCAAGGAAAAGAGTTTGACAACACATACAAGCACACACAGAGCCTCATCACACCCCCAACAATGGCTCATTACCCATCTGCCACCAGTGCTTTTTATGTCTTCGATTCTTACCCGATGATTACCTGCCTGTTGTCTCACCAAACACACACTCCTGTTCTCTGACTTGTGAGCAGTTGTGATTATTCTGCAGTGCCTATTGCTTTTAGTCTGGATGCTTATCGGTAGGAATTTCCATGTTCTTTTTTATATATTTGCAATATAAGTTTAGTCTGACATGCTCCAATTAGGCCTTTTTCCTCTTTTAATTGATATAATCCCACTTTGTGTGAACCATTTACACATACACTATATTGCCAAAAGTATTTGCTCACCTGCCTTGACTCACATATGAGCTTAAGTGACATCCCGTTCCTAATCCATAGGGTTCAATATGACGTCGGTCCACCCTTTGCAGCTAGAACAGCTTCAACTCTTCTGGGAAGGCTGTCCACAAGGTTTAGGAGTGTGTTTATGGGAATTTTTGACCATTCTTCCAGAAGCGCATTTGTGAGGTCGCACACTGATGTTGGACGAGAAGGCCTGGCTCTCAGTCTCCGCTCTAATTCATCCCAAAGGTGTTCTATCGGGTTGAGGTCAGGACTCTGTGCAGGCCAGTCAAGTTCATCCACACCAGACTCTGTCATCCATGTCTTTATGGACCTTGCTTTGTGCACTGGTGCACAGTCATGTTGGAAGAGGAAGGGGCCAGCTCCAAACTGTTCCCACAAAGTTGGGAGCATGGAATTGTCCAAAATGTCTTGGTATGCTGAAGCATTCAGAGTTCCTTTCACTGGAACTAAGGGGCCAAGCCCAGCTCCTGAAAAACAACCCCACACCATAATCCCCCCTCCACCAAACTTTACACTTGGCACAATGCAGTCAGACAAGTACCGTTCTCCTGGCAACCGCCAAACCCAGACCCGTCCATCAGATTGCCAGATGGAGAAGCGCGATTCGTCACTCCAGAGAACGCGTCTCCACTGCTCTAGAGTCCAGTGGCGGCGTGCTTTACACCACCGCATCCGACGCTTTGCATTGCACTTGGTGATGTATGGCTTGGATGCAGCTGCTCGACCATGGAAACCCATTCCATGAAGCTCTCTGCGCACTGTTCTTGAGCTAATCTGAAGGCCACATGAAGTTTGGAGGTCTGTAGTGATTGACTCTGCAGAAAGTTGGCGACCTCTTCGCACTATGCGCGTCAGCATCCGCTGACCCCGCTCCGTCAGTTTACGTGGCCTACCACTTCGTGGCTGAGTTGCTGTCGTTCCCAAACACTTCCATTTTCTTATAATACAGCTGACAGTTGACTGTGGAATATTTAGGAGCGAGGAAATTTCACGACTGGATTTGTTGCACAGGTGGCATCCTATCACAGTTCCACGCTGGAATTCACTGAGCTCCTGAGAGTGACCCATTCTTTCACAAATGTTTGTAAAAACAGTCTGCATGCCTAGGTGCTTGAATTTATACACCTGTGGCCATGGAAGTGATTGGAACACCTGATTCCGATAATTTGGATGGGTGAGCAAATACTTTTGGCAATATAGTGTAGGTGACGGTGTCTGTATCCATATGATCTGCTTTGTTTTCTGTTTTGTTTTTTTAAGGATCCTCTTGTTTCAGATGCAGAAGAAATATGCTTTCCTCCTGCCCCTACTTCTGAGTTCTGTCTCATTTAGTTTGCTTTCAAAAGACCTTCAGTTTTTAGGAACTGAAAGTGCTTCAAGCTCTGTTAACTACAAATAACTACCATTCACACCCCCGAAAAAAAGAAAAAAATATCCCTTTAAGGCAAACTAAAAGGTTCAGTCTCCTGAGATTGATCAGCTTTATTGGTCACACATGATTGGTTTTCTAGTCCAATGCTCACTCTTTATTTGACGCAGGCCAATTCAACTAATCATTTGCTAATCATTAAAACTATATGAATATTTTGTCCCACAAAGAGACTTAATTCTAAGCATAAAAAACAAACTTTTTTTCCCCTTTAACAGCTCTTTCACCATTTTCTTGGAAAGAACAAAGTACTGACTGTCTTAACGATGTTCCTGCTAAACAGAGTCAGAGGGGAATCTTTTTAAGTTGAGTGGATGAGAAAACTAAGAAGAAAAAATGTGTTTGACAACAAATGATTCACAGATATCTTCCTTTTTAACCATTCACTAAAAAGAATGAGTCAACCCTCTTTTTTGCAAAATAGTGGAGGTGGAAAGAGAGGATAAAGTGGAATGAAACAAGCAGCCACCAATATTCATATATTTTTTCCATTAAGTTCTTGTTTTGCTCAGCACCATCTCCATGGGGATATATTAACGCATTTAAGCCTTTGTTGCATCCTTACTGTTTATTTTGCAATTTTTCCAAAGAATTTGTTTTTTAAGAATGCTAATAATTTCACAAGTCTTCATTTTCAGTGTGCAAGTCGCCATTAGATTTAAGCAAATATTTAGTCTTAAAAAGGGGATCTATAGTAATCTAAGTTGGCTCTAAGTTCATCATCTTGACAAAGAAAATAGTGACAAATGGGGAAAATGAGACCTCACTTGGAGAATTTTGGCCACCATTTTGACTCTTGGTGTGTTCTCTGTTTCAGAAATGCTTCTGGATGATTTCCTCTTGACCTACCTGGTGTTCATGTCGACAGATGACCTTTGTCAAGCTCTTTTGGGACAATATCCTTACGCACCCAGCCACAAGCATTATCATGTGCACATGTCTTTCTTAGACTCAGGAGAGTCCTCTGTTGTCTCCTTGACCACAGTTACTTATAGCAGTGCTCGCTGCAGGGGCCAGGAGGAGGGCAAAGACGCCCTCTTCAGGAAGCGCAAGGTGCTGCAGCTGGTGGCCCATTGGAGCAGGCTCTACAAGGACTTTCTGAAAGAAGAGGAGCACATCAGGAGTTTCATGAAGGTATGGTAGAAGTGGCCGTCTTAACCTCTCCCTACTGTCATAAATCCTCTGCTTCTCCTCTCGATAAGAGGATTCATCTTCATTAAGTTGGTTAGTCAATTGTCGTTAAAAGGAGTTATTTCTCCCTTAGTTTTATAGGACTGGCCATCAAGCATTTTCTAGACTCGGAGTGAGCGGAAATGTCTGTCTGTGCGTGCATTTTCTGGGCTGCCTGTTTGCTGAGACTCAGGTTAAACTGAAGCCTGTGTCAGCTTTCTCCTCCACGGGAGCTTTGTCGATGTTTTTGTCCCGACCCATACAGACAAAAATCAGGCACCCTTCATGGTTTATAGCGCGAGCAACGTGGGTGCAAAATCATCACAGCGCGTCTCGCCACAGATCTCCTGGGTATCGACGTTATTTCCCCCCCTCCTAACCGATTCGGGATGTGTTGAATTTGTCTCCAATAAAGGATGAAGCACAGACACAGGCCGATCACGAATTAATAAATCCACACAGTCACCAATCATTTGCCCCTCTGTAACCTGACAGGCTCATTGCTCTGTGGCAGGTTGCCATAGGAACCGAAGCGGTAGGGTTGGCAAGGGTATAATCTCATATGGAGTGCGTAACCCAGGTGATTGTTGCCTAGTAACAGAGGGATGAGAGGGGAATTGGAATAGGAAGCTAAGCTACAGTGCGATAATAAAAAATACGTGGACGTGTGTGTGTTTGTGTTTTTGCATGTTCTTAGTGTTGCGCTCTCCTGATTTTCTGCTCAGGACACATGTGTGCGCACAGATGCTGCAGAGTGTGCTTAGTCAACCAGTTAATGAAATGAGGCGAATGTGCCAACTCAGTTTCTCCCCAGTGTGACCATACCGCACATCACAGCTAACAGTTGATGATGCTGACTCAGTGAGCCACCGCGTTCATACCGCATCTGCAGGAAATGCAAAGGGGAAAGATGCTTTTTGAAATGTGTCAGCACTTGAAGCTCCAACAGCTCGTTGATTCATTGAACCGCAGATCAAAGGAAAACTGACTGCTGGTGATCATTTTGATCCACATTTTTCAACTCAGAACACTAACTGGTGTGAAAACATTAGTTTGAATGCTGGAAACGCACAGTGCTTTTTAATGTCACTAACAGCTGGCAGGAGCCAGACAAGAGCCTGTGGATCTGCCCACACACTCGCACTCAACATTACTTTCTGCATTCCCTCCATCTTCAGTGATGATAATTAGTCACCTTGAAATACTCACTTTTCATGTTGTCTTGAAGAAGACTTGTAACATGAGAAGTGATGCCTTCTGATGCTAACCTTGTCTGCTTTAAACTGTCTGTCAGACCCTTTACAGGTGTGTTTTAGAAGATCTGTATGAGTTTCCGACCCTGGAGAAAGACTTGAAGGAGTTCCAGAAGCTTCTGCGCCGCCGACAGTAAGTTCTGTGTGACTGTAAGGCAGATGGCATCACTGGTGTTAGTTATTATTTAAATAGCTGAATCCCTTTTCCTTGCTGTCTTTCCTTCTGCAGCACAGTGGATGACTGCCCTCCAAGCCAAAAGGTGAGACTGAGATGCAGTTTCATAGGAGTAAAAAAAGCAGAATACTGTCACAGAGCACAACAGATCCATGTGCGTCTTACGTAACGCATCCAAATGCCCATCTTTCTGCTGCTTCCTCAGAGCAAACAAGTGTATCAGCAGCTGAGTTTGAAGGAAAACTGTTTGCCGCTTCGGAGTCCTCACGCAGAGACCAGGGAGGGTGAGAGAGAGATGCCAAATCATACGCGCACAGCTGCACACAAATCATGTGTGACAGCAGTGCATGACACCCAAATAGCGTCCGTACTGTGTGAGTAGAGGTTAAGGTTCTCAATCGGTTTAATTTTCAGTGATATGCTGTGTGCACGTCAGTGCTGACTCTTACCTGAGCGTTCACACACAACCCGCCCTGGAGGCCCACGAGCTGCTGCGGATTGTGGCGATGAAGATGGACAGAGCAGAGGAAGAGATGGTGCTGGCTGTGGTGTCGCACACTGGAGGTACACAGAGACACTGGTGCACGCAGCTTACAATGAACCTGAACTTTAACATCCTGGCTTAGTTTTTCCAGTTTCTACTCCGTGCTGTCCTCAGAAGTACAAACTGGAGCAAGAGTGGCTCTGGCTCATCACTGTTCTTCACTGTTGGCTCAAAATGATCTTTTTTCTTTTCTTACCTGTTCTTCACCTGCCTTTTCAGAGCGGAGGGTGTTGCAGGCCAGTGACTGTGTGTATTCAGAGTCTCTGACCCCCCAGGGAAAGCTCGTGGCCTGTCGCAGGGACCTCACGGAGATCTTGGTATGTTCTTGTGTTTCTGTTTCTATCACTCTGTAAGCTTAAATCTTTCTCCATCTGGCATAAGCAGCAATAGAAGCTGCACTTTCAAAAACTTTGGCTGATTCTGACCAGTTTATGGTTCTCGTAGGCTGTCCTGTATCTGGCCTGTTTTATGGTTTTAATTACAATTTGAATTGGCTTACCTTACCTTCTGTTGCACACCTAAACTAATTTCTTCATTATGTGTGTTTGTGTGTGTTTTTAGCCTCCTTTGACAGACAGTGCAGAACTAAGCAGGAGGCCAGTTCGGCTCTTAGGCATCAACACCTGGGATGTGGCAGCGGCCCTCACACATCTGGACTGGAGCCTCTTCAAATCCGTCCATGAGGTAAACACTCACATGCAAATGTGTTGCGTGTTCATATGTTATGATAATTTCATGTCCTTGGCAAATAATGCAGGAATGAATGTATTAAAGATGAAAGTGACTGAGAGGAGCTGAGAAAGCAGTTGAGCAGCTTTCTGGACGAGTGGAGATTTACCTTGAAAAATTATTAGACACTGTACAAAGGGAGAGATAGAGATGAAATCCTAATATAAATGATTAAAAATCATTTTTAGGTACATGAATAAAAAAACAAAATTCTAATTTAAAGTTTATATACACTCCACATGAACCTGGATTGTTATGGAATTGGATTAAGGCTGTAAAACGGCTTATTTAATGGGCACTATTGGTGTTAGATGACCACTGCGTTTGACAGTCACTCATTGAATTTTTCTCTGGTACAAATCACACTTTTTGTTAGATATTTTGCTTCCTTATCATTCACCATTATGCAGTTTAAGATGTCTGTTTGGGACTTTAGTGGTTTTGTGTCTCATCTTTATTCCTTTAAACACACTTCTAGTTGATATTTTTCGTTTTGACCTTTTCTTCTCGAAGCAATGGCTATATGCAAACTGGCCTCTGACCAGAACTGACTTTTTGTGTTGTATTGCCCCCCGAAAGGCTGATTTTACCTCCTCCTGCTTCCACCTGCAGCAGGAGCTGGTGTACTTCACTCTCAGCCGCGCTCCCGGCTCCGGCCACACGGCGGCGCTGTCTGTCCTGCTTCAGCGCTGTAACGAGGTCCAGCAGTGGGTGATGTCCGAGGTGCTCATGTGTGTGTCGCTCAACAAAAGAGTACAGCTGCTCAAGAAGTTCATCAAGATCGCAGCTCAGTAAGAACCAGACAAAGGCGTGGAGGTCTGATTGAGAGCACGGGAATATGTCTCTGACTTAACCAAACCTTCTCTCTGCCTTTTGTGTCGCGTGAAGCTGTAAAGCCCAAAGAAATCTAAACTCTGCATTTGCCATCATCATGGGTCTCAACACAGCCGCCGTCAGCCGACTCAACCAAACGTGGGAGGTAAGAATTTGCGACTCTTCGCAAAAAATTCAAGTTTGCCGTTTTCTGTCCACTTCTGACCAAATGTCCTCCTGTTGCAGAAATGTCCAGGGAAGTTCAAGAAGCTGTTCTCAGAGTTGGAGCTCATCACGGTGAGAGCAGGAAAAGGGTTCCTCCTGTGATCCGTCAGACATATCCTTTAATCCCCCACCCCCAAGTTTAACTCTGGTTTTTCTGTTTCGCTGCTCCTCTTTCCAGGATCCATCTCTGAACCATAAGGCCTACAGAGAGGCCTTCAAGAGAATGAAACCTCCCAAGATCCCGTTCATGCCTCTTCTCCTTAAAGGTATCTTCTGCACATGGACTGTCTCACAAAGGCAGCCGCATTATTATTATTATTATTATTACTATTATTGTTATTATTGTTGTTGTTGTTGTTGTTGTTGTTGTTGTTGTTGTTGTTGTTCCAGCTGTATTTGAAATGTGGTTCTTTTTGCCTGCTGCTTTTTAGACATCACGTTTATCCACGAGGGAAATAAGACCTTCCATGACAACCTGGTCAATTTTGAGAAGCTGGTGAGCTCTTTATTTCTTTTTATTTATTCATCTCAAACATGATGTCTTTACAAGCTGGGATCTCACCGCTGTAAATATCTTCTTGTCTGGCAGCATATGATTGCGGACACGGTGAGAATGATTCGCCACTGCCAAAGCGACCAACCAGGTGAGTCCGTTGTGCTAATCCTTTGTGGATGAAGACTTGAGAGATGTGTTCTCTGAGGTCTCTTTTAGAGCTTTCCCAAAGCCTTTTGGGAACCCTACAGTAGGTTTTGATTTGATCCACGGTAAGGGAAAAGTAGCGCCATCTGCTGTTGTGTTTGGGTGCTCCCCATGCACCAGAGTCAGCTGACTTCCATCCTCTCACAGTTCCTAAGCAACCATATCCAGACAGTCTGTCATTCTCCGTTATGTGACCACCCATTCTTTTTGTATACCGCTTGCGCTGCCCCAGAAAAGACTCAAGGCGTGCATTTTGTGTCCGTCTCCCAGGCAACGAGGTGGTCGGGGCGGACAGCGCGGAGGTGAGGGCCAGCGTCCACTGCCTGCACATCATCGACAATCAGCAGACGCTTTTCGAGCTGTCCCACAAACTGGAGCCGCGAGCCTGAAGGCCTGGCGCCGCAAAAAACCCCGGCCCTCGCGAGCGCCGCGGCGAGGCCGCGCGGCCAGCAGAGCTGTGAGACGGACCGTGAGGTGCCCTGCTGTGTGAAGGCCGCCGTACACTGACCGGAAGGAGGCCGCCTCTAGTCCAGGCCGCATCTTACCGACCGGGCGCGCCTTCGTTTTGTCCCCGTCAGCTGTCGTCACTTATTTATGAGCCTCCTCATCAGGCGGAATGTTACTTTTATTTCGGTCAGACATTTTCACGTCCCTACGGGCCCAAAAAAGATTTCACCTCCGCGTAGGCATTTCACTTTGTGAGCGCATCTCCAGGTCACGTTTAACCACATTTGGAACAGCTTCTGCTTCTTTCTCCGCCCCCACTCAAGTCTCTCCTTGACTTGTAGCCAAACAGTCCTCATCCGCTCCTCCTCACATTGACAGATACAGATCCCGGGTGGGCGTGCACGCCACCGACCCAAACACGCCCCCGGTGCCAAACGTCCACTCAGAGAGCGCTTCGTCCTCGTGGACAGGGCCCCGGCATGGCGCCTCATCCACCATCACGTCAAACCTCCCAGAGATGCTCTCTGACACAACGTGACTGATAGGGTTCAGTTGAGATTGAGCCTCATGCGGGGTTGCCATGGAAACGCGGCCCCTGTATTTTCAAAGCACTGCACAACAGGCCAGCTTTGTTCCACTGTGTCACGTTCACAAGGACATCGGCGGTTCTTCCTGACTGAAAATATATTCTCACCCAGAAGCGGTTTCTAATCAGCAGTGAGAAATAACACAGGGCACGGACAGGATAATGAAAGCACAAGGGAAAACTCCTGCTTCATAGGAATATGAAATGGCAGGATTTTTTTCTATTGTTCCTTTAAAAGGTATTAGATTACTGAGGCGTTTTTTTTTTTGTTATTAAAATCCCTGAAGGAACGGAATGGCTCCTTGAAAGAAAAAAATGCAGCACTGGACAAAGAGAACCCTCAAAAAACAAATAATACAAACAAATTGGATTAAAAAGCCATTTTTTGGCAGATATTATTAGTGTTTTTCTTATTTTTGTTCTTGCCCTGTGTGCTCATTCCTTCACCTCACTGGAGAGTTCTCACAGTGATGATCCTACGTGTCACAGTAATGCATGCGCTGTAGGATTTAAGTTTATGTTTTGGTTGTTTGTTTTCTTTAGATGGCATAGAGCAGGGATTAGGTGCAATACAACAGAAGTGCTCATCTCAGCACGAAGCTTTTCTGCAGAAGGAGCTGCAGGTCATACAGAATCACTGGTAACTATTGACCGGAATTTTCCAATCTTGTTTTAGTGCCAACGATAAGAAAGAGCTTGTCACGGTGCAGAGTCTGTTCCACGTGTTTATTTTCACTGGATTCTCGCCAACGGATTCTGTGGTTCTTTAGCAGCTCTCACCTAAAACCATGACTGGAGGACCCCTTAAGATATTAGATTTTATGTTGTTCTGAAAGAAAATCATGCTAAACCTACAGTCTTGGGTCCAGACATTTGATGTCTCACAGGCATTGCCTGAGAAACTATAGTGCACCTTACCAACACGCCACCGCAGGGGATTGGAGACACATGTTTACCCTCATTAGCTATTTCAAATTTGGTAGAAGGTAACAGCAACAACCAGAGCAAAAACTGCACCCAACTGCACCGTTTTAGCTGACATGAGCTGCTGTTTGCTTCTTCTACTTAATGACAGTATAACAGCCACTCCAACAACGTGTTCGCAAAGTTACTTCATGTGTATTTGCACCCCGTGTTGCTTAGGATCTTTAAGCCTTCGTGTACATTTCAGATGTGCATTTGGTGAGACAAACTGAGTGACTGACAGACGGAGTGGCTAAGTCGGAGCCACGACCCGTTCTCGCGTCCGTTTTTTGGGACCACCGACAGGCCTCTGCTGACCATGTTCAAAGAGCAGAACACTCGTTGTGTTGGTAATTTATTGAAACGCGTTGTTTATTTATGGTGACAAAACGTCTTAGCTTCTGTGCCATGCTCTGAGCTTCAACAGTGTGGTGAAAAGGAGAAGTACAAGCACTTTTTGTTGTGTTTTGTGGCCATTTGGGGGGCAGCAGAGGAGCCGGTGAGGCTTTATTCTGAGGATTTCTGCCTCCTGCTGCCGAACACTGAACAGCAAGAGGCTGTATTTTTTTTTGATCAGCCACTGTAAGGTTATGTTGTGTAAAGTTCAGTTGTTTTTTTTATATCAATGTTCTTCAGAATCTGTTTGCATGACGAAACAAAAAATAAATCCCCACAAATGAAGAGAGGACAGACACTTTGAAGGCTCTGTAATATTGTGGATGTGTAAATATGCGCTTCTGTTTGGTATGTTGTTATTATTGATCCGTTCTAAATGAAAATGTCAGTCACAAAGCAATACGTGTCCCCTCGTTTCCCCTCAACCGACAGCCGAAGTCATACGTCTTTTTTAAAGCTGCGTTTTACTATGTCAAGATTTTACTGCAAATGAATAAATTATAGGTTTTATGTGAACATCTACAGGTGAGCTTGTTGTCTTTTCTTGCTTGAGGCACAGGAAGCAGTGTGACCCTCTGAAGGAGCGAGATGGAAGTTCAAAAACCTTTTTGAAAAGCGGCGCAAAGGTAAAACCTGTGGAGTAAAAAGACGACCACAAATCAGACCGGTTTTAGCATCCTCGGGTTCTCAGCCTACACAGAGCTCACGGGGAATGAAACTTTCTTTTGAACGTCACTAAAAGAGCTACGCAGAGCAAAAGTTATGATAACCGAGCTGATCCGTCTTTCTGCCATCTTTCTGATTTAGTCTGAACTCTCTCCAGAAGTAAAACTATATCTAATGTTGCGTATTTGATTTATTATTTGTTAACAATAGTCCATTGCCATATGAAATTTTGACTTTTGTATCTTTAAGAAACCTCCCAATCAAAGGCATTGTTTGTTTAACCCCACCCCATCTACATATCAACAAGTTTATTCCAATTAATAGAAAAGAAGAAAAGAAATAAAGAAGCTAAAAAGATCAAATAAGCTTACATTAATTTAAAAGTATAGATTACCCTTAAATTGTTTCCTTTTTTAAATCCTTTGAAAGGTATCTTCTGTACAGGGACGCTGTTATCATGAAATAAAACTTTACTACAGTATAAAAGAGCGAGTTTGTTCTTAACTGTTTTTGTACAGCTTCAACAGTTTCAGGCCGGAAACATTTCTCCACTGTGTGTCCAAAAGAACAATTCAACATGATGTCAAAGGAGATTACCTGTTGTGTTCATGATTTAGTGAAATTTCAAATAAAATGTGGAAAAGGGATGTTTCAGGTCATAGATAGGATTAGATTTAGAGGCTGTTCTGACTCCTGTAACACTGTAGGCTCCTTAAAGCTGCCTCTTCTATACTTATATTGGTGGGGATGTTTCTACATCAATCCTATCTAAAGACGATTAAAAAAAGTTAAATGCATGTTCATGAAAGCCAAACTAAATAGTACTACGGTGGCTACATCTCCTCTGTATGACATAAAAGACTTTGGCCCTGCAGGATGTTCAGACACACCTTATCTCTGTTATCGCCGTACTTCGTTTTTATTTGACATCTGTAAAAGTGAAAGTGAAATAAACTCTGTTATTGCCCTATTTTTTGCTTCTTTGTTAAATTCCCATAAAAATATACTTTTGAGGGAATCTAACAAGGAAGTAAACAGTTTCCATAAAAAGTTTTTATAAAAGGTGCACATACATGCATTTTTTAGCTCAATGGATATTCTGTCAACTCTGTCAAAACTGATCAGCTTCCATTTTTCAGATTTAGTCTGAGCTCTCTCCATTAGTAAAACCCAATCTAATGTTATGTATTTTATTTATTAGTTGTTAACAATAGTCCATTGCCAAATGTAATTTTGACATTTGTATCTTTAAGAAACCTCCAAATCAAAGTCATTGTTAGTTTAACCCAAACCCAGCTACATATTGAGTTTTTCTCCAATTAATAAAGAAATAACAAAGGTAAAAAGATAAGATAACATGAGCTTGCATTAGTTTACAAGCACTGATTGCCCCTATCATGAAATCACACTTTACTGCAGTTTGAAAGAGCGAGTCTGTTCTTATATGATATCTGTAGAAGAGACGATAATCTCTGGGTGATACCAAAGAAACTGGATTAAGAAACCTCCCCTCTATTTACCAATATGATTCAATATAAAGTTCACAGTGAAGCAAAAAATACTTTTTTATTTTTATTTCTCTTATGTATTTTTTACTCTTTAACCCCGTTGGCAATGAGCGGTAGAGAAAATGGATGGATTGATGTATCTTTTTTTAATGTCCCTGATTTATATGAGTGATTCATTTGTTACTTCATTGATCTTCAGCTTTTGTGGAACGTGGGTGACCAACAGTAAAAGCAGTATTATGTTTTCCATTAACAAAAAAGCATCCCTGATCATATTTATTACACTGATATAAATGCAGGCTGGTCTTATTCTAAGGATCTTGAGATAGGATTAGATTTAGAGGCTGCTCTGACTCCTGTAACACTGTAGGCTCCTTAAAGCTGCCTCTTATATACTTATATTGGTGGGGATGTTTCTACATCAATTATACCTAAAGACGTTTAAAAAAAGTTAAATGCATGTTCATGAAAGCCAAACTAAATTGTACCACGGTGGCTACATCTCCTCTGTATGACATAAAAGACTTTGGCCCTGCAGGATGTTCAGCAACACCTTATCTCTGTTATCGCCGTACTTTGTTCTTATCTGACATCTGTAAAAGTGAAAGTGAAAGTAAACTCTCTGTTATTGCCCTACTTTTTGCTTCTTTGTTAGATTCCCATAAAAATATACTTTTGTGGGAATCTAACAAGGAAGTAAACAGTCTCCATATTTTTTTTTTTATAAAAGGTGCACATACATGCATTTCTTGGCTCAATGGATATTCTGTCAACTCTGTCAAAACTGATCAGCTTCCATTTTTCAGATTTAGTCTGAGCTCTCTCCAGTAGTAAAACGCAATCTAATGTTGTGCATTTTATTTATTATTTGTAAACAATGATCCATTGCCAAATAAAATTTTGACCTTTGTATCTTTAAGAAAACCCCCAATCAAAAGCATTGTTAGTTTAACCCAAACCCAGCTACATATCGAGTTTTTTCCAATTAATAAAGAAATAACAAAGGTAAAGAGATAAGATAACATAAGCTTGCATTAGTTTACAAGAATTGATTGTCCCCAAAGCCTCCTTATTGAATTCCTTTGAAAGGTATCTTTTGTACAAGGACGCTGTTATCATGAAATAACACTTTACTGCAGTATGAAAGAGCGAGTCCGTCCTTACATGACCTCTGTAGAAGGACTTGTCCTCTGACTGTTGTTTAGGGGAAACCTCCCCTCTTTTTACCAATATGATGCAATATAAAGTTCACAGAGAAGCAAAAAATACTTTTTATTTTATTTCTTATGGTTGGTGGGGATGTTTCTACATCAATCATACCTAAAGACGATTTTAAAAAAGTTAAATGCATGTTCATGAAAGCCAAACTAAATTGCAATACGGTGGCTACATCTCCTCTGTATGACATAAAAGACTTTGGCCCTGCAGGATGTTCAGACACACCTCATCTCTGTTATTGCCCTACTTTTTACTTCTTAGTTAAATTCCCATAAAAGGTCTCTTTTTATGGGGATTGGGTGGTTATAAAACTTTGAAAGCATGGTTGTACGATATCTTCCAGGTGGACACACCCACTCTGTCTGCTATAAAACATGTGAGCTGCCTCTGCAGGACACCTGCTGACAGCCATCAGCACAGACCAACTACAACAAGACTTTGACTCCTTTTGACATTGGCAGCAAACAGAGCTCCATCATGATGCTGGTCCTCTTCTTGGCTGCTGCGGCTCTGAGTGCCGTGTCTTCTTCAGATGAACAGAAGCTCCAGCTCCGGCAAGGCGACTGTCCCATGTTCTGGTTCAGCTTCAACGGACGCTGCTACAAGTATGTGGCCTCACGCCTGACCTGGGGGGATGCAGAGCTTCAGTGTGTGTCAGACGGAGCAAACCTGGTATCCATCCACAGCAAGGAGGAACACGATTTTGTAAATTCACTGATTAAGAACTTTGATCCTACTCGATCACCCACCTGGATCGGACTCACTGATGTTCACGTAGAAGGACGATGGATGTGGTCCGATGGGTCTAGAGTCAGTTTTACCATGTGGAATCCAGAGGAGCCGGATAATCAACAGGGAATCGAACACTGTGGACACACCAGTTATGGCAGTGACTTCAAATGGAATGATGCTCAATGCTCAGAAGGGTTCACTTTTGTTTGTGCATCTCGGAATGTGTGTCCAAAAAATCCCTAAGAAATTTCATGAGCATTTAATTATCAGAGAAATTCCAATTCATCCAATCAAAGTGGCCAACAAATGTGAAAATGGAATATATGTGTGAATGTAACTGATATTATGTCAAATGATTTAAAAACAACTGTCGTGTATAGATGAAGAAAATTCAGGACTGGATTTTCTTTTCTTCTCTCTGAACAACACAGTGTCCTTAAAGCAGATCAGAGTAACTTTAAAGAACAGTAATACACAAACTATGATTGAATCAAATGGAATGTTTATGTTTGCTTGAATAAATTTGCTTTTACTTGTGCATCTCGGACTGCTTATTCTTTACAAAAAAACAAAATAGAACCAAAAAAACAAGTCCTGATTTGAATGCATGTGCTGATCTTGTGAGAACAACTGACAAGATTTAAGAATTTTGATAGAAATTTGATGATCTTTCACCATTTCAGAAGAATTTTTAGATTAACTGAGTCCAGTTTAAACAGGAGCTCAGTGTTGTTTTTCTGGAAAACAGAATAATTACTCCGTTCTGGTCAAACAGATCACTAGTTTTAAAAGGCAATACTTGCAGGCATATTCATACTCATCTATACCCTTAAATCTGTAATGCTTGTGTCGTAAATATTAGATGTAAAATTTGCCTAAATAAAATTTACAGTAAAGTGTCATTTTTCTGGACTGACTACTTAAATAGTAACGCTGTTTTCTTTAACTTACATTGGTGACTTTATATATATATACATATATGTGTGTGTGTGTGTGTGTGTGTGTGTGTGTGTAGCACTCTTCAACACACTGTAAAAATGTATTTGAAATAAACATTAATATGCTGTAACATCATGAGATAAAAAATCTGTAAAAAGAAAAACAATGCATCAGTGTATATTTTAATGGAATCATTGTAAAAGAAACAATCAATAATTGTTCATTTTACAGTCAGTTTATGTGAAAAGGATCATATTTCTTTGTAGAATTGATATGTTACTGTATTATAAACATTAAAAAAATTGTAATACTTGAACCGACGGAATACAGTTAAATTTACAATATAGATTGTTTTAAAGAACTGAAATATAGTATACCCTTTTTGAAATTCAGTTGCTGTGATTTCCATTTAAATGCTGTAGGCCTAAGTATGAATCCATGAACAAGTTGAGAACAAGTTCTTACACTAGATTGACAGCTCTTTAAATGTTAATCAGTTCCCAATTTTGAATCATATCATAATTATATTAAATGTATAATATCATTTATCAGGTATTTATTGTTTTAAGTTTTAGTTCATACCGTCTATGGTTAAATACACAGCCCAGTGGAGATATGGGGGGGTAAAATGATGAGTGAAGAAGAAAAGTAAAAAAAAGAAAACCCTTTTTTTGCCATAAATTTAGGTGTCCCGCGACATTAACACCCTATTAGAATTTCAAACTGCAGGTACCACTAAGTTTGATTTGATAAATTACATGAAACACAAGTGTCCACCGGGGCGGCACGGTGTGTGTTGGTCAGCACCACCGCCTTGGGCCAGAGGGTTCTGGGTTTGAGTCTCCGGGGGAAGCGGGAACCATCTGTGTAGAGTTTGATTGGATATTCTAAGTTATCTCCTCTGTATGACATAAAAGACTTTGACCCTGCAGGATGTTCAGCAACACCTTATCTCTGTTATCGCCGTACTTTTTGCTTCTTTGTTAGATGACAGGGACGCTGTTATCATGAAATAAAACTTTACTACAGTATAAAATAGCGAGTTTGTTCTTCTCTGACATCTGTAAAAGTGAAAGTGAAAGTAAACTCTCTGTTATTGCCCTACTTTTTGCTTCTTTGTTAGATTCCCACAAAAATATACTTTTGTGGGAATCTAACAAGGAACAGTCTCCATAAAAAGTTTTTATAAAAGGTGCACATACATGCATTTCTTGGCTCAATGGATATTCTGTCAAAGCTGTCAAAACTGATCCGTCATCATCTGCCATCTTTCTGATTTGGTCTGAGCTCTCTCCAGTAGTAAAACCCAATCTAATGTTGTGTATTTTATTTATTATTTGTTAACAATAGTCCATTGCCAAATGTAATTTTGACCTTTGTATCTTAAAGAAAACTCCCAATCAAAGGCATTGTTAGTTTAACCCAAACCCAGCTACATATAGAGTTTTTTTCTAATTAATAAAGAAATAACAGGTAAAAAGATAAGATAACATAAGCTTGCATGAGTTTACAAGCATTGATTGCCCCTAAAATTGTTTTCTTATTGAATATCTTTGAAAGGTATCTTTTGTACATGGACGCTGTTATCATGAAATAACACTTTACCACAGTATAAAACAGTGAGTTTGTCCTTACATGATTTCTGTGTCATGAGGGGGGTCTTGAAGGGAGGACTCAGGTGCGGAGATGAGGGAAACAAGGATTATTATAACAAAACGGAGGAAGTCCAGACAAAGTACAAAACAAAGCTGTGGAAAACTCTGATCAAAGTATCAAAGCAAACCAAACAAGACTGTGGCAAAGTAACAAAATAACGATTAACAAAACTGTGGCAAAACTGTGACTATGACTGTGGCAGAACTATGACAAAAACAAACCTGGCATGGGGGTGACGAAGAACAGACGGACAAGAAGGACAAGAGACGAAAACGCACTCGCCCAGACAAGGGGAAACGAGGACTATTTAAAAACATGAGGGAGGGGAACCCCAGGTGTACACAATAGGTAATCAAGACAAGACGAGACACCAGACGTGACAGAGCCCCCCCCTTAAGGGACGGCTCCCAGACGGCCCTAAACACACACGAGGACCATGGGAGGGTGGGGGGGATCAGGAACAGAGGGAACAAACACAAGGCGTGGAACATGGCGTGTGACATGACTTTGGGACTTGGCTTGGGACTTGGCTTGGGACTTGGCTTGGGACTTGGCTTGGGACTTGGCTTGGGACTTGGCGAGGGACTTGGCGAGGGACTTGGCGAGGGACTTGGCGAGGGACAGGGCGAGGGACAGGGCGAGGGACAGGGCGAGGGACTTGAGACATGAAACGGGACATGGAACGGGACGGGACTAGACTGTGGGACATGACTTGGTGGCTGGGCGAGCATCCTCCGGCTCGCTAACCGGCATGGACTTGGATTGCATTGACCTGGAACGGCGAGCCCAACCGGGCTCGCTCACGGACATGGGATGGCGAGGGGCATGGCGAGGGGACATGATGACGAGGGGCATGGCTGGGGACATGGCTGGGGACGTGACTAGAGACGTGGCTGGGGACGTGACTAGGGATATGGCTGGGGACGTGACTAGGGACATGGCTGGGGACGTGACTAGGGACATGGCTGGGGACATCTCTAGGGACATGGCTGGGGACGTGACTAGGGACATGGCTGGGGACGTGACTAGGGACATAGCCCCCCTGGCTCGCTCACTGCCATGGCCGGAGGGTGATGCGGGGCGTGAGCGAGCTCGGGGCTCGCTCACGGGCAGGATGACGGACCTGTGAGCCGGCCTCGGCTGCCTCCTGGGCATGGTGGCTAAGCCCCCCCATGGGGTCTCTCAGAGCAGAAAGGGGGGTGCCGCCACCGTCGCCGCCGCTCCTCCGAGGTGTCTCCGCTAAGTCCAATCTGGCGAGTGCGTTCTGTCATGAGGGGGGTCTTGAAGGGAGGACTCAGGTGCGGAGATGAGGGAAACAAGGTTTATTATAACAAAACGGTGGAAGTCCAGACAAAGTACAAAGCAAAGCTGTGGAAAACTGTGATCAAAGTATCAAAGCAAACCAAACAAGACTGTGGCAAAGTAACAAAATAACGATTAACAAAACTGTGGCAAAACTGTGACTATGACTGTGGCAGAACTATGACAAAAACAAACCTGGCGTGGGGGTGACGAAGAACAGACGGACAAGAAGGACAAGAGACAAAAACGCACTCGCCCAGACAAGGGGAAACGAGGACTATTTAAACACGAGGAAGGGGAACCCCAGGTGTACACAATAGGTAATCAAGACAAGACGAGACACCAGAAGTGACATTCTGTAAAAGTGAAGATAATCTCTGGGTGATACCAAAGAAACCGGACTTGTCCTCTGACTCTGTTTTTTAGTGGAAACACCAATCGGGTCAGATAAACCTCAGAAATTGAGATTAAAAGAAATGGGGAAAAAGGGTGTTTCAAGTAATTCAATATGAAAAATAAAATACACACACACACACATATATATCTTTTTAAAAATGATTTCTTTTATGTATTTTTTCTTTTTAACCCCGTTGGGAATAAGCGGTACAGAAAATGGATGGATTGATGTATCTTTTTTTAATGTCCCTGATTTTATTTGAGTGATTCATTTATCACTTCATTTATATTCCACTTTTGTGGAAAGCGTGTGACCAACAGTACAAGCAGTATCATGTTTTCCGTTAACAAAAAAACTTCCCTGCTCATATTAATTACACTAATATAAATACAAGCTGGTCTTATTCCAAGAATCCTGAGTAAAAGCAGCAATAGAATTAGATTTAGAGGCTGTTCTGACTCCTGTAACACTGTAGGCTCCTTAAAGCTGCTCCTTCTATACTTATATTGGTGGGGATGTTTCTACATCAATCCTTTCTAAAGACGATTAAAAAATGTTAAATGCATGTTCACGAAAGCCAAACTAAATAGTACTACGGTGGCTACATCTCCTCTGTATGACATAAAAGACTTTGGCCCTGCAGGATGTTCAGACACACCTTATCTCTCTTATCACCGTACTTTTTGCTTCTTTGTTAGATGACAGGGACGCTGTTATCATGAAATAAAACTTTACTACAGTATAAAAGAGCGAGTTTGTTCTTATCTGACATCTGTAAAAGTGAAAGTGAAAGTAAACTCTCTGTTATTGCCTTACTTTTTGCTTCTTTGTTAGATTCCCATAAAAATATTCTTTTGTGGGAATCTAACAAGGAAGTAAACAGTCTCCATAATTTTTTTTAATAAAAGGTGCACATACATGCATTTCTTAGCTCAATGGATATTCTGTCAAAACTGATCAGCTTCCATCTTTCTGATTTAGGCTGAACTCTCTCTAGTAGTAAAACGCAATCTAATGTTGTGTATTTTATTTATTATTTGTAAACAATAATCCATTGCCATATGAAATTTTGACCTTTTTTTATCTTTAAGAAAACTCCCAATCAAAGGCAATGTTAGTTTAACCCAAACCCAGCTACATATAGAGTTTTTTCCAATTAATAAAGAATTAACAAAGGTAAAAAGATAAGATAACATAAGCTTGTATTAGTTTACAAGCATTGATTGCCCCTAAAAGTGTTTCCTTGTTGAATATCTTTGAAAGGTATCTTTTGTACATGGACGCTGTTATCATGAAATAACACTTTACCACAGTATAAAACAGTGAGTTTGTCGTTACATGACCTCGGTAGAAGTGAAGATAATCTCTGGGTGATACCAAAGAAACTGGACTAAGAAACCTCCCCTCTATTTACCAATATGATGCAATATAAAGTTCACAGTGAAGCAAAAAAGACTCTTATGTAATACTCTTATGTATTTTTTACTCTTTAACCCCGTTGGCAATGAGCAGTAGAGAAAATGGATAGATTGTTGTATCTTTTTTTAATGTCCCTGATTTATATGAGTGATTCATTTGTTACTTAATTGATCTTCAGCTTTTGTGGAAAGTGGGTGACCAACAGTACAAGCAGTATCATGTTTTCCGTTAACAGAAAAACTTCCCTGATCATATTAATTACACTAATATAAATACAAGCTGGTCTTATTCCGAGAATTCTGGATAAAAGCAGCAATAAAATTAGATTTAGAGGCTGTTCTGACTCCTGTAACACTGTAGGCTCCTTAAAGCTGCTCCTTCTATACTTATATTGGTGGGGATGTTTCTACATCAATCATACCTAAAGACGATTTAAAAAAAGTTAAATGCATGTTCATGAAAGCCAAACTAAATAGTTGTACGGTGGCTACATCTCCTCTGTATGACATAAAAGACTTTGACCCTGCAGGATGTTCAGCAACACCTCATCTCTGTTATTGCTTTGTGACCCTCTTACTTTTTTACTTCTTTGTTAAATTCACATAAAAGGTCTCTTATTATGGGGATTCGGTGGTTATAAAACTTTGAATGCATGGTTGTACGATATCTTCCAGGTGGACACAC